TCCTCAACTTACAACCATTCATTTACTGATGGTTTGAATTTACAATGGCACTGAAAAAATTACTTATGACTATTTTTCATATGACCATTTCAGCATTCCCAAGATCACGTGATCAAAATTTGGATGCTTGGCCACTAGCATGTATTTTATAATAGTGAAAGTGATTCACTTTACAACTGTAATCAAGAGTGGTTGTAAAATGGGGCCAACTTCACTTAACAATTGTCTTGCTTAGCAATGAAAATGTTGGGCTTAATTGTGGTTGTAAGTCAAGGACTACCTGAATAAGTATGTATATAGGTAAAGATATGTAGGGATAATCATGATTGTCTCAAAGGTTTTGAGTCAGAACTGATGAAGCTTCCTGGATGAGAAGTGAAACATCTTCTTCCTCAAAGAAAAAACATAGTCCAGTTGCCATTTGAAAAAGCACCTTTGAGATATGCAGGAGTAATTTTTTTAAAACAAATGTGCTGATTGTATGGCTCGGTTTGTTTTAATTTTTTAACTTTTCTTTTTTTCAGAGAGGAAATATCATAATATGTATAATCACTACTAGAAAATCAACACCAAGTTGATGCAGTGAGGGAAGATAAGCAGTAATTTTTTCATCATATCAGCTCTGTACAGTGCCTGCAACAGCAGAAGGAAGAGGGAAAATACAGAAAATGAAACAATACATTTTGCATATTGAAAGGAGGGATTGTTTATATTATTGTTAGATGTTTGAATTAAATTGAATTGAATTAAAAACTGCCAAAAGAATCCATATGGACAACCAAGACTGGATTGAGTTTTTTCATACTTTCGGGGGTGATTTGGTAAGCCCATCTCCTAGGCTAAACCATCCCAACAGATGGCATTCTCTGTTAGAAGACATCTGGCCGAGGAGAGCCCACCTAGCCTCTAATCTAGAGAAATGATTTCATTGTCAAACCAGTCTTGCCATTAAGAAAACTTAAAAAGTAATAAAAACAATAGGAATCATATATAAACATAGGTCTGCAACAATTAGTTTTCCAGTGGTTTTGGTAAGACCATTGAATTGTCTTTTGTTTCAGAAGCAGAGAAAAATGTTTACAGGATTGGATTGCTAGCTTTAAACACAGCCTTCCTCTTTTCTGATTCAGGCTTAAGAAGAGCAGTGGGGGACTTAATTTATCTTCCTGTAATTAAAATCCTTCATTACATTTCTGTGTTCTGTAAGAACAGACAACAGGACCTTGATTTTCTTGTGTCATATCCTTTTTCAGATATTTCAAAGGAGCTAACATATCCTCTCTTCCCAAATCCTCCCATTTGTCTTCATAGGACTTAGTTTCTAGCTGCCTGATCATCCCCACTGAATCTTTTGTAGTTCAGCTAAATCCTTCTTACAATGTAACACCCAGAATTGGACAGAATACTTGATGTGTGATCTAAACGTTATATAAAATAAAGAACAGAAAATAATAAACCAATCTGGGTCAGTCACTGGGACCAGAAGTTTTATCTTCCGAGCTTTTGGACTCATGCTGGAGCTCATGGGCTCCAGTACAAGTCCAAAAGCTTGGGAGACAAAACCTCTGGTCCCGCTGACCAATCCTGCAACATTATCCTGGGACATGTATATTTGCCTTCATTCATGAGAAAATAATAAAGCATCTGTGATAAGGAAAACAATCAGTAAATGTCCTGTCCCCCCCCCCCCGCCAAAAGATACAGGTTTCTAGTCTCCGTTTCTTAGCCGAGGGAACCAGCGTTGCCCAAAGATATTTTCCGTGGTCATATAGAAGCATGACTATACTGCAAGGTACATAGAACACTCTTACCATCTCACCAAAGTGGTACCTATTTATCTACTCACATTCACATGCTTTTGAATTGCTAGGTTGGCAGGAGCTGGGGCAAGTAACAGGCATTCACCCTGTCACATGTTGACTGGATGCTGAACTGCCAACCTTTTGGTTGACAATCCCAGAATCTTAACCACTCGGCCATCCCCTACAAAAGGTGATATTATAATAAAATAAACATAACCTGGCCCTAACAATACATAAATTACTTCAGATACAGTACTGAAGTTTATAATGACAACTGTTAACCATCAAGGCCTCAAGGCTTTGCCTTTGCTGTCTGAAACACCTATCCTGCAGTGGGCAATTTGATGTTAAGAGAGGCAAAGCATTGGTGATGATGAAGACAGGCTAAATTCTGCTGTTAAACCAGGGTTTCTCGACCTCAGCAACTAAGATGTTCAGCTCTCAGAATTCCCCTGCGTCCACACATCTTAAAACTGTGGAGGTTGAGAAACTATCTTAAACAACCTCCCTCCCCACTTCCCAAAAGGGTAGGGAAATCAAGAGCCTCACCAGAGAAAAGGAGGTTCTGAAGACACATTAGTGTCTTCACCATTAGTAGACCAGTAGAAGACCATTAGTAAAAGACAGAAGGCCCTATTTTTTAATACTTCCCTGCACCTATGCAGTCCGTTTCCCACTTCTGGTGCACAAAAACAGCAAGTGGTGGGAGGCTAAAAACTCTGTGCTCTGTTACAGGTAGGAGTTTTGAGTGAAGCTGGTTGCCTCGTTACAATTCAGAAATCTGTTTTCACAATCTGTGTAATATGTTTGTGGCTATTTCATAACTTCTAATTATGTGGCAACCACTCAAATATACAGTTAGTTGTAACTATAGGAAAAGATTACCCACACACAGCCATAATGGAGTGAGAATCACTTTTCCATCTCAAGCCTTGTAGAGTACAATATACTGAATTCACCTTGTTGTGGTTGATTACACTGTTTATTGGACAGGGGGAAAAAGGAAAGTCTATCCATGATCAGGCAGTAAAAGACACAGCCGTGACTTCACCAAGGTCATTATTCATCCATTTCCTCAGCAATGGTGATGTTTGTATATAGCAGCTGGCAGAGTGGATGATGTGACATCTGCTTTCCCTTATGGAGCAAGGTGTCTGCTTTCTGCCCCCAAGCCAGAGATGGGCAGCACACTGGCAGCTGCTCCCCTGAGTAGGCCACAAACCCATAAACAGCCTCAGGGCAACCAATAAGGGAACAGCAGCCAGGAAGACAAAGCTGCTTTGTGGCTTCTTCTGCTTTTTCTCCGTTTCTGCTGCCTTCTGATATTTTGAAGGATCTACCAGCTCAGCTGAATGCAGGGTATGACACTGTTGTCCTGCCTCAAATAGCAAAGGACCTCTTGGACAGTGCAGTCCATAAATAATTCTTTGAAAGAAGATTCCTACTCCGCTAAATCATTTTAACCTGTATTTTATTCCAATTTCATTTTAATTCATATTTTACTCCATTCATTTTAAATTGTATTTTATCCAATTCGATTTTAAATTGTTTTTATCAGATTTTAGCAATAATTTGTGTCTGGAATTCTGCACTTTGATATGGCCCAAGGGCTAATCAATAAAGTAAACTAAACTTAACTAAACTAAACAAAGCATTATTGACCGCTTTCAGAAGAGGTCTTCATGGGATTACTAAATGTCTAGTGACCTTTTCTTAATGTCCTTTTGAAAAGTAAAATCATAATGCTGGTAGCATAAGCGGGCAAACTGATTGTTTAGAATTGCTTCTACTGGGGTTTAGGCCAGATTTAGAGAAAGAAACTGCCTTGGGAAGCACCTAATCTTGGAATTGAATAAATAGGTTGGAAGGAACCTTAGAGGATATCTAGTCTGATTCCGGGCCAATGCAAAACATCCTGCATTATACCATCCTTGTCAAATTCCAGTGTCAGAAAGTCCACCAGCTTCCAACTCTGGAATCTATTCCATTGTTGAACTGCTCTAACTATTAGGAATTTTTTCTTGATGCCCAGGCAAAATCAGTTTCTTCATAATTTAGACCTGTTGTTTCTTGTCTTGTCTTCTGAAACAAAATTTGATAATTCTTCTCAGTCTTGTGAATAACAACCTTCAGATACCTGAAAATAACAATTATGTCTCCTCACAGTCTTTTTCCCCCCTCCTCCTTTTGTTCCTGTGTAAGCATGCAGGGGTGGTAATTGGCCCAAATTCTGTATTCATAATAGTACTCTCATCTGTTCTTTGTTCTTAAGGCTTTACAGGAGGGGGTGGGGTGGGGGTGGTAGAGATATGAAATGAAATTTAGGTAGCTTTGCTTTGGGGGATCCTGCTCTGACCCCCCTCTACCATTTGGCTCATTTTATCAAATTCTGTCCCCACATCCACATGTGCATATGTTCTCTTCCCCCTATTTCATTAGCCCCCAAACAAACCTGTGACATAAGGAGAGGTGACTGTGTTCACAAGAAACACTGAACTAGAAACTTAACTACAACCATATTGTAGCCTACAATCTTATGTAACCCTAGCAGTGTGCTGTGAAAATATTGGAGTAAATTACAGATAACCATGGTGAACAAACTCGGACACTGACCGGATCAAACTCGCCCAGAGATTTTCCATTATTTAGGGTGGGCTGGAACCTATTCTCCCTGCCCCCACTATTGTTATTGTTGTTGTTACAATTTATATTCTGCCTTTGCTCTAGGAGCTGACAGTGGCACATCTAGCATTGCCTCATCTACAACCCTTTGAGGTAGAACCGACTGGCCCAAAATCTCACAGTTGTTCCAGGGAGATAGATGGGTGGTTAAGAAATATGAAATATAAATAAGTATAAGTAAAAAAATAAAGTTTGCAGGGTTCACTAAGGGCTCTCCCTAGACCAACATCTCAAATCAGTATCACCATCAGACCTTTACTTTGCTGATTTCTGTCATTATTACCTGCTTACCGAGAAGCAAAAGTGGGGTAACTACAAGTGTAAACTTTGCTATTAAAAACGAACCCTGTCGAAAGCATTGCTTACAAAAGGCAACGAAGCAGCTACGTGGACAAGATAGACGGACAAGATTGAACTAACTCAGTGAAAAAAGGCACGGAATTTGTATTCCCCCCCCCCGCCCGAGCCAAACATCGCGAACACCAGGCACAGCGTGGGAAGGGGGCGCAGAGGTCCCGGTCAATGACGAGTTACGCTCCCGCGCTGGAGACAGACATTCGGGGGCCGAGGGGCGCCGGCGGCAGGGAAGCAGCGCACGAAGCGGCGGCGGCAGAAGCAGCTCACTTCCTGGGCACTCGTAAGTTCGACCGGTAGATCCTCCGCGTTCCGCCAAGGCAGGAAGGCAGGAAGGCAGGCAGCGCTTCACCTGCCGGTTTCTCTTCCTTCCTTTCTAGAGCAGAGGGACCGAGGACTCCGCGCCTGCGATCCTAGGCTGGATGCGCCGCTGCCGAAGCCCCAGACTGCAGCCATCGGGAGCCTCGGCTTTTTTGGTTTTTTGTTTAAAGTTGCGTCCAGGGAGATCGGCGTTATCATTCCGAAGTCCGGAGAAAGCCGGCCTCGCTTCGCCACCCAGACGAGAAGATCCCCTGGCCACGCCTCGACCCACTACGGATGGCCCTCTGAAATGAGCCAGGTGGCAAGGAAGGAGGGCGTGGGAAGCCCCGGGCGCGGCGAGCGGCCGGCCGCGGCTGGAAGGCAGCGAGGTAGCGAGTAAACAGGGGGCGCCAGGCCCCGCTCGCTCTCCTTTCGGCAGCCTCTTCCATTTCGGCGGAGATGAGCGGCTGGGCAGGGCTGGCCGGGCTCCTCCTGGCCGTGGCTGGGGCTCAGAAGCAACTGCTGGCGCCGCCGACTAGCCTTCGTCCTGCCGCCGCGGAACACGCCGCTCAGTTCGACCACGTCTTCAACGGGACGGTCAACCGAGGCACGGAGCGGCTGTACTCCTTCAACTACACCAGTAAGGCGGGCCAGGTAAGGCGGCAGGTGTTCTCTGGGGCAGGTGCGGCTGGAGCCCTGGAAGGCGGCGCGACTCGGGGGAGAGGGAGAGCCGGGGAGGGTCGGCTGGCGGGCTCGGGTGGCGAGGCGGGAGGAGACCTCCGGTGGGGGGCAAATGCTGAAGGCCTGCGGGGCTCAGATGATGGGGAAGGTAGGAGAGGGACAAGGCCTAGCCATTCGGAATTGAAAACCAGTCGGGTTATTCATTCATTATCCCTTTCAAGACACACACACACACCATTTTGGCAGTTTCCTAGGAGCTAGCTCTTTTTCTGAACTGTTTTTTTTTATGCGATTGTGTCTGCAAATAAAACTCCCATTTAAACAAACTTCAGATTTCCCTGTTCTTTCTGAGTCATGACAAATGCTTCTGTTGCTTCCTTGAGATAATGGCAGAGCACATGTTATCGTGGAATTACATAACAGTTAACCCCACATTGGTAATTAGTGAAAATTCCATCCATCCATCACACTGTTCTGGTGTGTGTGTGTTAAGCAATGTTATTCAAAGTGCAATAAAAGAAAAGGTGTTAATAAGAGATTAAATTAAAGAGATGCTCATTCATTCTCTGTATGTGACCACCAAACCATTTAAATGCATTTCTTTTATTTGAGCAGTGTTAGACTTCAGGGTTTACATCTCTGTGTGTGTCCATCTATCTGTCTATCTGTCTGTCTGTGTGTATCACTGTGTGTGTATGTGTGTACACATATGCCTGTGTGTGTGTGTGTGTGTGTAAACCCTGAAGTCTGACACTGTCCAAATGAAAGAAATATATATTCTTTCATTCATTCATTTTCTTTAAGTATTTTTTTTTCACGTCTATCACTTACTTTTGCATTCAATCCAGTTTGTTTATTTTTGACTCTTTCTATTTTACCATATACCCTTAAAATAACCCATTCCCTTTGCATTCAAAGTACTTTTGCTTCTCCTGACATACCCAACTCTTAGTTCTATGTAAGAAAGAGGACAAAGTATACAGTATGTTTGCTTATTTTGATGCACATTCAGTCTTTACAATAATCTCCGTATTACTGGCTCTTTTTTTTATCAGCAAAGAAAAAAAATACTACCTGGAAATGTGAAAAGAACAAATCCTTTGCTGAACTAGAAAATAAAAATAACAAAGCAAAACATGTAAATATTTAAATTGCCAGCCTTATAGTCAAGTTAATGTATGTATGTGTATGTGTATGTATATGTACAAATCTAATAATTTTTCATTCCCTATATATAAGCCAATAAATAAAGCGAAATGTTTCAGTCCTGGTGTCAAAAAACTCATGGTCTCATTCTGTGGCCTCAATCACACAGAAAATGCTGTTCTACAGTCTCCCTTGAGGAGCAGCTGTCTAGAGCAGCAGTCACCAACTGGTGGTCCACGAGAAAATTTTGGTGGTCCACAGAAAAATGATTTGCATTTTTTTAAACAATTTTTTATTTTTTTTCAGACACACAAGCATAAAATACATAATTTCTGAACAGAGTATTGACCAAGTCAAAATTCATACAGCTTATTTTCTCCATATTTACTATATATACTCCAATTTCTGCCAATATTCTACTTTCCCACTTTTATCTATTTTTTTATAGAATATATAATCAATATTACCATCCGCCCTTGCCTCCTTATCTTCACCTAAGGTGGACCAAATTTGATCTAATTATTTGCATTGGGCCAGATACGTGCAATGAACGGTTGTGTTGCTGCAGAGAGTCTCCCCCTTTGTGGTCTTTTTGTGCGGGTTGGAGGGGGACAGAAATTCCAACTTGGGGTCTGCTTCAGCCTCCTGGTGCGGGGCTTTGGGTGAAGGCTGGAAGGGTGCACCGCTGGTGGTGAAGAGCTGGGGGCCTTGTTCCAGTGGGACTGCATCATTGCCTGGAACTGGCTGACCATCTCAGCCCGCTGAGCCTCCAGGCGCTGATACCTGGCCTTGCACTCCCACAGGTCTTTCCTCTGCTTGGAAAGCCTATGCTAGTAGTCCTCAGTGAGGTGTTTCTGCTGAGCCTCCTTCTTGTTCAGATCCAATTTGAACTGAGCCAGCTGTTTTGCCAACTCTTTCTGGTGGTGGCTGCTTAGCTCCAACAACTGCTTCCTGTTGGGGCCCTAAGGAGCCCAGGCAGGCAGGCGAGGAGTAGTGAGTAGAGGCTGGCAAGGCACCCCTCGAAGTGAGTGACATCGAGTTGGCCACGCCCACCCAGTCACATGAAAACCTTGCCACGCCCACCCAGCTGGTCATTAGGCAGATCATATTAGTGGTCCGCAGGATTTAAAATTATGAATTTAGTGGTCCTTGAGGTCTGAAAGGTTGGTGACCCCTGGTCTAGAGCACATGTGGGTGATTTCCCTTTCTTTCATTGCCTAGAGAGGTTTCAAAGAACTGATCTACTTACCGGTTTCTTGATCTTACCTGTGATCATTAGCTCGGCTTTTGCAGAGCCTCTTCACTTCACTATAACTCCCATGAAAGCCATTATTTTCCCCAACCTGTGATTCAATTTTTAACAACAAATTCAGTCTGGACCATATAGTCTTGTCTGTTGGTTAATACAAAGATTATTTAAAGACAAAAAGTTAACAAATTTATGAAGCCAAAATTTAAAATTGAGGATAAGCCATTCTTCCGTGAATCACTTTTTTTTGAAACAGTCCAAACATGATATAGTATATTCAAAGTTCTTCACTGATTGAAAAATTCCAGGGTTTGGGAATATAATTTAATGAAATATTGACAAACTTAACCATTAACTGCGTTTGAAGAACCTGGATCATCATAGCAAAACTACCTAACATGGAATTACAAAGAGACAAGTCTGAATCAACTATATATATATATATATAACCGTGTAAATAGATGATTATAGACATTAATATAAATACAAAAATGGAAAATACTCCACCGTTATAGTAACTTCTAAGAGTCAGTCATTGGACTGAATCGATGTTTGTTAGTTTTGTATGTTATTTTATGTATCTATGTTGGTTTTGTTTTTTCTTTTTATTATTAATAAAAATTTAAAAAAAAAAACAAAAAAAAAAACAAAGAGACAAGTCTGTAACATGTATCTATTTTCCTTAGAATTATTACAACTCTAAGCTAAAAAAGTGGGAACTAACCTTTTTAAAAACATTCTTGGAGGAGTCCAATAGACCTCAAGAAAATATTTTTGCTGAATCAAACAAGTTGTAAGAAATATGTCTACTATTGTTTAATACTTGGAGCCATTGATTGAGTAGTGTATCACTATTCCAAATTGCTTGACTATTTCAATAGTTATTGAATAGTTATAGATTTAGTTTCCATAAACAACAGAGGCCACCCCACTAATTTCAAAACCTCTGGTGTTTCTGAGGCTCTAAACCTCATACATAGCAAGTTATTTTATCTGTATGTGTTGCTATTCAATCTTTCTAGGAAATTATATTCTTTACATATAATTTCAAAACTTTTAAAAGTATCCTTATTTAAGAATAAATAATTTGTTATTTATTTGTTCAGTCACTTTTTCCTGCACTATGGTGAATTGTAGTATAACATGATCACTTTCTCAAAAAATACTTATAATTTCCATTCCTTTAACCAACCTAACCTTATTAGTTAGGATTAAATCCAGTATAACTGATCTTCTAATTCCCTCCTCCGCCATTTGGGTGACAAAGTTGTCAACTAGGCATATCAGAAACCTGTTAGATAACCCACTCACTGCAGAATTTGTTTCCCACTACTGTTTACCTTGGCTAACTGATTAGCAAAAAGTTTGTCTACAGGTAGTCCTTGACTTACAACAGTTTGTTTAGTGACTGTTCAAAGTTACAACGGCACTGAAAAATGTAACTTATGACCGTTTTTCACACTTACGATCATTGCAGTATCCCCCATGATTATGTGATCAAAACTCAGATGCTTGGCAACTGGTTCATATTTATGACGGTTGCAGTGTCCCAGAGTCATGTGATCACTTTTTGTGACCTTCAGACCAGCAAAGTCAATGGGGAAGCCAGATTCACTTAACAACCAGATTACTAACTTAACTGCATTGATTCACTTACCGTAACAACTGTGGCAAGAAAATTGTAAAATGGGGCAAAGTTCATTTAACAAATGTCTCACTTAACAACACAAATTTTGGGCTCAATTGTGGTTGTGAGCCGAGGACTACCTGTATTTCCTCTGCTTGGTTGAGTGGCCTATAATTTTTTTCCCCTCTAATATTCACCCAAATACCTTCAAGAAGGCTTTTATCCCTAGTATTGTGTATTTCTATAGAGGTGTAGCAATTTTTCACATACAAAGGAATTCCTCCCCCTCTTTTTGAGTCGGTTCTGGGTTTTTTTAACAATTTATATCCTTTTAGCATTATATTCCAATCACTGGTTCCATCTCACCAAGTTTTAGAAATTACAACAATATTGTACCTGCCCTCGTGTATTAGGTCTTCATGTTATCCCTGTTTGTTACCAAACTCTGAGCATGCATAATGTCTTTATAAGTCTGCTTCTTCTCTTTGTGGGCCGGATCCTAGCTTACTCCCTTCAAAAAAGGATTAAAGTGGAAATACCATCGCAGTTACTCTGAACAGAATAGGCATTCATTGATGAAGTACCCCTGCTGTCTCTGTCTCTATGCAGGTGGATGCCCTCCGTGTTACCGTGAAGAGTGACTCTGAAGATGATCAGTACCCTGTCTTGTTTGTAGTTCGGCAACAAAAGGGGGTGCTGTCCTGGCAGCTCCCTCTCATTTTTCATGGGCTGTAAGTAATTGCTTCCTATCATAAAATATTTATCTCTATCCTGTTTAGTTTTTCTCATTTCAATGTCTTCCCTCAAATTCCTTCTAAAAAGATTTTTTTAAAGGCAGCTTCTTACTCTTTCCCTGCTAGAGAAGACGCATTCCTTCATTTGTTTTGCAACATTGCATTTTACTTAGTGGTGTATTTATTCTTTATTGTATAGAGAATTTACACTGAGTTAAATGTGTAGAGATAAGGACAGATAGTAAGTTTAAAAAATAATTCATTATTGCCAGTTTAATCTCTTTAATTGTATTTAATTGAATCCTAATAGCTGTCCAAAGTAGATAGTAATTCCCGATCAAAGAACTTTTTTTTTTTACCACATTGGTTTTCATATAAGTTTGGGCATTATCTTAAGCTATCATTTGAATAAATATGCCTAAAAAGTATTAAAATATCCAGCCTTTTCTCCGCTAAAAAGCTGTGTGAAGTGTGATATTTTGGATGTGTTGTTTTTGGAGTTTTATAAAATAGACATGCACAACTCATAATGGCTGGAAATATATGTTTACTATGAATTAACCTCTTTTATGTTATACTTAATTTATTTGTTAAATTTATACATTTATATTAAAATGAACCCAAACTGGCTTGTTGTAAAGTACAGATATAACATGATAGGAACAATGGGAATAATGAAACACATGGGAGATCAATATATTTGTTTCAGCAGAGTCAAGATAAGAGCCTGCTATCTGGTCCCACTCAGTAATTAACAAACTGTTCTGAGTAAGCTAGTTTTCAGACTATCTTCTTGTGATAACCCAACTTGGAGGTTAGTAGAACATTAATTTTTGGGGTTTCAATGGCAAACACCAGAAATATGAGTTTCGTAGTACCGGATATCCAATTTTTCCAACATTTTCTATTTGATCTGTTGGGGTAATTTCATTCTTGTCAAAAACATCACTTCTTGAGCAAAGAAACCTCTAGCCACCAGCTTGCATTTAATATCCATCTACAACTCCTTTCATAATTCTACTGCTTCATTTTGGAAATAAAAGAAATGGGTGTCAGTGGCTGGCAGTTAATTCAAAATAAGCTACTGGAGAACAAAATGAAAGGCTTTATTGTATTTATTTATTTATTTATTTATTTATTTATTTATTTATTTATTTATTTATTTATTTATTTATTTATTTATTTATTTTAAATTTATATACCGCCCTTCTCCCTGAGGACTCAGGGCGGTGTACAGCCAGAATTAAAAAACATAAAATACAAATATTAAAAAACAATTAAAATATATATAAATTTGGCCCAAAATTAAAAATACAAACCAATTAAAACATTTAAAATTTCTTCTTAAGCCAGCCCGGCTTGCTGGAAAAACTGGGTTTTAAGGGTACGGCGGAAGGCACTAAGGTCTTGGATTCTCCTTATCTCTGGGGGCAACTGATTCCAGAGGGTGGGAGCCCCCACAGAGAAGGCCCTCCCCCCAGGGGTCACCAGCCTACATTGATTGGCTGATGGCACCCTGAGGAGGCACTCTCTGTGGGAGCGCACGGTGCGATGGGAGGTCGTCGGTAGCAGCAGGCGGTCTCAAAGATAGCTAGGCCCGATGCCATGGAGCGCTTTAAAGGTGATAACCAGCACCTTGAAGTGCACCCAGAAGACCACTGGGAGCCAGTGCAGCTCGCACAGGAGCGGTGTTACATGGGAGCGCCATGCTGCTCCTGTCACTACCCGCGCTGCTGCATTCTGGACCAGTTGGAGCCTCCGGGTGCTCTTCAAGGGGAGCCCCATGTAGAGAGCGTTGCAGTAGTCAAGGCGAGAGGTGACGAGGGCATGAGTGACTGTGCACAGGGAATCCCGATCAAGAAAGGGCCGCAACTGGCGGATCAGGCGAACCTGACAAAAGGTCCCCCTGGTTACAGTTGTCAGATGTTCCTCCAAGGACAGCTGCATATCCAGGAGGACTCCCAGATTGCGAGCCCTTTCTGTGGGGGCCAAAGACTCGCCCCCAATAGTCAGTGATGGAGTCAACTGACTATATCGGGATGCCGGGAGCCACAGCCACTCAGTCTTGGAAGGGTTGAGCTTGAGCCTGTTCCTCCCCATCCAGATCCGCACAGCCTCCAGGCACTGGGACATCACTTCAAGGGCATCATTGGGGTGGCCTGGGGTGGAGATGTACAGCTGGGTGTCATCAGCGTACTGGTGGTATCTCACCCCGAAGCCACGGATGATCTCGCCCAGTGGCTTTACATAAATGTTGAACAGAAGGGGCGAGAGGACCGATCCCTGCAGCACTCCACAGATGAGAGGCCTCGAGGTCGACCTCTGCCCCCCTGCCAACACAAACTGCGACCGGTCGGAGAGAAAGGAGGAGAACCACCGCAACATGGTGCCTCCCACCCCCAACTCTTCCAGCCGGTGCAGCATGATACCATGGTCGATGGTATCAAAAACCGCTGAGAGATCTAACAGGACCAGAACAGAGGAGCAACCCCTGTCCCTAGCCCTCCAGAGATCATCAACCAACGCGACCAATGCCGTTTCCGTGCTGTGCCCAGACCTGAAACCTGACTGGAACGGATCTAGATAAGATGTTTCCTCCAGGAATTGTGGGAACTGTCGTGCGACCACACTCTCCACAACCTTCGCCATGAAGTGAAGGTTGGAGACAGGACGGTAGTTGGCCAATATTGCCGGATCCAGGGACGGCTTCTTGAGAGGCCTCACCACCGCCTCCTTCAAGGCAGCGGGGAAGTGGCCCTCACTCAGCGAAGCGTTGATAACACCCTGGAGCCAGCCTCGTGTAACCTCCCGGGAAGCCAGTACCAACCAGGAGGGACATGGGTCCAGTAAACATGTGGCCGCACTAAGTCTCCCCAAAATCCTGTCCACATCATCGGGAGTCACAGCGTCAAACTCCTCCCAGATAACATTCTCAAGACTATTCCTCGTCACTCTGCCCTGATCTACCCAGTCAGAGTCCAAATCCCCCCGGATCTGAGCGATTTTGTCATACAGGTATTGTCCAAAATCCTCCGCCCTGCCTTCCAAGGGATCCTCCCGCACTCCCGGATGGAGCAGGGAGCGGGTCACCCTAAACAGGGCGGCCGGACGATTTCCTGATGACGCAATAGAGGCGGAAAAGTAATTAAACTTTGCCGTCTTTATCGCCACTAGGTAGGTCTTAATATGCGACCTTACCAGTGTTCGATCAGATTCAGCGAGACTGGCCCTCCAACCGCTCTCCAGGCGTCTTTTCCGGCGCTTCATTTCCCTCAGCTCCTCGGTGAACCAAGGAGCCGCACGGGATCGGCACCGGGTCAGAGGCCGCAAAGGCACGACTCGGTCCAAGGCCCCACCAGCCGCCCGATCCCAGGCGGCTACCAGGTCCTCGGCCGAGTCATGTGCTAGAACCTCAGGAAATGGCCCAATGTAGATTGGTATAAAGAAATAAGAATCTGTTTTAGCTTTCTGGAATTATCTTTCTCTGTTCGAACTGAAGCCTGCAGGTCTCCAATCAAGAGATCTAGCAAGAAGAATATTGTGTTTTGATTATACCATTACCTGGTGAAATCCAGGAGAATAAACAAAGTATTGTTACGGTACTTTTGTTGGAAACCATTCTAAAAACTACCAAAAAAATCAAAAAACAAACCTCAGGTAATGATTATAAAGTGAAAAAATAACACCTAGATATATTACAGGATTAAAATAAATCTATTTTAAAATATTCTTTGAAAGATACAATAAATGTGAAATAATATTTTTCATGCATTAATTTCATTTTTTTTCATGTTTCTAAACACCTGGACCCTTGATTCTCCAAAATTGGATTATTTCAATTCATCCTCCCAAATTCAATTACATGACTAATTTTAGTTTTTAATCCCTTGCAATGTTCAGTTGTTGGTTTCTTTCAGGCATTGCATCTTTTAAGGTACTTACGACTGCAGGTATTTCAAAAGCTGTTAGGCATCTGAGCCATACTGCTTGATTAATACCTCTTTCAGTTATATATATTGTCAAACAAATACTATAGAGAAATTATATTCAACACATAATCTCTCAAAATCTTTCATATAGCCATTTGAAATCAGCTGAGTTAAAGTGTTGATCCAAGCATTCCAATAAAACATATTTTCCTGCTATTATAAAATTCGGCTTATTCCATACCACCAATATAACTTAATTTATAACAATATGATTTCATATAGTCAAAGTGATTCAAGGTCAAAATATAATTGCTTGGTAATCAAATATGTCTAGCAGCTTTCATAGCTGGAAACAAAGATTCCTGTCTAGCAAAGCATGTCAGAATTTCCAGGGTGTTAAATCTTTACTCTTCATATTGGCTGAAGAGAGGAAGACTCCTCAAAACTCCTCAAAAGTCTTGTGCAATAGTGATTTGTTTAGTGACCTTCTGGCTAACTAATCTTGAAAAGGGGAAGTAGAATCAGACATTGTTAAATATCTGGAGAGGAGACCACCAGGAAATTCCAGAGATGTGGACTAAACTGCAAAGTCAAAAAACACCTTAGAAAAAAGCAAGAGGGCATCATTTCTATATTATTGCCAACAAAACTGCAGGGATATGTCCATAAAGTCACCAGAAGTTGAACTCAACTTGAAGACTTCACTTGTTATCTTGCATCTGTTTTCTTGGCCAAATTCAAGTATAGGACATGGATTGGAGGCTGACTGGTGCTGGACAGATTTCAAAGAGAAAAGGTCACCAGCAATTAGGAATTGATGCAGAAAAGTCAATAGGCAGATAACGAGATATAAACAGGATTAGCAGAGGTAGATAACAGAAGATAAGACAAAAGGCATGTTAGGTGTATGCTATGGAAATTGCTCAGGCTAAAAAAATAACTTGGATGTCAACAAAGTGCACTGATTATATTCAAAGTAGTCCTAAAGGCCAAGAGGTACTCTTCACCCACAATGCTGGAACTGCTTAATGCCTGAAAGAATAGAGCACTTGTGACTCTACTTATTGGCTCCTAGTTCATGACATATTCCAGACACAGTAACACTTGCTCTGAGTGAAGGAGTTATTTTTATTTCCTCCCTTCTGTTTTAAATGGCAGTTTGTTTTATAACATAGACATAAATATTTGGATGAAATTATCTTCATTTATATAATATTTTATGGTGTCTGAGTGCAGACACCTATAGGACCCTCTAAGATTTGACTGGCTTCACCTTGCTGTCCTTTAGAAACACTTTTTAAAAACCTGGGTTTTGAAGAGTCGAAGGCCAGGTTGATTTATGATCCCAGCTGGTACAGGATGGATAATTAGTATTTAAGTATATGTTTTTCTCCAAAGCATTACACTCAACTGTGTGGGTTTTTTTAAATGCAGGTTTTATTCTGAATGTCAGATTTTGCTTTGTGTCGACAGCTACCAAAGAAGTTACAACTACACAGAAGTCAGCCGTACCCTCTGCCCCTCTGAATCTGTACCTGAGAATGGATCTTCCGAGCAAATCGTATTTATAAATGTAGCTTCCATGGCTCCTTATAATGCCCACTATCAGCTGCAAGTTACCAAAATTAAGAACTTCCAACTTAGGTGAGTGGTCAGTTTCTGGATTTACCATTTCAGAACAATGGAAAACCAAAGTTTTGTTGTTGTTTGGATCACTATATCAAAAACAGCACTGGCTGAAAAATTAACACAACAAATCCATGTTTAAGCATCCTTTAGGTAAGGATTGTTCTACTCATAGTTGATTGCCATGTTTAACTAAATTGATGTAATTATTATTATTTTTTTAATTGAAAAAGTTTTACAATTACATTTTCTCCCCAATTTCCCCCCCAACCCTCCCTAACCTCCCTAACCCTCCCTAGCCCCCCTAGCCCACCCCTCCCCCCAGACTTCCACAAAATATAATCAAAATCAAAATCCCCTTTTTATAAAACTTGAACCCCTCCACCCCCTGTATATTTTTCACACCTTCACAAAATTCAATTATTCTATCTCTATATAATACTTTCAGTTAAAAGCTATCTGATATTTCCTAGTTTGATATTTATTCTGCACAAAATCTGTCCACTTTTTCCACTCCCATACATAAGTCTCTTGTGAGCGATCTTTTAAATATGCTGAAATCTTCGCCGTCTCTGCAAAGCTGGCCATCTTCAAAGTCCATTCATCAATATTAGGCATAGCTTCATTTTTCCAATATTGACCTATCAGTAATCTCGCTGCTGTTATCATATACAATATCAACTTTGTTTCACCCAATGTAAAACCTTTAACTATACCCAATAAAAACAATTGTGGAGAAAACTGAATTTTTTTCTTCAAAACATTCTGCATAACCCACCAAATTTTTATCCAAAAAGCCTTCACTTTCTTACAAGTCCACCACACATGATAATATGTGGCATCTAGGCAATCACATCTCCAGCATTTTGGTTGAACATTAGGGTACATGCACGACAATTTCTTAGGATCTAAATGCCATCTATAAAACATTTTATAAAAATTTTCCCTCAAATTCTGCGACTGTGTAAATTTAACATTCTGAACCCATATTTTTTCCCATGTTTCCAACATCACTGGTTCTGCAAAATTTTGTGCCCACTTTATCATGCAATCTTTAAGCAATTCAGTTTCTGAATCCCTTTCTAACAAAACATTATAAACCCTTTTAATATGCATTGGACCTTTCTCTTTTATATGTCTAACCAATTCTTCCTCATGCATCATTATACCAGTTTTTTGGTCCTCTTTCCATCTCAATTGAAGTTGATTATACTGTAGCCAAGTTAAATTAATCCCTTCTTCCAACAGCGTTTCTAAAGTCTTCAGTTGCCATCTGCCTGCATCTGCAAAAAGAACTTCTTTATATAAAACCCCCCCGAGTGAAATTGATTTAATTATTAATCAAATTCATAGGGATGCCTATCTCATAGATAATGACTATAAATATCATATATAACACAGCAATTCTCAATAGATTATTCCTATACAAATATGTTTGGGGATATAAATATTAAATATCAATGTTTAAAGTGTTCTTTTTCCTTAAGATTATAAAGAATTTTTATATACTCCCATTTATATATCATTTTGTTTTTGTCCTTATGCTGTTATTTTCAATATTTGTTCATTTGTTTAAATAGAAAAACAAAAAACCTCTACAGTTTAAAAATTCCCATGGGCAAAATGGGAGGCCACAGTTAAAAAACACACATTTGTTTTACTAATTACAAGCTGTTTGGACTGCTTGCATGGAGACAATGCAAGCTGTAGACGTATGTCCCACTGATGCTGCAGACCGAAGTAGCGGGCGAAATGCAAAACTGAGGACCCCACAATGTGACAGGAATAACACAAAAAACAAGAAGAGAAACAGCTAGAGCCAAACCCTCTGAAAAAACCAGTAGCAATAGATTTATTAATCTAGGGCTAGGCCATAAACTATATTATAAACAGCAAAGGCTTCTTGTTAAAAATATTGGCCTTCTATTATGTACACTGCATATCCCCACTTTTGCGTGTCAAATCAATTTATATGCAAAGCTGACCAGAAAGAGAGTGAAGAAAGCAACATAGTGCTAACATATGGCATGCAAGCTAAAAATGTTTAGTCTGAGTGTCAACAGCTTGCTGCCTGCATCACACAGCTTTCCAGGTCCATCTGCATCCAACCCATGCTGTTTTTCCTGCCCAATCCTTCAGGTTTGGATTCTCTTGCCTACTGGTCTGTGGGCTTGCGTCACCTTTTAGCCTCAATTCTGTGTGCTAATTTTGCATGCATCCAATTCTCACACCATTCTTAAGAAGAATTTGGAGGGATTGGAGCAGGTTTAAAGAAGGACAATGAGGATTATCAGGTAATTAGAAAGTAATTGCACAGTTGGTTTTATGAAGACAGAATGAAGGGGTTAGAGAAGTGATAATTGAGAGAATTTGAATACAATAGGAATTTTCAAACATCTGAATGCTGTTGCAGAATGGGGACAAATACTATTAGCACAGTAATGAAGTCTGCAATTATTTGCATTTCTTGGATCACAGAGGAAAAGTTCTTGGAGCATTGGGGAACTAACTGAGAACTGGAAAAGAACTGATGTAGTCCCCACCTTCAAAAAAGAAAAAAAAACAGATCTAGAAAATTATAGACCAATCAGCCTGATGTAAAAACCTGGGAAGATGTTGGAAAAGATAAACAACAATTCTGCAAATACCTAGAAGCAAACAAAGTTATAATCAGAAGCCAACATTGGTTTGTCAAAAACAGATCATGCCAAACAAATCTTGTCATTCTTTGACAAAGTGACTAAATTAGTGGATCAGTGAAAAGCTGTGGACATAGTATACTTAAATTTCAGTAAAGCATTTGATAAAGTAGACCACAACTTCTTGGCAAGCTAGAAAAATGTGGGATAGACAGCATCAGCACCTGATGTGTTTGTAACTGGCTAAGAAGTCATATTCAACGTGTAGTCCTCAATGGAACTAAATCTACATGGAGGGAAATAAGTAGTGGGGTACCCCAAGATTTTTGGGCCCAGTACTCTTCAATATCTATGATCTAGATGAGGGAATAGAAGGGGAACCCATCAAATCTGCATAGGATACTAAGCTGTCAGAAATAGCCAACAACCCAGAAGACAAGTTCAAGATCCAAAAAAAACTTGACAGACCTTAACACTGGCCCCTATCTAATAAAATGAAATGTAACGTAGATAAAAGTAAGATTTTACATTTACAGTAGGCAAGAAAAAACAACTGTATAGGTATAAGAGAGACGAAACTTGGCATACGCCAGTAACTGTGAGAGGGATCTTGGAGTCCTAGTGGGCACTCATTTAAATATGAGCCAATTGTCTGTGGCAACAGCCAAAAAAAGCCAATGCAATCCTAGATTGCATTAATAATAGGATCAAGATCACGTGAAGTTCCAGTACTGCTTTACAAAGCCTTAGTAAGGCCACACTTGGAATACTGTATCCAGTTCTGGTCACCACAATATAAAAAAGATGTTGAGACGCTGGAAAGAATGCAGAGAAGAGCAACAAGAATGATTAGGGAGCTAGAGGCTAAAACATATGAAGAACAGTTACAGGAATTAATTATGTCTAATTTAATGAAAAGAAGGACTAGGGGAGACATGATAGCAGGGTTCCAATATTTGAGGGGCTCCTACAAAGACAAGTGAGTGAATCTATTTTCCAAAGCACCGGAAGGCAAGGCAAGAAACTGGTGGAAAATAACCAAGGAGACAAGCAATTTAGAACTAAGAAGAAATTTTCCTAATACTAAGAGCAATCAATCAATCAATCAATCAATGGAACAGCTTTTCTTCAGAAATTGTGCATTCTCCATCACTGGAAGCTTTCAAAAAGAACCTGGACAACTATTTATCTGAAATGATATAGGACCGTGATGGCGAACCTATGGCATGCGTGCCACAGGTGGCACATGGAGCCATGTCACCTGGCATGCCAGCTCAGCCTCTCTAGGAGTCTCTGGAGGCTGGGGACAACAAAAATGTCATTTCCCCCCTGAGGGGGGGTCATGCATGCATGCATGCACAGGACGGGGCACATAGAATTATGGGTGTGGGCACATGCACGCTCGCGAACCTCCCCCGCCCCCCCTTCCTGGCACGCGATGGCAAAAAGGTTAGCCATCACTGATATAGGGTCTCCTGCTTGAGGAGGTGGTTGGATTAGAAGACCTCCAACGTTCCTTCCAACTCTGTTATTCTATGTTCTATGTTCTTTGTTTTCAACAACTTGAATATTCAGAACAATGGAAGATGTCATTAGCAGCAGAGGAGGAACTTGTTTTGCATCAAATATGATATTTATCAAATATGATAAATTAATGGATTCCTTGTAGCTTTCCTTGTAGAACACAATCCAGATTCCCTCTAAGAGTGAGATGAAAGTTCTTAAATATGACAAATAAATCAATAAACACATTTTTTACTCTATGACCTCCTCTTTACAGTTGCAAGTAGGCAGAAGAATTTTCTCAGAATAGTTTGATACTATGCTACTGTTTTGCAAGTTTTTGAAGAAAGGGTATAGGACAAGTGTTGCTACTTAAGCTTTATTTTTAGGTATTTGTATTATTTTAATGCAGTTGAGAATTACTAGCTAAAATCCACAAGTGCATGTCTGCTGTCATGATGCCTTATGTCTGCAAGGTGCAGAGCAGAAGTGATTTTATATACCCTCCAAATCTTCCCTCTTTATCAAAATCCTTTTGTTATTATTTTTTCTGCAGACTATTTTTTTTAGTCCTCTATTTTTTATATACTGTTGATGATTTATGCAACTTCTGGCACTTTGTGAACAGATGATAGGTGATCAGCGAAGGTATCAAATAACCGTCTCTAATTTTGGTCTCTTTTTCAATTATCTTTGCTTTTTCAACCATCAGGAACTTCTCTGATGACTCATACCCTTGCATCATGTATCCAAAGTATTTAAGTTATAGTTTTAGCTTCATTGCTAGAGTTTGGGGAAAGCAATCTGGTTTCATCTGGTATGGAATAATTTGTTCTTTGCAGTTCAAGGTATTCCCAACAATTTTCTCCAGTATCAATATTCAAAACATCAAATTTTCTTTGTTCATTTTTTCAAGGTCCAACTTTCACAGCCATGTGTTACGCTTGGAAGCCGATGGCTGTGACAGTATCTACCTTGGTTGTCACTGTGTGGTTTCTATTGTTTAGTATTTTGTGTAGATATGTCCACGTAAGTCATCTTACTTGGACATAAAGTCATCTTCCCTGTGAATTTTTGAGCCTAGGAAGATAAAGATGGTACTGCTTCAACTTTCCCTATTTGCATTGAATTAAGTCTTTCTTCTATCATCTATTTCTGTTACTATCAGAGTAGCATATCTACATATCAGATGTTGAATTTTGTCCCAGAGTTTTAATTCCTATTTCTTCTAGTCTAACATTTCTCATGGTATGTTCTGCAAATAAGCTAATAAATAGACAATGTACACCCTAGACAAGCTCCAATTTCCAATTTCGCCTGTTACTTGTTCTGTATTCCCTTCTAACTGTTGCTTCCTGATCATCGTACTTCAATAGGCATAGAAAAGAGCCCAGTTCGCAGTTGTTTTTAAATATTTGTTGTGGTCTACACGATCAAAAGCCTTAGTCTCATTGATAAGGCAGAAACAGATGTCCTTTTGGAACTTCACTGCGTTTTCCTTATAAATACATACACAGGAGAGAATCAAATATTTGAACTCTATAATGTGTACAAGATATTCATCAGTAGAGTTTTTGTTTATTCCAAAATCATCTATATATTCATGGGTGAAGCTAATTTGGAAAAATGAACCCACCTGTGGATATCTAATGAAGTTCTTACCACAGTTTCTAACTGCTATCTGCTATCTTATCTGTTTCATATTTTATCTTAATATCTGGACAAATTTCCTTTTTTTCCACAGCATGGACACTACTTTTACATTCACTGCCAGCCCCTCTCAGCCACAGGTAAGTGACAATAATTATGTATGCTAATGATAAATACATCTTTTTAAAGTTTAGTTAAAATCCAAGATGTTAGAATATTATTTTTTGCTATTTAGTAAAGTAGGATACATTTGCCCTATATTAGGGCAGGATGGAGCCAAACTTAGGGCAGGATGGAGCCAAAAATTAAACAGCTATTAATAAAAAAAAGCCTCAACATTATAAAATCAATGCTTATACATAGATTAAAGCCTCAAGTAAGATACAAATGTTTGTATAAATAGCCAGATCTTTACTTCACACTGGAAGGAAGTCAATATTGCTGCCAGCTGTACAATTTTATTCATTGGCACTGAAATGAAATTGCATCGGTTGCCAGCTGTACATTCCTATATACAATAATGGGCAGCTCTTAATGACAGGATGAAGAGTCCAAGAAGGTACAAAAGCAGCTCTTCTTCATATAAATCAATATCTTAGACTGTGTAGGACTTTGGTGTTATTAACTACCATTATATAACGGGCAGAGAGGCAAATGTAAACTGATAAAATCTCTCTTCTGTCTTCTTGGATTCTTGAGTCCAGATTGCTATTAAACTAGATAAATCTCTTCTGGAGGACATGGAATGTCTATATATAATGGCAACTCTAATATTCCAATCTAGATGAATACTATACTGGTACCTGGATATCCAATGCTGGATGATACCTAATTCAACAAGTTCCTCTACAGTACTCAGGTGTGGATATTTATGCCAGGGAAGTACAAGGTTCATTGGTATGATCTTGTAGTAGTATTAGAAGCTGCATGAACCTGATAATGAAATGGAATAAAAATTTGAAATCTCTTTAAGATCCAGATTGTATTGCAAATCAATCTCCAGCTGGGGCTGATAGCTACATCAGTTGACGATAAAAGAGATGCCAGGAATGATTTCCTCAGAGATGAAGAAACCAACCTGGCATCCTGGCATTAGATCCACATCTAATTTATCCTATTACTCTTGTTTGTTGAACAACAAAAAATATTAAAATAGCAAAAATTTCAATTTTGATTCACTCTTTAATAAAGTGAATCAGAAATATAAGACATAATGGAAATGGATTCATAATGGAAAAAAGTGGATTCCACTTGATAGCCCTTGTCATGGTCAGATCACTCCCTCCTTCGCTTTGACCTTCGAACCGCCACACCCCACCGCAGGGAGGCGGAACCGATGAGGTGGTTCCGCCCCAGGCGCCTGATGGACGCGGATAGGTTCCAGACGGAGCTTGGGCCATTTCCTGAGGCTCTGGCACACGGTTCGACTGAAGATCTAGTGGCTGCCTGGGATTGGGCGGCCGCTGGAGCTTTGGACCGGGTCGTGCCTTTGCGGCCTCTAACCCGGCATCGATCTCACCTGGCTCCCTGGTTCACCGAGGAGCTGAGGGAGATGAAACGCCAGAAAAGACGCCTGGAGAGCAGTTGGAGGGCCAGCCGTTCTGAATCTGACCGAACACTGGCCGAACCTACCTGGTGGCAATAAAAGCGGCAAAGTGTAACTATTTTTCCGCTCTTATTGCGTCATCAGATAATCGCCTGGCTGCCCTGTTTAGGGTGACCCGCTCCCTGCTCCACCAGGAAGCGCGGGAGGACCCCTTGGAGGGTAGAGCCGAGGACTTTGTACAATATCTGTATGACAAAATCGCTCAGATTCGGGAAAATTTGGACTCTGACTGGGTAGATTCGGGAGGGAGGATGGAGGCAAGTCTTGAGAATATTATCTGGGAAGAGTTTGATTCTGTGACTCCAGAAAACGTGGACAAGATACTGGGCAGACTGAGCGCGGCCACATGTTTATTGGACCCGTGTCCCTCCTGGCTGGTGCTGGCCTCTCGGGAGGTTACACGAGGCTGGCTCCAGGGGATTATAAATGCTTCCTTGAGAGAGGGTGCCTTCCCCGCCGCCTTGAAAGAGGCGGTGGTGAAGCCTCTCCTCAAGAAGCCTTCCCTGGACCCAGCAGTGTTGGCTAATTACCGTCCAGTCTCCAACCTTCGCTTCGTTGCGAAGGTTGTTGAGAGTGTGGTAGCGCAACAGCTTCCTCAGTACTTGGATGAATCGTATTATCTAGATCCGTTCCAGTCGGGCTTCAGGCCTGGATACAGCACGGAAACGGCATTGGTCGCATTGGTAGATGATCTCTGGAGGGCCCGGGACAGGGGTTGCTCCTCTGTCCTGGTCCTATTAGACCTCTCAGCAGCTTTTGATACCATCGACCATGGTATCATGCTGCACCGGTTGGAAGGGTTAGGGGTGGGGGGCACCGTGTTGCGGTGGTTCTCCTCCTTTCTCTCTGATCGGTCGCAGTCTGTGTTGACAGGGGGGCAGAGGTCAACCCCGAGGCCCCTTGTATGTGGGGTGCCACAGGGGTCAGTTCTCTCACCCCTTCTGTTCAACATTTATGTGAAGCCACTGGGTGAGATCATCCGTGGTTTTGGGGTGAAGTATCATCAGTATGCTGATGATACTCAACTATACATCTCCACCCCGGACCACCACAATGATGCCCTTAAAGTGATGTCCCAGTGCCTGGAGGCTGTACGGATCTGGATGGGGAGGAACAGACTCAGGCTCAACCCATCCAAGACTGAGTGGCTGTGGTTTCCGACGTCCCAATATAGTCAGTTGGTGCCATCACTGACTATTGGGGATGAGTCATTGCCCCCTATGGAGAGGGTTCGCAACTTAGGCGTCCTCTTGGACTCATGGCTGTCTTTAAAAGAACACTTGATGGCTGTGGCCGGGAGGTCTTTTTATCAGGTTCGCCTGATTCGCCAGTTGCGTCCCTTTCTGGATCGGGACTCGTTAAATACGGTCACTCATGCCCTCGTCACTTCACGCCTGGACTACTGTAATGCTCTCTACATGGGGCTCCAATTGAGGAGCACCCGGAGGCTCCAGCTGGTCCAGAATGCGGCCGCGCGGGTAGTTATGGAAGCAGCATGGCGCTCCCATGTGGCTCCCCTCCTGCGCGAGCTGCACTGGCTCCCTGTGGTCTTCCGGGTGCGCTTCAAGGTCTTAGTTACCACCTTTAGAGCACTCCATGGCTTAGGACCGGGGTACTTACAAGACCGCCTTCTGCCACCAATAGCCTCTCACCGCCCAGTACGCTCCCATAGAGAGGGGCTTCTCAGGGTGCCGTCAGCCAAACAGTGTCGACTGGCGGCCCCCAGGGGGAGAGCCTTTTCTGTGGGGGCACCCACCATCTGGAACGAGCTCCCCCCAGAGGTACAGAAGATTCCGGATCTGCGCACTTTCCGCCGTGCCCTCAAAACATTCCTGTTTCAGCAGGCCGGCCTGGCCTAACTTTCCCTTTATATTGCTTTCGATTTTATTTTAAACTGGGATGTCTTGAATTATCTAGGACCAGAGTGTTTAGTATATTTTAATTGGTTTTTGTTTAATTAACATTTGTATTACATGTATTTTTTATCGTTCGCTGTTCACCGCCCTGAGTCCCTCAGGAATAGGGCGGTATATAAATTTAATAAATAAATAAATAAAAATAGTACAACCAATTACTCAGACATAGAAGGACTTCCCTTTGAGTGGTTCAGCAGAAGTAAAACTTGGATAGACATCTGTCCATATTTTAATTTGAATTTCTGCTCTGAGCATGGAGTTGAGCTTAAACTAAGTAATAAAATCATAGAATTGGAAGTGACCTTAGAAGTCAGCTGGTGCAATCCTCTGCTTAGTACATTTTCCTCAAGAGCATTTTTGACAAATAACTACGGTATTTCACCTCTGAAGAACTCCAGCAGAAAAGAACTCTCCCCTATATGTGGCATCCTCTTCCATTAGCTGACAGCTGCTCCGATCAGGAAGTTCTTCCTCTGTCTGGCCTATACTAATTTCCTTGTAATATTACTCTATTGATTCTGGTCCTGCCCTTGAGGCAGGAGAGATAGCAATATTTGCTTGCAATAGCAATAGGCAGCAATATCACACACAGGTGTGATAACCCTTCAAATATTTGCAAACTGATGTCATTTCTCCTTCAGTTATTTCTTTTGAAGGTTAAATATAAGTAGATTTTTTAACCATTCTTCAGAGGCAATGGTTTCCAAACCCTCAGTATATTGATTGATAGTTATCAAATCAGAAAGCTTCTAGAGGCAATGCTTAATGTGGATTTCCTTGACAATAAAAAGCAGAGGAGCAGTGTTTGGCCTGGCAGGGGTTACCTTTGGGCTTCTTTGTCTTCAGCCCCCACATCTTAGTCTTGTGCTTATCCTGTGCTCATCCAGTTTCCAGCAATATCCGGCCTCGCTCCCCTGTTAAAAGGTTGCCGCATTGCCATCCCTTCCAGGAAAAGGGGAAACTGAATGTTTATTTTTTCCCTTTGGTAAAATGAACTGATTTTTTCCAGAATCTCCTCATTACAGATAGCCCTCAACATATGACCACAAATGGGACCAGAATTTCCATCGCTAAGCAAGATGGTTATTAAGTGAGTCATGCCCAGTTCTATGACCTTTTTTTTTGCCACAGTTGTTAAGCAAATCAGTGTAGTTAATCACATGGTCATTAAGTGAATCCAGTCTTCTCCGTGGACTTTGCTTATGGGAAGCCAGATGGGAAGGCTGCAAATAGTGACCACTAAATATTTATATGAATGGCTTGATGGGAATAGGAGGCTTTTAATTGTTAGCTATTTCCCCAACTAATATTTTAAAAATATTAGAATAGTAAAATCCAATATGAAAATAAAAGTGAATAAAATGAAAGTGGACTGTTTTGGGTCCTTAGAATGCCTTACAAGGCTGATATGATCCTTGGTTTTGTACCCTGAAAGATATATTTTAATTGTTACAGCAATTAAAGTGAGGTGGGGAAGGTTTGATAACTGTGTCAGGGCAGCACTGAGCATTATAAAGGTATGGTGGAAAACGGGAAAACATTTCCTTAATTATCGCAAAGATGCTTTTTCAAAGGGCAACTGACTTTGTTTTTCCTTGAAGAAGTTTCACTTCTTCAGTTCTGAAGTTCTTTAAATCTTTAAATATGGGGGGAGCCCCATTTAATCAAGATAGTCGTGCTGATGCCACCATGCCTCTGAGTCTGTGCCTGACTTGCCCTGTTGTCAACCGTGACCTGGATGACTTAAGAATCTCCATAGACATTTCCTTCATTAAGTAAAAGTATTGTCATCTCTTCCAAGCCATTAGAGATATAATATTTTTTATTTTATTTTATTAACTTCCCTCTAAATTAAAATTAAGCATATATTCACGAGCCGAGGTGGCGCAGTGGTTAGAGTGCAGTACTGCAGCTACTTCAGCTGACTGCTAGTTCAGCAGATCAGCGGATCAAATCTCACCGGCTCAAGGTTAACTCAGCCTTCCATCCTTCCGAGGTGGGTAAAATGAGGACCCAGATTGTTGGGGGCAATATGCTATTTAGTATACAGTCTTTGGTGTAAGCCACCCAGAGTCCTCGAAGAGTGGGCGGCATAGAAATACGAATAATAAATAAATAAATAAATAAACTCTTCCAACCAGTCACTTACCAGCCCAATCCTTGCTTTATTTTGGTGAAATTGTTGTATTTTGTGGATATGAGAGCAGTTCCCTGAGTGGCTGGTAGCTGAAAAACTTGCTTCATTTAGCATCCTCTCTACACATAATACACACTTTCATAGGGCTTCTGGTGGCTGAGAGTCACTCTGGAATTTGGGCTGCTATTGTTGAGGGTTTATTTATTGATCGTATTTATGGGATTAATTTTTGGTTGGGGTTTGGGTTTTATGCTGATTAACTATGTGGAGATCTCTACTCACATTTAAATAAACCCAGTAGAGCTCTACTTTTAAATTTATTTTATTTATTTATTTTATTTGTCAAGCATATATAAGATAACAGATAAAAGTATTAACATAATTTGAATACATGAAAAGGATACGAGTAAAAAGGAACATTAGGACAGGGACGGTAGGCATGCTGGTGCTCTTATGCACGCCCCTTACAGACCTCTTAGGAATGGGGTGAGGTCAACAGAAGACAGTCTAAAGTTAAAGTTTTTGGGGTTTAGGAAAGAAACCACAGAGTCAGGTAGTGCATTCCAGGCATTGACTACTCTGTTATTGAAATCATATTTTCTGCAATCGAGTTTGGAGTGGTTTACCTTGAGTTGGCATCTATTGTTTGCTTGTGTATTGTTGTGGTTGAAGCTGAAGTAGTCATTGACAGGAAGGACATTGTGGCAGATAATTTTATGTCCTACGCTTAGGACAGACCAAAGTGGGCGTATTTCTAAGTTATCTAAGCCCAAAATTTCAAGTCTGGTGGCATAAGATATTTTATTGTGGGTAGAGGAATGGAGGAGTCTTCTCGTGAAATATCTCTGGACTCTCTCAATTGTATTAATGTCTGATATGCAGTGCGGGTTCCAGACAGATGAGCTGTACTCGAGAATTGGTCTAGCAAATGTTTTGTATGCTCTAGTTAGTAGTACAATATTACCAGAGAAGAAGCTTCGCAAGATTAAGTTAACAACTCAATGCCTTTTTGGCAATGTTGTTACAGTGGGCTCTGGCACTTAGATCTTTAGAAGAGTGAGGGTCATCTACAAGGTCATGTCCATCTACAGTGGGGGGAAAAAGTATTTAGTCAGCCACCAATTGTGCAAGTTCTCCCACTTAAAAAGATGAGAAAGGCCTGTAATTGTCATCATAGGTAGACCTCAACTATGAGAGACAAAATGAGAAAACAAATCCAGACAATCACATTGTCTGATTTGGAAAGAATTTATTTGCAAATTATGGTGGAAAATAAGTATTTGGTCACCTATAAACAAGCAAGATTTCTGGCTCTCACAGACTGTAACTTCTTCTTTAAGAGGCTCCTCTGTCCTCCACTTATTACCTGTATTAATGGCACCTGTTTGAACTTGTTATCAGTAGAAAAGACACCTGTCCACAACCTCAAAGAGTCACACTCCAAATTCCACTATGGTGAAGACCAAAGAGCTGTCGAAGGACGCCAGAAACAAAATTGTAGACCTGCACCAGGCTGGCAAGACTGAATCTGCAATAGGCAAGCAGCTTGGTGTGAAGAAATCAACTGTGGGAGCAATAATTAGAAAATGGAAGGCATACAAGACCACTGATAATCTCCCTCGATCTGGGGCTCCACGCAAGATTTCACCCCATGGGGTCAAAATGATCACAAGAACAGTGAGCAAAAATCCCAGAACCACATGGCGGGACCTAGTGAATGGCCTGCAGAGAGCTAGGACCAACGTAACAAAGGCTACCATCAGTAACACACTACGCCGCCAGGGATTCAAATCCTGCAGTGCCAGACTTGTCCCCCTGCTTAAGCCAGTACATGTCCGGGCCCATCTGAAGTTTGCTAGAGAGCATTTGGATGATCCAGAAGAGGATTGGGAGAATGTCTTATGGTCAGATGAAACCAAAGTAGAACTGTTTGGTAGAAACACAACTCGTCGTGTTTGGAGGAGAGAGAATGCTGAGTTGCATCCAAAGAATACCATACCTACTGTGAAGCATAGGGGTGGCAACATCATGATTTGGGGCTGTTTCTCTGCAAAGGGACCAGGATGACTGATTCATGTACAGGAAAGAATGAATGGGGCCATGTATCATGAGATTTTGAGTGCAAACCTCCTTCCATCAGCAAGGGCATTGAAGATGAAACGTGGCTGGGTCTTTCAGCATCCCAAACACACCACCCGGGCAACGAAGGAGTGGCTTCGTAAGAAGCATTTCAAGGTCCTGGAGTGGCCTAGCCAGTCTCCAGATCTCAACCCCATAGAAAACTTTTGGAGGGAGTTGAAAGTCCGTGTTGCCCAGCGACAGCCCCAAAACATCACTGCTCTAGAGGAGATCTGCATGGAGGAATGGGCCAACATACCAGCAACAGTGTGTGCCAACCTTGTGAAGACTTATAGAAAACGTTTGACCTCTGTCATTGCCAACAAAGGATATATAACAAAGTATTGAGATGAACTTTTGATATTGACCAAATACTTATTTTCCACCATAATTTGCAAATAAATTATTTCCAAATCAGGCAATGTGATTGTCTGGATTGTTTTCTCATTGTCTCTCATAGTTGAGGTCTACCTATGATGTCAATTACAGGCCTCTCTCATCTTTTTAAGTGGGAGAACTTGCACAATTGGTGGCTGACTAAATACTTTTTTGCCCCACTGTAATTTGTATTTTATGTTCTGATTTTTTTTACCAATGTGCAAGACAGAGCATTTGTTGGTTGAGATTTGAAGTTGCCATTTGTTAGACCAATCTGACACGTAGTCAAAGTCTTTTTGAAGGGTAGTTGCATTGTCAGTGGTGTTGAATAGTTTACATCATCAGCGAAGAGAACACAGTTGCTTTTAATATGATCACAAAGGTCATTTATGCAAAGTATGAAGAGTGTTGGACCTAAAACGCTGCCTTGGGGGATACCACTGTTAACAGGTACAGGATTTGATAGAGCACTTCCTATTTTGACCACTTGTTAAATATTACCATTCAACAGGGCAAGTCAGGTACAGACTCAGAGGCATGGTGGCATCAGCATGACTATCTTGGATAAATGGGGCTCAATCCATATTTAAAGTTTATCCTTATAGCAGGAAGGATTATAAACGTATTTTCTCCCTTCATAGTACTTTTTGTACCAGTTCCCTCCTGATGTGGATTCTGTCATAGTCAGAGTGATTTCTAAGACAATCTATCCCTGCTCTGTGGTCTCCATCCAAGATATTGTGGTAAGTCCTACTAGTTTATGATAGGCTACTTGAATATTGGAAGCGTTTGTCTTTGCTTATGGTACTATTGCTGCTCAATTTAATATGAAGTGTGAATCAGATTTGGACCATTCCTGCATTGTGAGTCAAATTGGACAGATCTGAGCTGCCTTCAAAGCAGATAGATTACAAATCTACACCCTAAAGTTGTTTGTGTTCACTTAGGACACAGAGAGAAAATAGTATGCTTGAAAACAAATATGACAAATATCCAGTTCAGAGAGGACACATGTAGAGATAACCCTGAAAAAGGAATTCAAAGAAGGGTGACAGTGACATTATCATCCACTTATCCATGAAAGAAGAGAGGTGGTAAGGAAGAAGCTCAAGATTGTCCCACCTTGATTTTCTTGGGTATAAGGACAGCGAGAAATTCTAATTGGGCTTTCAAGATTCTGTTATCATACTTCACAACCGAGTTCCAATAGCCTTTGTAGAGGTTGTTTCCTGACTCAATCTTTCTCAGAGGACTGACAAAGTGGCTGGGGAGGAAGGGAGGACATTGATTTTGTCAGTGACATTACTAACCTCCAGTAATAATGAGACTTAGCAAGAGCAGTGATGATAAAACAGTCTTGTTTTACTTTTGAAGTGTCTCACAAAGAAGAGGCAGATGCTATTTAGGAGAGAAAGCTGTTTCTGCTTTATTGAGAGTGAGAGCTGTACAAACATGGGATGGAGACACAGACTCTACATGGCCCAAATTTATATTGTCCCCCTTTTCCATAAGGCAGAAATGATAAATGATTTTCTTACCATATTACAGTCATCCTTTCTGAGTAGAATTTTTTTTTATTCCTCCCTTGTTAATTTCCTTCTTTCCTTCCCATTAGTTCCTTCATGTCTGTTCCTTTTCCCCCTTTCCCAGATCAGATACCGCTTATCCTCACCCCATCTCACTCCCCCCCCATTTCTGCTGCTTTGAGGAAGGGCAATGTTTGTGGATACATGCATATTTGTGTGAGTATGCACATATGTTAATGTTATGCAGAGAATTCCTTGTGGATTAATTCAGCTAAAAATAATTTTTTGTCTTGGCTCAATCCTTTTCTAGAGTGTGGCTTTTATTCCCTCAGTATGTGGTTGTGTGTGTGTGCGAACTTACATGTGTAGAAGTCCCTTCCTTCCTTCCTTCCTTCCTTCCTTCCTTCCTTCCTTCCTTCCTTCCTTCCTTCCTTCCTTCCTTTCTTTCTTTCTTTCTTTCTTTCTTTCTTTCTTTCTTTCTTTCTTTCTTTCTTCCTTTCTTTCTTCTTTCTTTCTTTCCTTTCTTTCTTTCTTTCTTTCTTTCTTTCTTTCTTTCTTTCTTTCTTTTACTTATTTATAGGGATAGGTGGCATTTCTGCAGGTTGTTTTACCTAGATTTGGCAACCTTAAGTTGAGAAAGTGGGAAACCTGCTCATTGTACAGAAGTTTTGTCTGTGTTTGTGATTTCTTTCTTCTCTAGTATTCATTTTGGGAGAAGGGTTCTTTGAACTTCAGAATCATCATCCATTTTGATAAAGGTGGTGTCTAATAGGACCATGTGTTCTTTAATAATTCTTTCTTCTAGGAAGAAACATCAAAAAAGGTATACAAATTAAGCAAGCTCAAAGTGACTCAAACGGGGGGCAACTGAATTGCTCTGTGATGTAATGAAACTTGGGAATAAAGGTGAAGGTCTGTAACAATTCGAATGGCCCTGTTCTGAACTGTGACCGAGAGAAGGAGAGAATTGGGAAGGCCCGCCAGGAATCTATTGCAATAATCAAATATACACAAGCAGAGGTAGCTCTCTAATCAGCTTCTTCATCTGTTGCAGTGTCCAGTTTATGATTTGGATTATAATGTGGAATTTAATGGAGTTTACCAATCCATGACAAAGCAGGCAGCCCTCACTGTGCAGGTGAGTGGATGGTGCTGTCTACTGTAGTCAGTCTGATTTGGTTGGAGGGGGCAATTAGGCTGATCAGGATTGTCTGCAGTCAATCGTGGATGGATAGAGACATTTTGGAAGGTAGAAACTTGGCTGGGAAAATCTGTCCATATTTAGGGAGAAGAGCATGGGGAAGCTGGCAAGCGTAGGAGAGGGCAGGGAATACTGAGCCAGGAGAAGTTGATTGCAGGCAGATGAGGAATGATTGAGAAATGTGGGACAAGTCCAACGAAGGGAGGGAGAAAGTATCAATTGTAAGGAAAAACATATAAGAATATTGTACGGTTCCTTGAGTTTGAATACATCTACACTATGTGCACACAAAAAAATACCTGCAAACCGTTGAGAAGTCTCAAGCAGTTAATTTTGATTAGGAATACTAGTAAGAGCATGGTCACTAAGCCAGATAGAGCTGATCATCTTGGGTCAAGAGGCATATTTGGAGTTTTGAGAAAATGTTGGGGAAGCATCAACACAGAATCGTGGCCCTTAGGACCACTTTGGCAGCTCCAGAATATACCAAGCGTTCCAACTTTTGAAAGCACAAATGGCCCTTTTCAGGGTCATTATTTCCTTCCTTAGAAAAGAATTGGAAGGGTTGAAATAGGTAACGTAAACCTCTTGGAAGCTCAAGATTCTCTTTTCTATAATAAGACCTTAATTCCAATTTTATTTTAAATGTTTAGTTATACAATAGTTTATTGTGGTCTTCAACTAGCATAAAGTAAAAATGTAGAGATTATGAAATTAATAGCTATGTCCTGAAAACAGTCTGTGGAGATAGTGAGTTAAAAGATAGCAATTAGTATTAAAAGTTAAAAAATGGCAAAATAAAAGCTGCAAATGTCTATAAAATTAAGAACTACAAAAACTCTCTGTGTGGTTAACTAAAATGAAAATTTAATTAAAATTAAGTGTTGAATAAAATAAAATATACTATAATTGCAAAAACATGTAAAGGAAAAAACTCATTCAAATTCAGTTGTGGTGAGAAGCTATAGAACTGAATAACTAAGAAATAACAGGATCGTAATTATGACTGATTAGCTTAGCTGGCGCTCACTACCTGGCAAATTTTACATACTATGCAATGCAAAATTTGGCAACATTATGTTAAGAGAGAATTGCACTCAGAGAGCATATACAATAAGTCAGTATGGCCTGGGAAAATACAGGTGGTTGTGTAAAATGGGCAGGAAAGGAGGACAGAATCATAGGGCTGGAAGGGACTTTGGAGCTCTTCTAGCCCAATGTAGCCCAAGGCAGAAGACTTTATTCCATCACATGTTGGTGCTGGTGGCATCTTGAAAGCACAAATGTTCTCAGAAGAGGGTCTTTCTTTTATCTTTCATCTAGCACAGCAAAAGAAAGGGCATTGTAGACCTTTTTGTGGTTAGGAGCTGTGTAAGATATGCAGCTGCTATTACTATATAGGTAGGAATCCTAACTGAAATAATGTTATTGATTTGCTTATGTTCAGTTATCAACAATCATAAATGCAAAATACAACAAATATTGTAATTTTTTTTTAAAAAATGCATTAAATTACATAAAAAACCTAAAAGAATCATGTGAAAGCGCACCAGCAATGACAATGGTAAGAATTTTGCAATCTTCTTAGGCTTCTTTCCATTTTGCATCTATTATAGGCCAGGGGTCAGCAACCTTAAACAATCAAAGAGTGATATGGACCCATTACCCACAGAAAAGAAAACACCAGGAGCCACAAAACCCTTTTGACATCTAAAATGAAGATAACACTGCATATATCGTTTTTTTTTTTTACCTTTATGCTATGTATAAAAAAACGATAGCGTGTTGCATTTATGAAATCAATGAACTGCTACAGAGAAAACAATTTTTTATTTCTCCATGCAACAAAAACATTTTGCACTCTGGAAAAAAAAAAGATGGGTTGAAAAGCTCAATAAATCACGTGCCCGGGGGGTGTCGCACATTGGTGGTTGTGACTCATATTTTGAGCAACAGGGAGCCGCAGCAGAGGGATGAAAGAGCCATATGTGGCTCCAGAGCCGCGGGTTGCAGATCCCTGTTATAGGCAATTTAAAGAATGTACTGGCTTACAGTATTGCTTATCCAGGAAAGATAAATTTGTTAGGGTTAAAGTCACTTGATTTCATAGTCAACTCTGCAAAGAACATTTGTGACACATGATTCTTGTGCCATAATACATGGGCATAATAAATAATGGGCACAGAATGATCCTGCATATTTATATAGGTCACCGTATCACATCTGTGGATCTGCTTTTGCAATGTGCATAATAATATATCTTGATGTTGGATTATCTGTACATATTGGCAGGATTTTATTTTTTCTTTAAAAAATATTTTGTATTATAAGAACTAGCTTAGAAGGAGACTCCTTTTTTTACCCCTCCTGTTGTTTTAGACTCACTACTGGCCAATCGTAGCTACTGTATGCTAAACCTTTGGAATTCTGAATAATTTCTATCTAATCATTTCCTCTTTTGCAAGAAAAGACTTTATAAAAAAAATTAAAGGATTGTCTTTTTTTGGGCATTGTGTATGTCAGTCACTGCTATGATTTCATTTATTGCCTAGATCTCTAAAAAAACCTGACTTCACAACAATGAAAGAGCAGAATAATTGCTTTTATTTCAGTGGCTTCTAGAAGAATTAAAATTTGCTCTTTTTTAAGAAGACAAGTGCGGATACACAATATAGGGATCAACAGCCTCCTGTTTCTCACCTCCCTTACTGCCCAGTTATCTTTCCTAACTATAGTTGTCTAACAGCATTAAAAATTATTGTGTTTTTATATTGCACAGAAAAAGGACTTCCCAAGCAAACAGTTTTTTGTTGTATTTGTCATAAAGCCAGAGGACTATACCTGTGGTGGTTCAAGTCCACCCTCCATTCAAGGTAGGCGAGTTATGATCAAGAAGGCCAGGAAGAATACTATCTCTCAATGCTTCTGTTTTGGACATTGTAGTTATCCTATCTAGACTGTCATGGCAATCATAGTGAGACATGTAATTGTTACATAAAATTTAATTTCCTTGAAAGAAGTCAAACTAGGTCCTGGGAAATGGAAGGAAGAGTTTCCAGATCGGCACACACTATGAAGACACTCTGAAGGCATACTGACTGAAGTATGAAATAGTGAGGCCACTCAAAATGTCACTTTAAATGCAGTGTCTTCTGCTCTGACTAACTTTCATGCTGAGCTGGACATGTAAGACGGTGTGAGTCAAGATGCCTTCAGAATATAAGGAGTGATGGCTCAATTTTTTATCTTTCTAATTCAGAAAGAGAGTGTGACCTACACAGATCACTATGGCAATAATGGGGAACCTTTGGGCCTACTTCCTCTTATTTGGGATAAAGGAAAGGCTGTTTAGTTGAGAACGCTACCTTGAGATCAGGGGTGGATTCTAATTTTTTTTACTACCAGTTCTGTGGGTGTGGCTTATTTTGTGGGTGTGGCTTGGGGGGGGGTCATGTGACTGGGTGGGCGTGGCTGGCTGGTCAGAGTCATTTCTGGAAGGTCCTCGCACTTACGACCAGTCCTCGCACTTAACGACCCGACTCATTTGTTTGCTTTTAACACTGATCAGCTGTAGGACGGCCCTTTGAAGCCCCGCGGCAAGAGTTTAAACCGTTTTTTTCCCTTTAGTCATCAGCTGGGACTCAGGAGGCAGCAATAGATTGGGGGTGGGACCAAATAAAAGATAAGAATAATGTGGGGGTGGGTGGGAGGGCGGGGGAGGAGAACCGGTTCGGTGACGTCATATCGTCACTGCTACCGGCTCGGCCGAACCGGACCGAACTGGGAGGAACCCACCACTGCTTGAGATACTTAGGCCTCAATTAGCAGCAAGACTTTCCTTCCAGAATAGGAAGCTCAATGCCACAAGCAAATGTATGTTCTCCCTCTCCCCTCTCCCCACTCTCCATTCAAGAATTCTCAACTATTTTAATTTCTTTCTTTTTGGAAGCCATGGCCTAGTACAGTTCTCATGACTTGCAAACTTTTTGCATGATCAAATCATATGTATGCACATGTGTGTATGTACATGTGTGTGCATGTGTGTATTATGTTACTCTTTTTCAGGAAAAACTAACTACACATGGAACCTTCAACGAATGAAGCATCTTGAAGTGACAGTGTTACCTTCAGTTAAAGGTCTTGAAACATAATTTTGTATTTTCTTAAAGTTAACAAAAACCAATGAAGCACTACTATCACTACAAATGTGGCTTTATTAAAATAATACAAAATAAGGCATAACATATTCAGGTGATATTATGAGTTTGCACACTTGCAAGTGCTAACTGATCATTTGATTCTCTCATCCTTCAATTTGCTGTAATCCTATTTGGCACTGATTTTCACTCCAGTACAAATACTGGATTTTGAAGAAATGTTTTCCTTAGAACCACAGAATAGAACAGATGTCAAAGTCTTGATTGCAAATTACCTTACAAACCTATCTTCCAAGTGGAGAATAATATTGAGGATTGCATATAGTAAGAGGAAGAAGTGAGCATTTACCATTAATATGTGAAATTGGAGGGGCAAACAACATGGTAGCAGAGGAGTGGGCTATAATTTCTTCACTTACTAATGGTATATCCTTGTGTCTTTTTCCTAGGCACTGTTTATATACATGCCATCCTTTTCAGTTTTCTGGCTTTCTTCTCCTTCTATCTGGGTGCACTAGTGGTTGGATTTGTCCAGTACATCAGGTATATAGAACATTTAGCACTGTTTAATAAAGCATGTCTCCATTTACTAAAGTGTTTAGGTCTGTATGATGGTATAACATAAGAAAGGGAGGTAGTGACAGATTTTATTTTCCTGGGCTCCAAGGTCACTGCACAGGGGGACTACAGCAAAGAAATTAAAAGATGCTTACTCCTGGGGAGGAATGCTATGGCAAAGTTAGATAGCATACTAAAAAGCAGAGACATCACCCTGCCAACAAAAGTGTGTATAGTCAAGGCTATGGTTTTCCCAGTTGAAATGTATGGTGGTGAAAGTTGGACCATAAAGAAGGCTGAGCGTCAAAGAATTGAGGCCTTTGAACTATGGTGCTAGAGAAGACTCCTGCAAGTCCCTTGGCCTGCAAGGAGATCAAATCAGTCAGTCCTAGAGGAGATCAACCCTGACTGCTCTTTAGATGGCCAGGTCCTGAAGATGAAACTTAAATACTTTGGCCACTTAATGAGAAGGAAGGACTCACTGAAATGAGCCTAATGCTGGGAAAGATTGAGGGCAAAAGAAGAACGGGACAACAGAGAGCGAGGTGGCTGGATGGAGTCATTGAAGCAGTTGGTGTGAACTTAAATGGACTCCAGAAGATGGTAGAGGACAGGAAGGCAACTTGGGTAGGACACGACTTCGCAACTAACAACAACAATATTATTGAACCTTTGTGCCAAAGTAGCTGTTCGTTTCTTAGCAGCAGTATTTTACAATGAAAATGGTCAATAGTTCCACCCAATTCAAAATGATCTTGCCAATTTTTAAAATAACTATTATATAAATGTTATAATTTTATGATAAATAGTTGCCTTTTACTATTTAGAGACATTAATGACATCTACATGGTTATATTTGTGCTTTATTTTAGATTTCGTAGGAAAACATCAATAGGAAGACTTGATGATGGTAATTATGCTAATATATTGTGTTGCTATTATAGAGTTGGATAACATGTCAGGAGTTATTAAGTTCAGTCTTCCAAGTGGACCTAAACATCAAAATATTTTTTGTTGGGGATGCTGTTACGCTCTGTAACAATCATTGATGCCTTGAAGGAGCCAACTTCCTAGAGAAAGTGCAAATAAGGGATAGGTGACTGTCGATATGAATGTTTATCTTTAAATTCAGTTATTTCCTAACTTCCATGCAGTTTCTGCAATAAAATTTGGAATCCTCATCAAATTGATTCTTTTGTCTCTCTCTGTCTCTCTCTGTCTCTGTCTCTGTCTCTCTGTCTCTGTCTCTCTTTCTCTCTCATTTTCTCTCTCTCTCTCTCTCTCATCATTTAAGCCATGTGGTTGTAAGTGCAAAGCCATGTGGTTGTAAAGTGCAAAGTCACTTACTACATCACTTAGTGATGGCAATCCTGTCCATCCCTGATCAGTTGTTAATCAAATCCCAGCCAGTCATTAAGTGAGGACCCATCATGTTCCAAGCTATTCCCTTTACAGACCCCCATTGTGATCCGGGGGCTGGAGTCTGGAGGTTGGAGACATGACTGGGAGGATTATGAAGTTCTGAGGGTTGGAGAGGCTGGAGGGCGGCCAAGGACTGGTCATCTGGTCACCTCGGGTACTCTCCCCCCACCCATCTGTGTCTGTGGCCTGGTTTTGGCTTATATGGCCATCCACCTCCAGATTGTGTCCAGCTGCATGTTATCCCTCTCCCTTTTGAACATCTTTCCTCCCTTGCGTTTAATATCATCTTGCCTTTACGGACCGGTCTCCTTTTTCATCTGAGCCCCAGCCGGAGGGTGTCTGGGCAATTGTTATGCGGGAGCTGAGGGGGCTGTTGCCTTTCACCAATGGAGGAACAGACCATCTGACTTTCCTGAGCCATTTCCATATGGGCTAGCCACTGTGAGAGGGTGGCTTGGATCCTTACCTCTGGTTTTGGCGAAATGACACAGGACTCCTCCCACTGCCGTGAGAGGGCAGTGGAGTCCAGCTTAGTGACATTCAGATCCATCTTGCTCCAGTACTTTTAAACTCTTCATCATACCCCTGGACAGACTTTTTACCTCCCATCTATGTTTATGTTTATTGGATGTACACGGAAGCTGTCCTTCTTGCACTGCGAGACTCCCCCCTCTCACAGGCCTGGCCCTCCACTCTATCGAGGACCTACCTTGATGACGGGTTTTGGAATCCCAAGAGGTGGCATGTGGCGAAGAGGGGGCTGAGGGGCTTTTTAACTTCTTTTTTAACCAAAGTTTTAAGGGGTTCTGGGGGGGGTAGGGTTGTGGGTTTGGGGGATAACCCACTGAGGGGGAGGCCAGGTCCAACAGTGGACTATGTAACGGGGGGTGCGGGGTTCGGAGTCAATGAGGGGGTTAGAGTCCATACTGAGGAGGGCGATACCATCAGTACTGTAAGTGGGAGGGGCAGATATGGCGGGAGCAGGGGGCCATATCCGGTTATGGGGGCACATGCCCGCTGTCTCTGAGTGGTGGCGCACTCCGGCCCCCAATGCTCCTCTCATTCCCCAGGTTGCGCAGATCCTCAGGGCCCGGGCCTTCGGCTGATGTTGTGCAATGCCAGGTCTGTAGTAAATAAAGCCCCCCTCATTTGTGATCTTGTTCAAGAGGGGGGAGCGGACCTGGCGGGTATTACGAAGACCTGGTTGGGCCAGGAGGGGGGGTTCCCCTGGTTGAAATGTGCCCACCAGGCTTCCGAGCATTCCATCAGCCGAGGGTTCAGGGGAGGGGCAGGGGGGTAGCGGTTGTTATAAAGGAAGGTCTTGGTCTGAAGGAGGCCACTGTGCCTCAGATAACCGGATGTAAGTCCCTCTTTGTGAAGTGGGGTCATGGGGTGCAGGTGGGCCTGCTGATCATGTACCTGGCTCCCTGCGATGTGGCGGCGGCCCTGCCTGAACTGCTCAATGTGATAGCTGGGATGGCGGTTGATACCCTTATGGGTATACCCTTATGACTTATGGGGGATTTCAACCTGCCGTCCGTCGGTGAAACGTCTGAGGCGGCTCGGGAGTTCATTGCTTCCATGATGGCCATGGACCTGACCAACTTAGTTCATGGCCCTACACACATAGGGGGACACACTCTGGACTTGGTTTTCATCTCTGGCCAGTGGCTGAATGGTTTAGATATAGGGGATGTAGTGATTAAACCCTTGTCATGGTCTGACCATTCTCTCCTTCAACTTGACCTTCAAACCACTACACCCTGCTGCAGGGAGGTGGAACCGATTAAGTGGTTCCGCCCCAGGCGCCTGATGGATCCTGATAGGTTCCAGACGGAGCTTGGGCCTTTCCCTGAGGCTCTGGCTCACGACCTGGCTGAAGACCTGGTGCCCGCCTGGGATAGGGCGGCCGCTGGAGCTTTGGACCGTGTCGTGCCTTTGTGGCCTCTGACTCGCCGCTGATCTCACTTAGCTCCCTGGTTCTCCGAGAAGCTGAGGGAGATGAAGCGCCAGAAAAGACGCCTAGAGAGCAGTTGGAGGGCTAGCCTTTCCGAATCCGACCGAACGCTGGTAAGGTCTCATATTAAGACCTACCTAGTGGCAATAAAAACGGCAAAGTTTAATTATTTTTCCGTTCTTATCACATCTGCAGATAACCGCCTAGCCACCCTGTTCAGGGTGACCCGCTCCCTGCTCCATCCAGGAGCGCGGGAGGACCCCTTGGAGGGCAGGACTGAGGATTTTGTGCAGTATCTGCATGACAAAGTCGCTCAAATTCGGGAAGGCCTGGACTCTGACTGGGTAGATACAGGCAGGGTGACCGAGACAGGTCTTGAGAGCGTTATCTGGGAGGAGTTTGACCCAGTGACCCCTGAAGACGTGGACAGGATTCTGGGTAGACCTAGCGCGGCCACTTGTTTATTGGACCCGTGTCCCTCCTGGTTGGTGCTGGCCTCCCGGGAGGTTACATGAGGCTGGCTCCAGGGGGTTGTTAACGCTTCTTTGAGAGAGGGCTACTTTCCCGCCGCCTTGAAAGAGGCGGTGGTGAGGCCCCTCCTCAAGAAGCACTCCCTGGACCTGGCTGTTTTAGCAAATTATCGTCCAGTCTCCAACCTTCGCTTTCTGGTGAAGGTTGTTGAGAGTGTGGGGGCGCGACAGTTTCCCCAGTACCTGGATGAAGTGGTCTATCTCGATCCGTTCCAGTCGGGCTTCAGGCCTAGGCACAGCATGGAAACGGCATTGGTCGCATTGGTTGATGATCTCTGGAGGGCTCAGGACAGGGGCTGTTCCTCTGTCCTGGTCCTGTTAGATCTCTCAGCGGCTTTTGATACCATCGGCCATGGTATCATGCTGCACTGGTTGGAGGGGTTAGGGGTGGGGGGCACCGGGTTGCGGTGGTTCTCTTCCTTCCTCTCTGACCGGTTGCAGGTTGTGTTGACGGGGGGGCAGAGGTCGACCCTGAGGCGTCTTGTATGTGGGGTGCCACAGGGGTCGGTCCTCTCGTCCCTTCTATTCAACATTTATGTGAAGCCGCTGGGTGAGATAATCCGTGGTTTCGGGGTGAAGTACCATCAGTACACTGATGACACTCAGCTGTACATCTCCACCCTGGACCACCCCAATGATGCCCTTGACGTGATGTCCCGGTGTCTGGAGGCCGTACGGATCTGGATGGGGAGAAACAGGCTCAAACTCAACCCATCCAAGACCGAGTGGTTGTGGCTTCCGGCGTCCCGATATAGTCAGTTGGTGCCATCTCTGACTATTGGGGACGAGTCGTTGGCCCCCACAGAGAGGGCTCGCAACTTGGGTGTCCTCCTGGATGCACGGCTGTCTTTAGAAGAACATGTGACGGCTGTGGCCAGGGGTGCTTTTTATCAGGTTCGCCTGATTAGCCAGTTGCGTCTTTTTCTGGATTGGGACTCCTTACGCACGGTCACTCATGCCCTCATCACTTCCCGCCTGGACTACTGCAATGCTCTCTACATGGGGCTCCCCTTGAAGAGCACCCGGAGGCTCCAACTGGTCCAGAATGCGGCTGCACGGTTGATTATGGGAGCATCATGGCGCTCCCATGTAACACCTCTCCTGCGTGAGCTGCACTGGTGGTCCTCCGGGTGCGATTCAAGGTGTTGGTGACCACCTTTAGAGTGCTCCATGGCTTAGGGCCTGGATATTTACGGGACCGCCTTCTGCCACCGAGAGCCTCCCACCAGCCAGTACGCTCCCACAGAGAGGGGCTCCTCCAGGTGCTGTTGGCCAAACAATGCCGACTGGTGGCCCCCAGGGGGAGAGCTTTCTCTGTGGGAGCACCTGCCCTCTGGAACGAGCTCCCCCCAGAGATGATTCCAGACTTACGTACTTTCCGTCGGGCCCTCAAAACCTTTTTATTTCATCGTTGGGCTGGCCTAATCTCTCCAAATGTGTATTTTAATTTGGATTTTTAATGGGGGATTTTAACTGTTGGGCCAAAATGTTTAATTTATTTTTAAATTGTTTTTAAATTTTGTATTTGATGTTTTTTTACTTCTGGCTGTTCACCGCCCTGAGTCCTTCGGGAGAAGGGCGGTAAATAAATTTAAATATTAAATTGAATTAAATTAAATTCCCATCCCCCTTCCAGAGATTCCATCTGATTTATTAAAATCTTATGTTGAACTATTTAATTTTCTTTGGTTGTATGCCAGTCAGAAGTCCCATCTGATGTTTATTCATCAGCTACAGTGTATAGATACTACCCTGGATATCATTAAAATTTGCCATTTTTTTTTTCCAGACAAAAAATCAGCAGAATTTTAACATACAGGTCTGCTCAAAACTCTACATGGTGCAAAAATGTAGGGTACCCAGGGGAGCTACAATATCACTACAACTGAAGTCTCTTCCATTTCATTCTATTTAGGCTTAGATTCTGCTGATTTTCATCTTCTGTCACTTCTGGTATGATGAGCCAACTTATATGAATTATTCAAGACGGCCTTTTCTATTTCCTTGCCCAATCCAACTGCTTAACCGGAAGGCGTTTGTTGACACTTTTTCACCAAAGAACAAACAGCCTCTGCTATTAAGGGATTTTTGTAATCTCAATGGCCCTGACTTTTTCTTCATTTTTCTTTTTGTATTTCTTTTGTATTGAGATGTATAATTCTCCGTGATATAGATGATAAAGCTATAAACTTATATGAGCAAGAAAAGGGGATATTGTATTTTGATCCCTCTACCACCATTAATGTCACATGTGATCTATCTCAATCTATACCACATTGCTCAGTTTGTGTCTGGGTGTTTTATCCTTGGGGTGGACAAGCTTCTGCCTTAGTGTATTCTTGGGTTTGAAGTGTGCACCTATGTTCTGTTGGCTGAAGGTCCTCTTGAGTTTTCCGATATTCCTGCAAGATATGGAAGAGAACAATAAACAAAGCAACGTTGTCATTCCCTACATTGCAGGAATAGCAGAAAAGCTCAGGAGGATGTTCAGCCAACACAACATACACTGAAAACTTCATACATATATTATAATCATGCTATTAAATAGAAGTAAACAATTTTATAGACAACAGGTAATAATTTATCAAGTAACTTTTAAGAAATAAACTTATTTCTTACGACACAGAAAACTATAAACAACTAAGCTCTTTATAATGTGAAACTTAAATAGATTCATTAAGTGACTTGTACGTTCTGAGTTCCCCAAAGTGGGAGTTTTGTTTTCTGCTGCCTGGGTTAGGCCACAATAATGGAAATGTGGCAATTAAGAGGGTTCCTCAGCCTGAATGGTCCATCCTTAAATCCTTGAGATAACTCAAGGATTCTGCTCTTGACTTGGCCCTCCACCTTCCTTTTCAAGGGTTCCTTTTTTGTATTTGCTATTTTCAGAAAATTGGGTTGTCATCAACTGATAGTAACAGAGGGTATAACATACTGCTTGGCAATGCCTAAAGCCAAATGGAAGGAGACATCTCTTTTCAATTCAAAATAATTGGTTATCCTCTCTGTTGGGCCCTTTGGACAGTTGAAAGTAAAAAGCCATTTCTTGTTGGTTTACCTTGTAGGTCCTGGGACTATGGCTTCTTCTCATCCTATCACTGCCAGCACCCCTGAAGGAAGCAGCTATGGAGCTATAGGTATAGTAAATCTTCAGTCTCAGAAATGTTTGCTATGTCTGCATCCTGTATTTAGCTAATAAAAATAGTGCATTTATGTCTATGAGCTGTTGCTTGAAGTTGAGGGCAAACTTGTCATTTTCAGTTTTGTTTCTCATCTTTTCTGCTGTATTTTTGTTTTAGTCCATTTCTGTATCCATTTCTTTCCAAATATGTTCTTCTTCTCACATACACATATTTTTATACTCTTTGTCTAATGTGGAGGGAGTCAGCTTTTCACAGCTGGAAAGATCATTGTTAATCTCAGAATCATGTAAAATGGGAAGAGCCATGGTACATGCTGTGTATGGCAGAGTCAAGATTTTCAGCAGTAGTAGCTCTGATGATGTTACCCAGTTTGTAGGTAATAAAATGTCTCCATGAACACAGCCAAGCTCAGAGAACACCACAGACCCAACAGTTCTATCATCTATCTATTTGACAGGCTATCTGGCTGTCTATTTTATCTATCATCTATCTATCTCTACTGATAGACAGAAAGAGAGAGAGAGAGAGAGAGAGAGACATACATAGAGGCAGAAACAGAGTAGCGGTAGAGATATACTGCAGCTGCCAAAAAAAGTAGATGCAGTCCTAGATTGCATCAACAGAGAAATAGTATCAAGATCATGTGAAGTATCATGCAGAATATTAATACCAGTATATACTGCACTGTTAAGACCATACTTGGAATACTACATCCAGGTCTGGTCACCATGATACAAAAAAGATGTCGAGGCTCTAGAAAGTCAGAGAAGAGCAATATATGATGAACATTTGCAGGAACTGAGTATATCTTGCCTAACAAAGAGAAGGACCAAGGATGACATGATAGCAGTCTTCTAATATTTGAGAGGCTGTCACAAAGAAAAAGGGAGTCAAGCTATTCTCCAAACCAGGGATGGAGCAGAAAATGGAGACATAGGCAGAATTCATACCCATGTAAGAAGCAGAAATGAAGATAGAAGTGAAAATTATGAAGATATGATCTGACAGGGGCACTAAAAACATTGAAGAGACATGATGATCCTTGCCTGCTTGCATTTGTTGTTGTTTGGCAGTATAAAAAAACCCAATATTCATTGTTCAAGCCTTATGAGAAAGACTTTCAACATTACTATAATGTTGTGTACATGACTCACATAAAAATAAACAAAACAACCAACTTTTGTACCACAATTTTCATTTTCAGATGAATCAAGCTCCAGTGGAGGTCAAGAATTATCAACTCTAGATCGTAGGCCTCCTTGTGGCAGTGATACAGACAGCTCAGTGGAAGAGGAGAGTGATTTTGACACTATGCCTGAAATTGAAAGCAACAAGAATGTAATCCGCACTAAGGTATCTCTTGCAAATGGCTTTTGCATTTTTATAGGAATTTTTTTTAACGTATCCTTTCTCTACCAAGGAAATATGCCCAGAAATTAACACACTTTTATAATTTTTTATCACAATGTTCTGCAAAGATTTGTTGATAGAAAGCTTTTTAGTTATAAATGTCTGGCCTCCAAAGAAGGTTTAATTAATCAGGTTCTCATTTGTTATTTATAATTAGCATTGAATAGTATTGCTTATTTTATTTCATGGCATTTGTCATTTTTATTAGATTTTTTAATCCCACCTTTATTATTCTATAAGTAACTCAAGGCAGCTAATATATCTAATACTTCTTCATCCTTCTATCTAAGTCAGGGGTGTAAAACTCAAGGCCTGGGGGCTGGATCCAGCCCATGGGGTGCTTAGATCTGGCCCGTGGGACTGCCCTGGAAACATCGAAGGACCGGCATGCAGTGCCTCAGCCTGGCCCTCCCAAGCTCCATTTCCGGTGGCAGCATGCTGGAGCAGGTCATCGCAGCCGAAAATGGAGCTCGGGAGGGCCACCTGTGCCCCTCCCAGGGTCTGTTTTTGCTGGCAGAGTACTGCAGGAGGCAGTCACAGTGCAAAACAGAGCTCAGGAGGGCTGCCTGCGTGGAGGAGGAGGTAAGCGCAGCCGGATACCCCCTCTGGGAAGCAGGGTTGGGCTGGGCTGTGGGTCCTAGTGCCCTGGGATCTTGAGGGCCAGGCTGGGTGCTTGCCCTCCACTGCCTAGGGCTCTGGACAGCCTATGCTGCCATCCAGGGATCCTCTGTAGGGCGTGGCCTAAGTGGGACGGTGAGGCTCCTCTGGAGGACAAGGGTTTGACGCTCTCCCTGGTCTTGCCTTGCTCCACTGAAGACAATGGATCCCCCCAGCCCTGCCTGGGCCACCCCAGGTGCCTTTGACATGATTGACATCTAGCTGACCATGCCCACACCAGCCCCCAAGGTCAAACACAACCTTGATTTGGCCCTCAGCGAAATTGAGTTTGCCTGATCTAAGTCATCTATCCAGCTTTCCTCTCTAAGGTAGGATTAGAACTCACAGTCCACTGGTTTTTAGGCCAGCACCTTAACCACTACACCAAATTGGCCCTGTATTTTCACATTTTATTGTTAATTGGTCCCAAAATCTAGTTTTACAGTGTTGTAACCTAAATAAATACTTCATAACTATAGATTTAGGATATAGCCTATTAGTTCAGGCAGTTGTATTTTTTTGCAAACAGTAGTGGATTAGGTGGATTAATGCTGTTTTGAGTGTAAATGATAAATATCTCTCTCTCTCTCTCTCTCTCCCTCCCTCCCTCCCTCCCTCCCTCTCTTCTTCCCACCCTTCCAGCATCATGTTTGTCAAGCAGATTTTAGCCCAACATGATGGTTGTGACTGTGAATCACTCTCTGTTTAATCACAAACTGTGTGATTCAATCCTTTCTGTCAAAATGTTTACTGTCAAGAACTGGAGTGAAATAAATCTTTTATTAACTTACATTGTGCACAGTTTTTGAATATGGTTCAGGTCACACTGGTAAGACAATATGTTAAAATTCAGGAAATTGTACTCAGATATCTTACTGTAAGGGAATAAATTTGGATTCATGTGCTTGCCCTGATAGCTTGAAATGACAGTCCTGAGCTGAAAAGCTAGATTGTATTTTAATCCTTTTAATCTTTTTAAAGGACTCTGAAGATCTTGTCCTCTTTCTTTTTAGATGTTCCTTTATCTGTCAGACCTATCCAGAAAGGATCGGAGAATTGTCAGCAAAAAGTATAAAATTTATTTCTGGTAAGTTACTAACAAGTTAACAGAATTCATTTTTTTAAACTGAACTCATCTTTCTCTCTCCTTTTCATAAATTAAAAAGAATCCTTACAGGAGATTTTCTTTGTGAAATAAGAGTATAACATCAGCCTCATACTGGTTAAATATGGGATTCCCAGGGCAAAATTTCAGAAATTTGCACTGATTCACCTAGAAGAGAAGTAGGTTTCATTGTTTGTTTCTGGGGTGAGTGCCCAGAATGGGCAGACTTTATACTGAGGTAACAGGGACCTGAGCTTTAGAGGCAATGACCACAGCACTTTGCATAGTAACCAGAAATCTAGTGGCAGCTAATGCAACACCTCAATATGAATGTTAGCCCTTTAGGCCTGGTCAGGAGTGATTGGAACACTATTTTATTGATTTAGGCCAATGTTTCTTAAATTGTAGCCCAAGGACCCCTGAGCATCCCACAAGACATCTCGGAGATCCATGAAATCAAATCATTTGCTAGATATTAAAGATGTTAGCAAAAATTGAAAAAGTGACAATTTTCATCATATTTTTTTTATTGTTAAAAAGTAGGATTTCTACATGAAAAATATTTCAGTATTTTATGGGTTTAATATTGTTATTTTTACACAATGTACAAGGCATCCATAGTAACAGAGTCTTCAGTCCCTGACAAGATTTTCTCTTTGTTACCTTCTTCCTTACTTTTCATACCCCAGAGAATTAACACAGAGACACTCTGGATTTCTAATGTTTTCATCATTTCCTAGCCTTAAAAACATGTTTTGCTAACTGATTACTGCACAGTTTTTCCAAGGTTGTTTCTGTGGCTCTCAGTATGTGCTACTCTGCTGAATTGATCCAAGCAGATGAGTGCATTTTGAATAGTCCAAATAGTTTTTAGAAGTAGATCCAAATAAAATATTTTTTTCCAGTCTAGTCTCCAAATGCAGAAAAGCCCTGTTTGTTTCCTATTCAAATGCTAATGAGGTCTGACCCTGCTTAGTTTTTTGAGAGTCATTGTAATTAACAGTAGTAGGAGTAATCATTATTATTGTCCTTGCTTCTGATACTTATATATACATACAGGCATATATTTCACATAAGCATTTATTTGGGGCAGTTTGACTTCAGCTGGAATTTTAACTTTAAGTTAACAGCTTTAGAAATATGGGTGTTTTTTTAAACCATGATTTGTGTTTTTATGTATCTATCTTTTTCTCTACCCTTTTCCTATTGCTGAGGGGGCTCATCTTAAATTCTGGATCACCTTGGCATTTATAGTCATGTTAACTCTATGTTTGGTCTAAGTAATTAATTTTTGCTTTATTTACTCTAATGAGACCATTTATTAAAGTTAAATGGAAACACACACATTAATTTAAATTCGATGCTTTATATTCTGTAGGAACATCATCACAATTGCTGTTTTCTATGCCTTACCTGTGGTCCAGTTGGTGATCACATACCAAACGGTGAGTTCCTGTGGCTTTTCAACACAAATTAAGCCTCCAGGCTAATATATTTTCCTACTTTTTACTCCCCAGCCCTATTTGCTTTGCAAACTGTTTTTAGGTTCAGTTCCAGTTATTTACTTTTTAGCTTTTATAGTGGTGCCATGTACTGCTGAGAGCAGTCATCTCATTCTTAGATAAAGTGCACTAAAAGGAGATAACAAACAGCAGGCACATTTCATCCAAGCCTGCATGTGAATACCTATTACCTCAAGAGCATTTTATTTTAGTCTGTTTATTTTAGTGATTAGTAAAATCTGTGTTTTATTTGACCTCTTACAGAATAGAATAGAATAGAATAGAATAGAATAGAATAGAATAGAATAGAATAGAATAGAAATAGAACAAACAGAACAGAACAGAACAGAACAGAACAGAACAGAACAGAACAGAATTATTTATTGGCCAAGTGTGATTGGACACACAAGGAATTTGTCTTTGATGCATATGCTCTCAGTGTACATAAAAAGACAAGATACATTCGTCAAGAATCACAGGGCACAACACCCAGGGACAGTCATACGGTACAATAAGCAATAAAATCATACTAGGAAACAATATAAATATAAATCGCAAGGATACAAGCAACAAAGTTACAGTCATGCAGTCACAAGTGGGAGGAGATGGGCAACCGGAACAATGAGAAGACCAATAACAATAGTAATGCAGCCTAATGTGAATAGTTTGACAGTGTTGAGGGAATTATTTGTTTAGCAGAATGATGGCGTTTGGGGAAAAACTGTTCTTGTATCTAGTTGTCTTGGTGTGCAGTGCTCTATAGTGTCACTTTGAGGGTAGGAGTTGAAATAATTTATGTCCAGGATGCAAGGGGTCTGTAGATACTTTCACAGTCCTCTTTTTGATTTGTGCAGTATACAGGTCCTCAATGGAAGGCAGGTTGGTAGTAATTGTTTTTTTACAGAAATGAAGTATCAAAACAAAATGAGTTGAAAGCTGCAATATTACTGATTGTCAAATCTGCAATGCTCCTTTCTCCTTTATTAATCTGGGTTTAACGTAAAAGACACTCAACCAAGTTAAACAACCATCATCAAATTTCTTGGTAACCAATTTCTGCTTGGTCCCTAACACTCAAGAAAATCCTAGCAGAGGGCCCTATTATGGAGAGTTTTTGCTTCTTACTTATTGTTATGGGGGTTGAAAGTATGGCAGGGAGTTAGACTAGAAGATTGTATGGTTCCTTCCAGCCCTATGATTCTAGAAGAGGCTGATTATACCCTACCTGTGGTAGAATCTGATTTTGCGTTGAGGGGAGGAGAGAAATGGCTGAGTAGCCATGAGTCCCTTGTGAGGAGGAAGAGACTGAAGGGTGACCCTCTCTAAAACTATTTAGTGGTTATACAGTAGATGCTTTAGTCTGGCAAGATCCCTATCTATCGGCAAGCAACAATAAACACATCACTCTGATCAGCTCATCCTGGTTGTCATTCCTGGTTGTTTGCACCTGATCCATGCCTTCCATGTGATCTCCTTGCTAGGGCCACTGGAACTGGAAAATATCCACAACTTGATGTGTAATGCTTGGCTTCCTCCCACTCTGACTTCCAATTTCTCCCAGCAAATTCCTTCTACTTCTGCTTGCCTTAGTATTCAAGCTTTCTAATTGAAGTCCAATAGAGACGTAAAAGGAGGGAGGAGAGGGAAAGAAACCAACTATGCATCTCCTTGTCTTGATGGTAAGGACACAAAGTAGTAGAGAGCATTGTGGCTCCAAATGAATATTTCCTATATATAGATAATAGGAAGAGAAATGATATTTCTGTTCCTTCATGAAAAAATAGAATGTATGTGCATAGGAAATGGAAATGCATTGTTGTACTGGAAGGGGAAAAAAAAAACCTAAGATGGAACAGAAATAACACTGGTCAACAAAGATTTTGCTTCCTGAACCCTTTTGGGTGTATTTTACAGATTTCTGGCTGCTAATTGTGAAAATAATCTGTAATTTAATCTATCACATACCGTTCTACAAAAATCTTCTGTTTTTACACAATGGCAATGTACACCCTTCAGTACCTGTTGGCTATGCTGCACTCATGAAAGAAACATACCAAACCATGGAACCAGTGGTGGGTTTCTACCAGTTTGCCCCAGTTCGGGCGAACCGGTAGTGGCGGCGGTGGGAGGCTCTACCCACCGCCCGGACATCATCACAGATGCTCTGCGCATGCAGAGAAGGTTCTGCGCATGTGCAGAAGCGCTGCATGCGAGTGAAGCAAGCACACACACGGTTACAGTTCTGAACCGGTAGCGAAGGTAAGTGGAACCCATTACTGCATGGAACTGTTGTTGAAGTACATCCAGTACACCAAATACAACTGGAATATTTGTGAAGATCTAAAAGTAGTGGCTCTGCTGCTTGGAATGAAACTATTGCTTGTTTTTCTTCTCTTGGCTGTTCATTGCAAGGGGGGTGGTTTCTACTTACCTTTACTACCGGTTCACAGCAGGAGCACATGCGTGTATGCGCAGATCAAATGTGATGTCAGGGTGGGTGGGCAGAGCCTCCCACCATTTTTACTACTGGTTCTCAAGAACCGGACAGAACTGGGAGCAACCGCCCACTGGTTCATTGTCTTAGCTGAGATGTGCAATGAATACAAGTAAAACTTTATGCCGGGTTGTTGTTTTTTCTCCTTCCACTTTTTAGGTGGTGAATGTAACTGGAAATCAGGACATCTGTTATTACAACTTCCTTTGTGCTCATCCGCTGGGAGTCCTGAGGTGTGCATGAGGATCATTCCCAATTTGTGGCTTGGGTTTTAATTTGAGTTTCTTTTTGTGTAATTGGGAAATGGGGATGGACATTTTCTGAGGGGTAAGTGGTTTGCAATGAATATAATTTTTTTGCATGAAGTTTAATGTTCATAGACTTGTAGAATATAAGCATTGGAATGCATCTCTAGTCCAGCTCTCTGCTCAGTCCTGAATCCGTTATTACAGCAATATTAATTGCAGATTAATAATATCATTTAATAAAAACAGAATAAAATCCCGTAAAAGGAATGCTAACAAAATCAAAAACCAAGTACCAAGAATCAAGAACCTCTGACTTTACTATTTTTAACTTGAATTGAAGGAATTTGACACACATGAGTAAAGGCAAGTTACATGTGCAGTTAGTGGGTGGGGGAAAAATTTCCAGGTCTGGTAGCAGTCATAGATGGCAAACGTAGTCCTGGATTCCATTCCCCAAAGGTACCCCTGATAGTAATATTTTTGGGGAAATACTGGAAATTGGAATAGAGGACAACTATATTTCTTCCCCCAGTTCTTGATTATGAAAAAGATTTCAGATGGTTGCACCTGGGTTTGCATGTCTGGGGTCTGAGGTGACAGATTATTTCATTTTCCTTACTTTTCCTCACAGTGTTAGTCAAACAAAGCCAGTGTTATCACTGCTGGCTTCACAGTCTTGCAAAAGACAGCTTTGCACATGGGATTAGGATGACCCTTGGAAATAAACAGAAAAAAAATACTATTTTACGTAGTTGCATTCCCTTACAATTATTTTATATGCTCAGTTCCAGAGACAAATATATTATATGGCTTTTTTGCTTTTCTGCAGTGCTTTCAACAACATCCTGAGCAACATTGGCCACATGCTGCTGGGTGTCCTTTTCCTGTTGATTGTGTTGTGCAGAGACCTTCTCCATCGGCGTTCCTTGGAAATGAAAGACACCTGTGCAATGGTATACTCCCTACTTTCTTGCTGGGTAAAGGTGGCATCGTGGACACTGGTATAAAGTGCCTCTGTCTTTCTGGTTCTTATAATGCCAGTGAAGCCAAGGATTTTGCTAAAGGAAAGGACCCTTTCTGTTATCTTTCCTTCATAGAGCCATGCCTTTGGGCAGACTCCAATTTCATGATTATTTTACAAAACTTTTGTTTAAGAATCAAGCAATTGAATTTAAAAGACCTGGCATTTGTGTTGGGGAAGGTGTTTAATTTTCACTCAGAGAATCTTGCTCAAAATTATTTTCCCTAAGTTCTTTTCTCTCAGTGAGAGGAGATCTCTGAATGGCTTTCTCTGCACTTCACTTGCCTTCAAACTGTTCAGTCCTCTAGAAAGTTTGTGTGGGGAAAAGGCTGAACATGAGAGCAACTAGTGAGAATTTTGGGGAAGCCAAGACTGAGAGTTGCAAAGAAACCCCAGAGAAGAAAGAGAGGCTGAATATGGGCAAGGAGGGGATAACTACAGAGAGCATGGGAGGGCAGGTGGTAAGCAAGACTGCAAGAAGTACAGTGATCACATTTTCTTAGAAAATATAAATGACAAACCTGAAACTGTAGCAAATCTGAAAGAGGTTCTTAAGGATAAAAAACTTGTTTAGATTCGTAATTTTGCTTTACAAAGGGCAAAAAGAAGAAAATCTGTACAAAAACGCATATTTGAATAAAAATATCTACAATCAAATAGTAAATTATTTTAAGAAGGCAATTCACCTTTCATATTTTTCACATGGAAGTAAAAGACCACATCAAGTGGTACCATTTGTATGGTAAAGTGTGGTCCACCTTCTTCAATTAGTTATTTGTTAATAATTTTAGCTGCTGTTGATTGGGTTTTAATTGTTTTATCTATTCATTTAATTAATTGTTTTACCTGTTCTGAATGAAAAAACTGAAAGATAAGTTATAATTATGATTATAATATAGTGCTTGGTTCTTCTTCTGTCTTCTCTTACCTTCAAGGAATATGGGATCCCTAAGCATTTTGGCCTCTTCTATGCCATGGGTGTCGCTTTAATGATGGAAGGTGTCCTTAGTGCTTGCTACCATGTCTGTCCAAACTACACTAATTTCCAGTTTGGTAAGTGGAGGGCTTTTTCCAGTCAAGACCTGTCAAAGCCTTATGGCCTTTTGAACAGGTTGGGTTTAGTGGCCTCTCAAGATTTTAGAAAAAGTAAAGCAAAACAGGAGGTGTCAGTTTCTAAAATTTCATCACTGGGTTAAGTTTGCATGCTATAAGCCTGAAAAAACAGCTTTTTTGTTTTTTTCTGAAAACTAGTATTATATGAGATGTTCAGTTGACATAACAATGTTGAATAAGTGCCTTCATTCACAGAACAAACTGTAATACAAACAAACCCTCTCCATTTTAGATTTATATATTGTGCAAACACATCTTATGTATGTAATTTTCTTCTGGAGGAGGGAAAGTACAGGTAATCCTCAATTTACAACTATTATGATGGAATTCTGTCATAAATCATGATGGTCATAAGTCAAGGCACCCATGTGACCAGACCTAATTTTTATAGTATTCTTTAAGCAAGTATCTCAGTCATTAAGTAAATGTGTCAGTAAGTAAACACTGTGGTTATTAAGTGAACCAGTGGATTCCTATGGATGCTTTTTGCCAGGCACCGACCAAAAAGGCCAAAAAAGGGCAAATAATTGTTGTAAATCATAAATGCTGCAACTGGCAATAAAGGTGAGCTGGTTGCTAAGCACCCAAAGGCAGTCATATGACATGTGTATGTATTGTGTGTGTACATGTGTGCAGCCATCAGAACTCCAGAAATAGGTCATAAGTAATTTTTGGTGGGTCTGGTTATTAAGTGAGGACTACTTGTATTTTAAAATTGCTGTCTGCCCTCTTGATTTTAACAGACTAATTGAGTAAGATACATAAAATTGTGCTGTTACCAATTCTAAAAAACAATTATAAATATACAAGAACAAAATGTGTTTTTATATAATATCTGGTTTTCTACTGCAACAAGAGGTCTTGAGGTTCCTCTGCTGGCTATTGGTTTGAAAAATTAGTTCCCCATACCTTTGGTCATTAGTTCCCATGGTCTTTATGCTACAATCAAAAGGGCTTAGAAGTCTTGCTCTGAAATTAACATTGCAATCGGGAGAATGGGTTTTATTTTATTATCTGGCCTCATACTAGCAATCTCAGCTCTCTACAACAACAGTTCTTTTAATGATTAATATTATTAGTTAGTAGTTGGTCTAGAGTGATAGTTATCTCTTTAATGTTAACAGAAGTAACCACGATAAGAACTGTTTTCTTTTCTTTTCTTTTGGCAGATACCTCTTTCATGTATATGATTGCAGGATTGTGTATGCTAAAACTATATCAGACTCGCCACCCCGACATCAATGCCAGTGCTTACTCAGCCTATGCATCCTTTGCAGTGGTTATTTGCCTTGCTGTACTTGGAGTGGTAGGATTGTGTCTTATTGCGCTATTGTATATAGAGTCATGGGCAAGTAAGGCAGAACTTCTGAAAAAAATCTCTTCTGTGGACTCTCATGAACTTAAACTTCCATTGATACCAAATAGTAAAAAACAGCAGCTATAGATCAGTGGTGAAATCCAAAATTTTTCCCTACCGGCTTGGTGGGTGTGGCTTGGTGGTCATGTGACTGGGTGGGTGGGCGTGGCCAACTCAATGTCACCCCCACCCAGTCACATAACACCCCCCCAGCCACATCTGCCCAGGTTTTGTGGCTCCTGGTGTTTTCTGTGGGAAATGGGTCATGTGACTGGGTGGGAGTGGCCAACTTGATTGGTCTCACCCTTAGGAAATTTCTTCTTAGTCCAACTCACAATAAAATAGCTTAATAAAATAGCACTGTTCCAATATTTAGAATAGAATAGAATAGAATAACAGAGTTGGAAAGGACCTCGGAGGTCTTCTAGTCCAACCCCCTGCTTAGGCAGGAAACCCTACACCACTTCAGACAAATGATTATCCAATCTCTTCTTTAAAACTTCCAGTGTTGGAGCATTTACAACTTCTGGAGGCAAGTTGTTCCACTGATTAATTGTTCTGTCAGGAAATTTGAGGGGCTCCTACAAAAATGAGGGAGTCAATCTATTTTCCAAAGCACCAAAAGGCACAACAAGAAACAATGGATGGAAACTAACCAAAGAGAGAAGCAACCTAGGACTAAGGAGAAATTTCCTAAGGGTGAGACCAATCAACCAATGGAATAGCTTGCCCTCAGAAGTTGTGGGTGCTCCATCACTAGAGGCTTTCAAAAAGAGTGAGGGAAGTACAACTCATTGCCTTAATAAAATAATCAAAAGTTGCATCTATATTTAGTTTGCATTTAGATTTTTGGAAATGCAATTTGAGTATGATTACTTGAAAATATAAATCAGACAATTATCTATTCCCATCCCTATTCTACAGCTGCATTATTAAATTACTATTATATTGGTATGTCTTTCCAATCCTTTCTGATCACCAAACTTAGTTTAAGTTGGAAAAAGTTCACTATAAAGTCTTTAATTTTTTTTTATTTGAAAGCCAGTATACAGTACTTGTGTCTGATATTGGGATAACTATTTATTTATTCCTTCCAAGGTTTTTGGGAAAAATGTGTGGTTTTGGGTCCTCTTCTCCATCATCCATGTTGTGGCCTCTCTTGGTCTTAGCACCCAGATTTACTACATGGGTCGTTTTAAGATAGGTAAGTTTTACTTGGAAGTAAATTTAATTAAAATCCAGTTATTTAAGGATTTTAGCCCAAACACTGTTGAATAGCAGGTACAGTAGTTTTATATTTTGGAGAGTCTGCTGCAAAAGCAATATACTTAGCAGAGAATAAATTTTGTAAGACATTAGAGATTTGCCAAATTGATTAACATAATCATCTGTGGATATATGTTGGTATATATATATGTGTGTGTGTGTGTGTGTGTGTATATATGTATATATGTATGTGTGTATACACACACACACACACACACACACACAGTAACAAACAAACACACAAACCGGTAGTAAAGGTAAGTACAACCCACCCCTTGTGTGTACAAGGGGTGGGTTGTACTTACCTTTACTACCGGTTTGCAACGGGGCCGCATGCGCGGTTGGTGCATGCATTTCCTTCACAATGGCTATCACATCAGTTAATGATTCCCATTGCTTCACGAAAGCTTTTAAACTGATCTCTTGACCATGATTTGGTGAGTATGTCAACTGCTATCTCCCCTGTGGGTTAATACTTGTGCCCATCCTGGAATTCATCTTGCACTTGATGGTACTTGGTATCATTGCGCTTTGTACATGGAATCAAAAATGCAATTTTTGTTGTCCTCAACTATAATTCAACTTATCTATCTCAAAGTCCAATATTTGTTTGGGTAGCCAAGTTATTTTTTGGCAAAGTAGTGCTGTAGATACACATATATATTGAGATAAAATATTACAGATGCAGATACATAATTCTGTGATTGAGAGAACAACTATAAACTGCTTTTTGCTAATCCATCTTTCCACATAGTAAAACAAGTTTTTGGATGGATTTTTCTATCATTTATAACTCCATGTGAGCTGCTAGTCTGGAATTATTGTCCATGTGTAATGTTAATTTTCAATCTGCAATTCTCCTTAAGTATCTTTCTACTATCTTGACTCCATCCAGTCTTCCTTTGTTGATGCTTATACTTTCCTGCATAGTCTCCCTATTACTGTTGTAGTTTCTGGCATAGTGACTATTTAGTAGCTAACTACTAAAACCCTGGAAGTCCATTCTGAAGAGAAAGTGAGCCGAGTAAGTAGCTGAAGTACAGAGGTCAGAGTCAGAAGTGAATAAGGAAACAGATTAAAGCCTTGAGAATATATGTCTAACCAATAGAAAGCATTTACATAGAGACATGCAAAGTAAGTCTTTTTGACAGGAAAAGAAAAACGGAATTCCTAACTACCTCTGCATCTACTACCTGTAATTATTAATAGGTTATAAGTTCAGAAAGCCAATGCATTCAAACAGACGAGATATGAGAATGAGCTTTACTCTTTCTTACTGTTGTTTTTTTTTTCTCCGATGGATTACATTTGTTTCTTAATCTTGGCAACTTTAAGATGCCAATTCTCCTGCCAGCCAGGCTGAGAAATAGAACAAAGAATCCATGTTGACATTTTTATGCATTACCTAATACTGATCCATTAAAGGATTGCATATGTATTTATTTGTTTTGTGTACTGAAAGCAACAGTTACTTTTCAGCAGGTAGTGCTTTTCACAGGGAGCATAGAACTTGTTATTGTGTATGTGTGTACATTTTATTTATTTATTTATTTGTTCAACTTGTATGCCGCCTTTCTCTGAATACTCAAGGTGGTTTACAATGCATTTTGTTTGGCAAGCATTTGAGGACACCTCCTAGCTGCCTTACACTCCCTTGCTGTGTCAATATATTCTTCTCACAAGCATTTCCCCCCGCTTTTCTTTTCTGCTTCACTTGGAACCAGATGTCTCTGATCCAGGTAACTAGCATTTGGGGTTAAGCCTTCCCCCTTGGACTAAGCAAAAAAGGACTTTGGCAGCAAGACTAAGAACCATACTCATTTTTCTGGATTTTTCTGGAAAAGTCAATAGCTTCAATCCCCAATGCCTTCTGAATAGATATTGTAAAACAAACCAGATGGCATAACTACTCTATTATTTCTCAAGAATGCTGGTTGTTGGAGATGGTATAAATGGGCACCTTTCAGCAAACTTACTGGCAGATATGTTTTTATAAAATGCTTCCATAGGGCCTGATTTTAAAAAGCATCCTACCAAAAAAAATTGTAGGGAAGCTGTGTCATATAGAATGATGGTATCTTTAGTTAACCATTGAAAAGACTTGAAGGTCAAAGTTGCTTCCTGGCAGGGACTTGGAGCATGGCATAGTGAAGGCACCACCAGCTGACACAACCATCTATTCAGAGACTTGGGTAATGGTAGCAATGATTCTTAGAGGAAAAGATAGCTTTCAGATGCACATGTTCTTAGTTCATGAAACTTTTAAGTACAGTATTAAAGCAAATATCTGTTTGCATTCAAAAATGTTATTTCCATTCTCCCTGTCTTGGTCAAGATTCTAGCAGCTTTGTTTTGATAAAACTGTAGTTTCCCACTGCATGGATTGTGATACAATATCCGATATTCCATGTTATCTACAGTATGTCCCAGAAGAGTCAACATTTATGTATCAGCCAGAGCTGGTAGAAAGTAGTTCATGTCTCAGAATGTGTCTTCAAGAGATAAGTCGCATTCAAATTATTGCTCTACTATAGTAGAAATGAGCAATTTACAGGAAGCAGTAGAATTAACTTTCTTTTTGTATTTCTTCAGCCTCAGAGAATGTAAAAGACCAGGCTGATAGTATGATAATTTTAGGTCGGACTGAAATGTTACTTAGAAGTACCCTACTTCTAAATTTAGATGATTAAGGGGTGAAATGAGTAAATAAATTCTTGCAAAGGTTTGCCATGTAGCAAACAAATTGGGAAAAACTATATTCCTTGAAAGTTGGTATTTTTGCTGCTAATTTTTAGCTATATATTCTGGAAGTGCTCTGGAAGCACTCTGGAAGGACTGTTAGGCCTATAGCCTGTCATTACCAATCTATAATTGAGATTACAATAATCTACAAAAATCCTTTCTTAATAACCTCAAAATTTCCTAGCTTACAGCTGCCTAATAATAGTATAAAAAGTCATATTTTTATCAGTAGTGTTAGTAGTCAAGGGTCCTTTGTCCTTTTCTGAAAATCAAATATTTTCCAATAGATTCCAATCCACTTTGTGCCAACTCTTGCTTCTCAGACCTGGGTTATATATTTGCTTCAACATGATCTCAGTCAAATGCTGATTGCCATATTTTAATTCCCTTTGTTGTTTTCTGCCATAGACCTTGGGGTTTTTCGACGTATAGCTATAGTATTGTACACAGATTATATACAACAATGCAGCCGACCCATGTACATGGTAAGTACATCCTCAGTCCCTTGAAGCTATAGTTTAAATAAACACAATGGCCTTATTTGCCACTGCAATACTAATCTATTTTCTAGTAATATATTGTCTTCTGTAGACAAACTACAGATGAATTCCACTTGGAATTCTTTTTCCTGGTCTCGTATGAGGATGCGCCTACTCAGAACTACCATCTAGAACTTTCTGTGCTTGACAAGATTCTTAGTGGGAGACCCACTCTCCCCTATCCACAGATAGTCCTCAAAATCTGACCATTCATTCAGAGACCATTTGAAGTTCAGCCACTGAACAAATGGTACTTACACCCAGTCCCTGAAGTTATGATCACTGCAGTTACCCCCACATCACATGATATATGAGTGTGTCGCAGATGTTCACACTTATGACCTCAAAGGTACTTCACTTCCTCCACCCACCTCTCTCCCCCACCTCTGCTCTTTTGGCCTCCCTACACAGTGGCACTCCTCAGCTGGGGTGGTGGCACTGAGGTTGATGTAGAAGCCTGGTGGCTTCAGCAGTCAATCCTGGGCCTCTCAACCCAAGTTCCACTGCCACCAGGGAGTGTTGCCTGGCCCATGCCACATCCGGCCATCCAGTGCCATAGCACCAAGCTTCAGGTGCTCTCACCACCCTCCATTCCACTTAACCTGCTGGCCTGCTCCCTAGCACACCACTGGTCATGCCAGCCTACCAGCCATGTCACCCTATGCTCTGCTTGTCCTGCCAGTCTTGCTGTTTCCAACTGACCTTTGCCATCTTCCTCCTGCTGCTGACAAGGTATGCCCAGCCAGGATCTATGTGCGGCAGCTGCTGACCATACATTTATGAGAATGGCCCACACTATTTGAAGAATGATAGACCCTATTTGGAGAACGCCACATGAAGCCTTGGGAAGAAGGCTTGACAGTAATTGCCTAGCATAGGGCCAAACTGGGTGTTCCTGTCAGCAGTGAAAGGAAGACTGAAGGTCAATTAAAAAGATACATTACCCTGTTCTCCTTGAATAATTATTATGTAATTAAATTACCAAATGGTAGATTTTTGGTTTAACATATCCTAACAGAGATAGTAACTTCCCCTTAAATGTTTTGAAGCAAAGACTGGGAAAACATTTCTCAGATATCTTTTAATCTGGATTCAGGATTGGAGTCATATGGAATAGAGAGCTCCTTATGATTTTTTATAAGTTTTTGTAGCTTAATTCCTGCATTCAGATAACCAAACTACTCTGGATGATGAAGGGTGATCTGTGTTTGCATGGTATACATAGAATGCAAATTGAAATTTCTAAGTGATCAAACATGCTCTAAAAGCTTATAATGATGCTAAAGCAAATGCAAATGTATATCAGATATGCAACTTCACATTACAAGTATTAGCATTAGCATTAGATCCTCCCATGCTATGCAGCATATTGGGCAGCAAGGCCACTCCAGCATTTTTAGTCTTGGGTGAGTGCTTCAGCAACTTCCTGTGTGATGTTTAGAGTCTTTAAGTCTTCCATGAACATTCTTCACCATGTATTTTAAGAGTGTCCTTTTGGTTGTTTGGCACGGATGAGGGGGTAGAGAGTGTCCATCTCATTGCCATCTTGGAGATTTGATCGTTCTCCATGTGGAGAAAATGATCTTCAAGCTGCAGTCTTCTGCATGCGACAATGTTATGTAGTTTGCAGGAGAAAATATTACTTCATTAGTAATATGATCAAAATAGTGAATCGTTAGGATTCAGTGAAGGCATCTTTGTTGAAAGACGTCAAGTCTTTCTGATACTTGCTTAATACTTGCTGATGCCTTCCAAATCCTGCTGGCATAAATGGCTGTCAGGATCACTATAGAGATGAGCAAATGGAGTTTAAGTTTTAGTGATATAGATGACGAGGGCCAGATTTTATTCATCTTCTGGAAAACAGCTGTTGCTTTTCCAGTGCAGCATTTGATGTCTATCTCTGCATCACCATTTCAGGCGATTACTCGACCCAAATAGTTAAACCTTCCTACTTCCTCAAGTCACTGTGATCCAAATGTGATTCCCCGTATCTGTGCGGTAGAACTCACATACATGTTCTTCGATTTCTTGGCACTTATCCTGAGGCCAATTTTGTCTGCATCTTTATCAAAGGCAGTCATCACTTGTAGTTTCGTCTCGTCTTCCTCATATAGGACAATATCATCTGCAAAATCCAGGTTGCCAAGATGGTCTTGGTCAGAATAATGAATGCCTTTTCCAATGCGGGATTTTCATTGCAGAACATAGTCGAGGACCACAAGGAAGAGGAGTGGTGATAGAATACAGTCTTGTCTAAGTAGTAATTTTGAAGAAGTCCATATTCGGTCTTAATGCTTGATAGAAGGTATAAATCCATAAAGATAGTAATGAAGACTTGGTAAACCATATAAATGTAAAATCTGCCAGAGAGATTTTCGGTGGACATGTCAAATGCTTTCTTAAAATCAATAAAGTTGATGGCCAGTGGTTGTCAATATTCAGTGCACTGTTCTGTATTTCATAAGGTGAAGATTGCTCACAGCAGGACCTTCCACATCAAAATCCAACTTGTTCTTCTCTCAGACTTTGGTATAGGGCACCTTGCAGCTGCCTAAGGAGAACTATGCAAAAAGTCTTTTCAGGCACTGAGAGGAGCGTAATGCCCCACCAGTTGGTGCATTCTTATTCTTGATCAGAACACAGGAGCTATTCCTTATTCCATTCAGTTCATTAGCAATGTAATAAAGAGTTTAGGAATCATTCTGATTTGTTGCTTCTTGCACCTCAGTGCCTTTCTGTTCCAGCCATTCTTTCTTGTCTTCCCAGCAATTTCTCTTCACCATCTGGTTGAGCTCTATACATTTCTGGTTTGATTTTTTTATTTAATCCACATAATTTTAAGTATGCTATTAATTATTTCCTGTTGAAAGCATTGGGATAAAACAGAAAAATGTTGCTATAATTTGATTTCAATTGTTCATTTTTGGTTATTCTTTCTCTTCTCTAGGACAGAATGATTTTGCTTGTTGTTGGGAACCTGGTTAATTGGTCTTTGTAAGTAGCAAATATATGCTTATAAGTTTGTAGATTTATTTTGAACAATCAAGATACAAGTGTCTGTTGGAGAAGCTCTGTCTCTGAAATAGTGCTGCCTGCTATTTTTAAAACATTTTTTCAAGTTGGACAAATTATCTGATATTTAACAATTTCTTCCCATTCCTTTTCCCCACCCTGAAAATTCCAGAATTCTTTGAACAAATTTATTTTTTATTTTTTTAAAACACATAAGCATACAAAAATCTTTTCAGAACGAGCCGTTGATCCGGTCATAAGTAGGTACAATTACTAATTTCTCTTTAACAAAAGATTTTCCCGAATACTCACTAATTACCACAAAAAAAAAAGAAAAAAAGAAAAAAAATTTCCTAACATATCATTTTACACAGATCAATTACCTTCTATTATTTCACCACAAAACTTAATTTTCAAATAACACAACTTAATTTCTTCTAACATTATTGACATAAATTCTATCTGAAAGAAGAAAAAAATTCTTAAAACCCATTACACTAATCTTAAAATCCTTAATTCAGTATCATTTCAATTTTTTTCCTTTTAACATGGATGGATATATCTTAAAGACATAAATCAACAAAATATTCATTCAGTATTTTAACTGTTAGCATTTATCATCTTCATTTTACTATTTGTCTCAGCTTAACCCTTTTAGTCACGACATAATCATTTTATTATTAGTATCAATTCCAGCATGGTCATCTTTATTTCTAAAAGTTTATCCCAGTATATAATCTTCCTCTTAATCATCCTCTTTTGGCTGTTAATCACAGCATATACTTCTTAGGTTTTGCTGTTATTCTCAGTATAATCATCATATTTGCTGTCAATCTCAGCATAATTATTTTTATCTTTACTGTTATTCCCAGTATAATCATCTTGTTTTGCTGTCAAACCCAGCATAATTTTATTTATATTTTACTGTTATACCCAGTATAATTCTCTGTTTTGCTGTCTATCCCAGCATAATCATCTTAGTTTGCTGCTTATCCCAGCATAATCACCCTTTTTTTAATTTTACCATCCATCAATACATTACTTGTTAATATTCAATCACATTGTCATTATCATCTTTATAACAATGTAACATTGAGGCTTAGTTCTTACTCCAAACCCTTCTTTATATAAATTAGTAAATTTCTTAATATATTCTATTCCTCTCATATTCTTAATTTTTTCTTTATTTCAGGTTTTACCATATTATATCAAATTCTTCTCATATTCATATTCATTTTTATTACTCTGTAAAAACCTCCTTTTTATTACTACTGTCCATCTATACATTGCTTTATTTTTGATCACATTGTTTCTATATTCTTTTTTCCAGCTGTGTATATCATTCCACATTTCCTTGTCTGTAACATATATTCCATTTCAGTTTCAATGATCACAATTTAATTCTCCATAAATCAATTTAGTTCTTTTTCTTACTTCTATTGCCAACAAATCACATCAATTTTCTTCTTTTGTTCCTGCACCTTTTAAGTTCTTTAGTTCCTGCGCCAATTAGTCCATCATAAGAGTTCCATCATACTTTCCCTTTTTTTTTCAACAAAGTCAAATCATCTGCTGACAAAGAAAAAGCAGCTCTATCTCCAAAATCCCACTGTTGTTATCTGAAGTATTCACAATGTTCCCAAACAAAAGCCAGTTACAATGTTTCTTTTTAGACCAGGTGTCCCTCTACAATCCACAATTTCCTTTAGTCATGCAAATTGCCATTTTGTTTCAATTATATAACATTCCAGCCCAATTCTCTCCTTCTGTGTTTTAAAAGTAATAATTCTACTTTATCTTCTGTTCTTTAAAAGTCTAATTCAAATTTTAAAGTTGTTCAATTTTGAACCAAGTCTCAATGTTTATTTTTCAAATTTAGTCTATTCAAATATCAATTTTCAGTCGGGTCTTTTTCTTTTCTTTTAAAAATTTCATCTTAAAATCTTCCATGCCCCTTAGCTCCACAGCTGCTAATTTAAGGCTAGGGGTCTTACAAAATAAAAAGCCATTACTCCAAATGTTGTTTCAAGCCTGGGTTGGTTGTCACTCACCTGGCTTCAAAAGGCTTTTTCGCTTTCCTCCTGCACATCACTTGCCCGGTTTGTCCCAGCTTCGCGGCAGCCGCCATGGCGGCTGCCCCCCACCGCTGACTCACAGAAAGCTCCCTCCGACCTCCGAGGAACTTGCCTGTTCCTCTGGTCGTCTGAGGTGCCTCTCCTCCATCCCCATCCCTGCAGGATGGTTCCGGTCCGAAGACCCATCGATGGCGATTCGGCAGCCGGGGTTTTCACGGGGCTCATCAGAGCCCACTATTTTCCCGACTGTCTCACCGCGACGTCAAACCGAAGTCTCAAAATTTCAGAATTCTCAATGTGATTATTGCAGCATAGGAACCAGACTTCATTAGGGAATAACTTGGTAACTATTAGAATGCATACTAGTTTCTTCCTTTCCCCATTCCCTCTATAGTTCAGCCTTAAGTTTGATTTAGATTTCTGTGTCACTGCACACCCAGGGAATGTAGGTGTCTGTTGTTCAGAGACAGTTGCATTGTTATTGCATTTATACTTCTATGAATATTAATGTCCTGGCTAAGAGACACTCGAACAACAATGTGTCCTGCCTTTTGCCTGCCTCCCAACAAGAAATTAGTTAACCAACCAGTGTCTAGGGCACACACCTCCATGCAACACACATAGTCGAGATATGGAATCTACAACCTTCACCTTACCCATCAACTCCTTCATAGTGTAAGTATGTGTTGACAACTATGCACAGTTGTAAGCAAGTCCTAATCAAGCATAAAGGTGTTGCTATCTCCAGCAGGGACCAGGAACAGCATCTGCTTGAATAAGTCTAGTGACTCTGATTTAGGCTTGATTTAGACTTGCTTCTACAATGCCTGGAAGTCATGGTTAAAATCATTTGATTTCTGGAGCCATTTTTAATATATATTTATTATGTTTTATCAATGGGAATAAAATACAAAACAGAAAAAAATACATCCAACTGTAATACCAACAAAAAAAGAAAAAAATGTGTACAAAAAAAGGAAAAAAAGAGAAAAAAATGACCCAAACATCCAACATTATATATATAAAAAAGCACCAAAAGCCCCCCCCTCCCCCCCCACGCGGGCTGGATGTTGAAAAATAAAAAAATACCTGATAAATTCTCTCCTTATATAATGGGTCTGCAAATAGTTATAAATTTACAAATGAGAGCAAAGTGAAACTTATGAAATCATCCTTATTTAACAAGAAAAAATATATTATATTATATTATTATATAAACAAATATTTCAGATGAGGAGGACTCTAGGTAATAAGCGAATCAACCCAGCATCTAATATATATAAAAAATGAAAGAAGATTACACTAGTCTTCAAATTCCTCTGTTAACCATCTGTTATTGTATTTAACATGAAGAAAGTCCATAGCTTCCAGTCTCTTATAAAGCTGCCTAGTCCATTATATCTAATCAAGGCAGTTAATTTTGCCATCTCTGCTAATTCAGTCAATTTTTAAAATCCATTCTTTAACAGTCAGCATCTCCTTTCCTTTCCAGCGAGTACAATCCTTGAGGCAGTCACCATGTAAAGAAATAGGGTCCCAAATTGTTTTTCGATTGATTTATCCATCATATCTAAAAGAAAAGCTTCAGGTTTTATTAATACTTGTTATCTTAAGTATTTTCTGCATTATCATTATAATGTTTATCCAGGATGTTTTCACATATTTGCAGGACCACCACTTATGATAAAATGTACCTGGATTTTGATTACATATCCATTACTTATTACAAGTCCCTCTATACATTTTTGCTAATCTATCTGGAATTAAATACTGATACATCATTTAAAAAAAAAATCTTTCAAAATAAAATTCAAAGTAAATTTTACTCCATTAGTCCATACATTCTCCTGTTTATTTAGCATTATATTATACCCAAAAATGTTTGGCTATTTCACCATGCAGTCTTTTACATATTTGTCTTCCAGGTTCATCTTGAGTAACATTTTATATGTAATTTAGCAATAAAGTGGTCATCGACAGAACATAAATTGATATCCAATTTGATGAAAACAAAACGTTTTTATCAAGTTTAAATCTTTCAAAAATTCTGTAATTATTAAACCAGTCATAAACAAAACCTTTACTTACTAATTGTTATCTTGAAAACAAGAAACATTTCTGGAGCCATTTTTAATTGAACTAGTGGATTTATGGCAAGAAATTTTGACAAATGGGTGATCTTTGTTTGGTTTTCAGGTAGATCCAGATGCTTTACAACTATAATTAAAACAATTCATTAAAGCATAGTTATATTTTTCTGACTAGAAATTCATAGTTGTTCTAAACAAATTAATCTGGATCAGCTTTGCATGGTTTTGTGCAATTGTCTTGGATTACATTGCCTTTATTCTTCTCTCTTAGTGCAATTTTTGGACTAGTATATCGGCCAAGGGATTTTGCTTCTTACATGCTTGGCATTTTTATCTGCAATCTTTTGCTATATCTTGCCTTCTATGTCATCATGAAGGTCAGTGGTTCTTACTACTTTTAGTTAATGTTTTTTATTTTGCCAAACTTAGACTGCTTTGAAGGGGGAATTAGATTATTGTATGGTAGAATATGTTTGCTCAGTGCGCATCTTTCAGATATGTCCTTCAAGAGTTGACTACAAGTTTTTAAGCCTTTGGATAAGAGACCTCAGTGAATATTATTTATTTATGATGAAGTTATTGTTAAGAGACAGAGACTACATATTTTGAATAATCAGAGTACATATGATCTATCTAAACTTGGAAAAGCACAAATCAACTATTATATTAAGTTAAATACATTCCACAACCTCAAACTTAAAGGGGAAAACACAATTTATCAAAGTTTACAATTATTGTGAACTTTTCTTTTTAAAAAATTATTTCTCCCTTTTATGTGCATCTCATAGGAAATACCCATTCAAATATTATACTTTTTGTCTTTCCAGCTCCGCAGTTCAGAAAAGCTATTGCCTTTCCCCCTCTTTTGTATTGTGGCCACAGCTGTGGTTTGGGCTTCAGCTCTTTATTTCTTTTTCCAGAACCCCAGTAGCTGGGAGGTAGGTTCCTTCCTGTTTTCTTGCTCATATGGACAAAATTTCAGAATCAAAATTGATTTGATTTAAAACTTTGGCTTCCTTCACTGTGACCTAATTTCTTATGCCAAGATCTATAGAATATTAATATAAAATTAGTGTGATCCTTTAACTTATTGTTGAGTCTAAGTCATATAGAAATACATTATTCCATTTTTCTCCTTCCCTTTTTTATAATATAAATACATTTCAAAAATTTATAAAGAACACATTTCTTGAAACCATTCTTTAACATCAAAAATGTAAATTTCTACCTATATAAGGACCATTCTATTTGCCTGAATTCCAAGTTTGGTAAAGCCAGAGCATCTCATTAAAAAAGCAAAACTGTATTTTTGGTGTGTAATTCAGTTTCATCAATTACTTATAAAAACCTTTTTATTAATGTTGCTGAAGAAAATTATTTGACATTTTAGCATTTGAACATCATGGACATTATATAGTTGGTACTATCATTTTAATTATATTTGATATTTATTACATAGCTACTTATATTAAATGCCTTCTAAAATCTTAGAGCAGTTTACATAGGAAGCCTTAATAGATTCACTCATCCGTTTTGTCCTTTTCACCACTCGTTTCCTTCTTAGATTGGAGTAGTGAGTTTGCTTAATGTGCTTTTCATAGTTAGGTAGAGAAGAACATTTAATGACTGAGAGATAAGGCTAGATCAGACATAAGGTTACATTTTCTGTTGGGGAACATCTAGAATTCACTGATTTTATCATTTACTCCAGGAAACTCCAGCACAGTCTCGTGAAAAAAACCGACCATGTATCCTTCTGGGATTCTTTGATGATCATGATATCTGGCACTTCCTCTCAGCTGCTGCCTTGTTCTTTTCATTCTTGGTGAGATTTTTCTTAGTAACAAAATAACGTCCTAAAGTAAATCATGTTAGGTATATTTCTAGCCCTATCGAACAGTATAACATTGTATAGTTTGGGGTATTTCCTTTCTTGCAGTGAAAATGGTTTGTCATCCATAATGATAATAGATGCTAGCCCTAAATAAATCCTTGCTTATCAACCATTCATTAAGTGACCATTTGAAATTCCAATGGTACTGAAAAGTGAGATTTACAACTGATCCTTGAAGTTGCAGTTGTTGCAGCATTCTTGCAGTCATGTGATCACAATTTGGGCACTTGGAAAACAGGACATATTTACAGTGGTTGCAGTATCCCACAGTCACATGGTCACCATTTGCAACCCTCATATCTGGCTTCCAAGAAGCAAGTCAATGGGGAAGCAAGCAGGAGATTGCAAGTCACACTCAAAATATTGTGTTTAATGATCTGCTTGGAGGTCATTGACAAACTGCCATTGTAAGTCAAGTGCAATCACGTGATTACATCATTTAGCAACAGGGTGCCCAATGGTGCTACCTTCTTTGCTGGAATGTGCTTCGCTCAATGGATCATGAGGGCATTTTATTTTAACTACTGTGTTTCCCTGAAAATAAGAGCTAACAAGAAAATAAACCTGATTTTTAGCGTGCTCCTAATATAAGCCTTACCCAAAAATAAGCCCCAGTTAAGGTCATCATCAGCGTGGTAGTGGGGTGTGGGTGGGTGTGGCCAGCACTGAAGGCAGCAGCGTGGGGGCCAATGATGTCCGGCAGAAACTGCAGCCCGCGCAGCACAGGTGAATTGATTACCTATCCAAGCAGCAGGCGAAGTCAGAGGTGGGGAGGCACATGATTCAGACATACCACACGGGCCGCGGGAAAGCTGCGTGTTGGTGGGACGGAGCGGGCAGGCAGCCACGGGAGGCTTGTCTTTGTGCGGTGGCACTGGCAGCAGATGGAGGCAGAGGCACGGGGGGGGGGAAGGCAGGCAATCCGGACCTACCGTGTGGGCTGTGAAAAAGCCAAGTCAGTGAGCTGGAGTGGCCGAGCGGCTGTCTTTGCATCTCTCAGTTTGCCTGCAGCTTGGGCGCCAGGATTGGCTGCCTGTTGTGACCCAGGCCCAAGTAGGTAGTAATCGAAGCAAACAGGTTTTTTTTTTTTTTTAATTTGATTTATATGCTGCCCTTCTCCGGAGACTCAGGGCGGCTTACAATGCGCTAAGCAAACCAAAACAGAGAGACTTTATTAGAACAGCTGAGAATTAACTCATTCTCAGCGTAGTCCAAACTAAATTAAAACAAACTCTTCATAACACAAATTCTTCAGTCTAATCACCAACCTTGGTATAATTAGGCAAACTGCCAAAGGCTCTCTTGGCAAAAGTTCAAAAGCAGAAGACGCCGACAAGAGATAAGTGCAGCAAGACTATCAATGTTGTTTTCTGACAAAGAGCCCAAGAGCTGTTGCTGATCTTTTAAGCCTTACGGGACAGGTCAATCATCTCTTGGCCCTACTCCTGAGTCGTCCTCTTTGCTTTAGCTGCTCTTGCCTTCTGGCAGCTCTTCTCATATGTGCACTAGGAACAGGCTCCTCCTGTTCCTCTGCGTCTCTACTGTCAGCCTCTGGAGGCTCCAGACTCCACACATCACTCCCCGATGGCCCTGGCCCCATCTCTGCCTCCAATGCAGAGCCCTCATCTGGACCTTCCCCAGCCTCCAGGACTGGCCCATGTTCTTCCTCAGCCTCATTGCTGTCTGACTCCACTGCCAGCTCGGCAGGCTGCGGTTGAACCACAACACTGCCTTCCCCCCGTATCTCTGCGTCCATCTGCTGTTGGTGCCACCACATGAAGACAAACCTCCCATGGCCCATGTGGTGTGTCTGGTTCACATTCCTTTCCCCCCCACCCGCGTCTCTGCCTCTGACTGCTCCTTGGACAGATAATCAACTCACCTGCTCTGCGTGGGTTGCACAACCCCTGAATGAGCTGACTAAGGGGCCAGTGGGCTGCAGCTACTGCCAAACACTGTTGACCCCTGCACGCTCACCACCTCTTGTCTGCATGCTAGGGGTGGGGCACCCAAATGGGCTGATCACCCTGATACCATGTTTCCCCAAAAATAAGCCCTTTTGGGGCAAAAGAAAATAGATAAGATTTGATCTTATTTTCAGGGAAACACGGTATATGTCCATTCAAGCTTAATCCAAGCTTAATGGGATCACTTAAGGGAACAGCTTATCAGACGTATTCATATTAGGGTCAGAATCAAGTCCCAGTTATTTTTAAAATACACTGAGCCAGGTTTTACAAACTCAGAAGGGGTTAACTCTCCATTCTGGCCTTGTCATAGAAACAAGTATTTAGAGCATTCTAAAGAAGTGAGTTTACAATTTTAAGAAAGGGCTGGTATTCCTTTTTTAATTATCTTCATTAAATTGGAAAGGGAAGAACCAATATTTTATGTGGTAGTACCTGGAACTGTTTTAAATAGTTAGATGCTACCCTTAAATGTGTTTTAGATAATTTTTGTGAATATTATGTATGTTGTGATGTTTTATTATTTGTTTGCACAGTGCTTAAGTATTAATTGTGGGCTAAATTAAAATACTACTACAACTGCTAGAAAAAAAAGATGTTTTGCTGGTGGGAAGATGGTTTTCTTTAAAAAAATAATTTGAATGAAAAAAACCCTCTGCAGACCTATCTTTTAAAAATAACTATTTGAGTCATACATAGACAACTTCCTGTTATATTTCACTTAAACCCATGTTAAGAACGAAGGGCATGGGGAAATAACCCCCAACAAAAATTGTCAAAATAGAAAAAAAAATCTTATTACAAAACCTCAGTAGCTGGATTAACAGCTAGGACAGCTGAATACCCTAATCTGGCGGAAATAGTTCATTTAGCTCTTGATAACATGTACCAGGATGGAAACAATTGCCCAAAGATGTACTCAAACTCCCCCATCCAAATAAGTCTCTAATACACAATTTATCCATTCAGCCTCTTTCTTGGGCCAGCATGGCTGTCTTGCCAAAAATGTGTCCCTTCTACTACTGTTAATTTTAGAAGCTAGAGGATGCCTCTGATGATTTGAAAAGATCCCATCTCTCTAGACAACACTTCTCACTCCTATTTAGCCAGCTTGCATTTTGTTGTTGCTGTTGTTATTCTTGGCTTGGAGAAACTGCCACATGAGAAAATCTGAACACAGTATAAATAATTTTCCCTTTTCACCAGTTGGACCAGATTGTATCTCAGATACAAGAAGTAACATGGGTGTCCACCAGGGAAGGGAAAAGACAAAATATTATTGCACTTATCACATTAATTGCTATGACTGACTTGCTTGCATTAGACATCAGAATGCAAGTACTCTAATTTTATTTATTTATATATTAAATTTGGAGACCACCCATCTTTTTCACAGAGCACCTCTGGGCAGTGTACAATACAAAACATAAAGGTTATTATGGTATTTGCATTGTATCACTACACATGATTCTTGGCCCTATCAGTTTGCTGTACATAGTGACATCTTCTTTTATTGCGAAGGTTGTTGAGAGTGTGGTGGCGCGACAGCTTCCCCAGTACCTGGATGAAGCTGTCTATTCAGATCCGCTCCAGTCCGGTTTCAGACCTGGGTACAGCATGGAAACGGCATTGGTCGCGTTGGTGGATGATCTCTGGAGGGCTCGGGGTAGGGGTTATTCCTCTATCCTGGTCCTGTTAGATCTCTCAGCGGCTTTTGATACCATCGACCATGGTATCACGTTGCGCCGGCTGGAGGCTCTGGGAGTAGGGGGCACCGTCTTGCGGTGGTTCTCCTATCTCTCCGACCGGTCGCAATCTGTGTTGACAGGGGGGCAGCGGTTGACCCCGAGGCGCCTTGTTTGTGGGGTGTCACAAGGGTCGGTCCTCTCACCTCTCCTGTTCAACATTTATGTGAAGCTGCTGGGCGAGATCATCCGTGGTTTTGGGGTGGAGTTCCATCAGTACGCTGATGATACTCAGCTGTACATCTCCACCCCAGACCATCCCAACGATGCCTTGGAAGTGATGTCCCAGTGCCTGGAGGCTGTGCGGGTCTGGATGGGGAGAAACAGGCTTCGACTCAACCCTTCCAAGACCGAGTGGCTGTGGCTGCCAGCGTCCCGGTATAGCCAGCTGGTGCCATCGCTGGTTATTGGGGGCGAATCATTGGCCCCCACGGAAAGGGCCCGCAACTTGGGCGTCCTCCTGGATGCACGGCTGTCTTTAGAAGGGCATATGATGGCCGTGGCCAGGAGGGCTTTCTATCAGGTTCGCCTGATACGCCAGTTGCGCCCCTTTCTGGATCGGGACTCCCTACGCACGGTCACTCAAGCACTCGTCACCTCTCGTCTGGACTATTGTAACGCTCTCTACATGGGGCTCCCCTTGGGGTGCACCCGGAGGCTCCAACTGGTGCAGAATGCGGCCGCGCGGGGGATTATGGGAGCGACGGGGCGCTCCTATGTGACTCCTCTCCTGCGCAAGCTGCATTGGCTTCCGGTGGACTTCCAGGTGCGCTTCAAGGTGTTGGTGATCACCTTTAAAGTGCTCCATGGCTTAGGGCCGGGGTACTTACGGGACCGCCTTCTGCCACCAATTGCCTCCCACCGGCCAGTTCGCTCCCACAGAGAGGGCCTCCTCAGGGTGCCATCGGACAATGTCGGCCGGCGACCCCCAGGGGGAGAGCCTTCTCTGTGGTGGCACCCACTCTCTAGAACTATCTACCCCCAGAGATACGAGTGATCCCAGACCTCCGGACTTTTCGTCGGGCCCTTAAAACCTATTTTTTTCAGTTTGCCGGGCTGTCCTGATTTTATGGTTGGTTTTAAAATTGATATTGATTTTAATTGAAATGTTTTAAATTATGGGCCAAATTTTATTTAATTATTTTAAATCTATTTTAACTTTTGTGTATGAATGTTTTATATTTGGCTGTTCACCGCCCTGAGTCCAAAAGGAGAAGGGCAGTATAGAAATCTGAAATAAATAATAAATAAATTAATTAATTAATTAATTAATTAATTAATTAATTAATTAATTAATTAAAATAAAATAAAATAAAATAAAATAAAATAAATCTTACAGTATAGTATTTGTATCACCAAATCCTGAAAGAAGGATTATGTGCAGTGGGAAAAGCAACTATTATTCCGATTTCTAGGAGTAACATGTCAGAACTATCCTGATTACAAAACCGATAAGACATTTCTGCTTATTCTTCCATTTTCTACCAAGAAAAAAACAATACAAATCTCTTGACATGCCTATGATACTTTCTTGCTCTAGGGCCTGCTGACCCTGGACGATGACTTGGATTCTGTGCCAAGGAACAAGATTCCTGTCTTTTGAGCTACAGGATAAGAACAGTGGTTCGTGCTTCTCAGTGAAATTTGCTATGTGGAGAAGTCAGAATGGAGCACCAAGTACACATTGGAAAAAACCTTATTGGAAACAATTCCCATATAGAAAAAAAATGTAAAAATCATGTCCTCAACATCAGCTGGATCAGATCTATAGTATAATAATGCATTATATTGAGACTAATCAAGCTGGGATATTCATAAGGCTCTCTGAGGCCATTCTTCACTTTCTTATAATGGGGTTTATTCCCAGCATTGTAGTTTCTGAGTTTGTAATTTACCAAATGCACATGGAATCATTGCCCTTTTGGCTACAGCGGAACCTTGGTATTCAATTGCTTTGAAACTCATTGAATTTGGTATTCAATGCATTTTGACACATTTTTTGTCGCAGTACTCATGTTCGTTTGGTACTTGATGCACAAGCTAGAACTTGTTGGGGTCAGTTACTTTGTGACTCACTATATTATTCCTTATGGGAGAAATTTGTTTGGTACTCATTGTGTTTGGTACTCATCATGTCTCCCGGAACCAATTAAAGATGAATATGAAGGTTCCACTGTACTTCTGTTCTGTTGCTTGATTAGTCAGAATTACTTTATGCAATACTGAAATATGGCAGAGATCCTTATGTGAAGCATTTTGCAACTGTTGCATTTACTACATAAAATGATAGTAACTCATTCTTTTTGTACTGGAAGACACATTGGAGAATAACACCATCCCTTTTCTTCCTATAGTACACTTTAGACAATGTGAATAGTGCAACCCGCCTCCTTTTCTTTGTACAAAACAGACTTTCCTTGCTCAGCTGGAAGGTGCTTTTCCTCTCCATGAGACTGTCATATGCATTATATTATTTCTTTTAATTTATGTTTGTTCTCAGACAGGTAATCCAGATGCAGTATTACAATGCTACTTACTCTTGCTAGTCATCTATCACTATTGCTAGTAGCGAATTATTTTCTGATAATCTACAGTCTCTTATTTGCTGTTCATTTAAACTCGTGCAAAATAACTGTTAAGTGGGTAAGACAGAAAAGATCCAATTGTCTACCCTATTGCTTAATCCCAGAATTATATTCAGGGGATGCTGTGTAGATGTTTGTGCCATGCTTTGCTAAATTTAAATTAAAGCATGTCTCAGTATTATCAACTTGAATTACTTAAGATGTTTGTTAACCTTTAAGTATATTTGGACTTTCTCTTAATGATTGTTTGGCAGTTAATGACAGCCCAATTGTCTTATCAATTCACTTCGGTTAAAAAAAATACTAAACACTAGAATTCTGCATCTGCTTTTCTCTAGGTTAAACCTGCTGTATATTTAAAGGAAATCTAAGAACAAAGGAGACTTTTTTTCCCCATCCGGAGGTCTTTTATGCATGCCTCGGTAGTGTTTTGCATCGGATTCCAAAAGGGTGCGAGAATGTGCAGGAGTCCTAATGTAGCACTTCAGCAAAAGAACCATATCTTTTCCAATGCATGCTTTGGGCCAGTGCGCTTTTCAAACTTGACAACTTTAAAATGCCTAAACTTCAACTCCCAGAATTCCCAGTTTGCATCTTAAAGTTGCCATGTTTGAAAAACACTGTTCTGGGTCTCTTTTTGGAATCAAGCCAAAGCACTACACAGTCTAAAAACAATGTACTCCAAGTCACATTTTCTAAAAATGTAGCATCTCCAAATGTCTTTTCCTATCCCTAAGCAACTTGCTGATGAATAGATCTGAAAACTACCAGCAAGCTACTGTCTTTGCATAGCAGTCAAAACAATGCTCTGAACCACTATTGACAACATTCTGTGTGGTGTCCAAGAATCAGTCTGGCTATTTTGAGGTTCTCGCTATGGCTGAGCAGGTGGACAAATGAAATTGGAACAAATTAGTGGGAAACCACAGACAGAATTGCTGGACTTTTTAGTTGTTTACCTTCTTAAAAATTACAATCTTAAACTTTGGGTATTTAAATATAAGATAATTGGTTTTGCTTTTTGTTTTTCCTGCAGAGGAAGAATTACAAAGCACAAGCAGAACACAAAATGATAGTGCACAAACTGTACATGTTTAAAAATAAAATACTATTTTGTTTATATCTATACAATGTTTACAATCAATATAATTTTACATTTAATAAAAATCTGAGAATTTTTTTAAAAAAATCAATGTTGCAGGTATTTACATACAAATGCATTCAATTTGTAAAAAGATGTTAAAATAAAAAAAAATATTTACAATAATAAACCTTCCGTACAAGTTTATCTTCAAGATCTTGAAAATTTCTGGGGGACCTTAAGTAATAGATAGAATATTATAGAATGCACAACAACATACATTCTTAATTTGCTGAAAAGTGTAGCACAATCATCATATGTTTCTTAATTTCAAAACAAGAGGGAGTTTACACAAGTCTTCTATGTGCACAAGGAAACTGCCATGAAGGCCAGCAGCAAAAGAAAGGTATGACTGTAGGATATAAACCTGTAGGCTATTGTGCTGTGTGACAGCAAGTTTTCTTTATCTGTTCCCATTAAAAGAACAAGGTGTGACTACCTATACCCAATAGAAACCCTAAGGTATTATAAACATACATCCCATGTGATCTATAGCTTCCATTTTTTCAAATGATTCAGCCATTATTGTGCCCTATAGCACCTTAGTAATAAAAGATCAATCCCTCATGCATCCAAAAATTGACATCTAATGGATTTTATAACCTTCAGAAGTCCCCAATACTTTATGAGCTTTTTTAGCATATGAGAAGCTTCAAATCACATCAGTGTCAATAAGACAATGTGATAAGATCACAGAATTTATGAGCATACAATGGGAAATTTGTATTGAAGTTAGAATCCTGAAATAGTTTAAGATAAATTAACAAAATATTAACATTTTAATAATTTCAAAATGTTAAAGGCATTCTTTAAAGATTTCTTTGTGCCATTTTTTAACTGAAGGGCACTATTACCTGAAATAAAAATAATAGGATTTGCAGAGTGCATGAAATCTCATTAAAGAGCTGATGCTCTTTTGCTAAACACAATCCCTGTTAATAATCAAAACTAAGGTAATTTATCTACAATAGCAATTTTACCACTGCAGGTAATACCAAGAGCTCTATTGAAAATATATTTCCGCATGAAAATACACTTGAAAAATACTAGTAATAGTCTATACTGACATCTACCAAAAATTCTAACAAGAAATACTGATAAATGCTTAGAAAGTCGCTATTGGTTTATATGAATACATAGTGAAAGTCTGAATACTTTTTTTAATCTATTGTCATAAAAATTGTTACACAAACCAAAAGGCAGAATATCATATTCTTCAATCAAGGTTTCCTCTTTCCACAACTCTCAATGAAAGGGAATACAGGCTCTCCTATTAATTAAATACTCTGCCATTTACTTGCATTTTCTTTTCATTTGTGCATCAGACTCTTCCAATACATTTTCAGAAAAAAAAACATTTAATACTCAGAAATCATAAAAGCACACATTATTGCATAGAAAATTTCTTCAAGAAACTGATTTCCTCTGCTGGTCAATATATTTTTGTCCAATTCACTTTCAACTGTTTCATTCTCACTACTTGTTATGCATTTAAATTGGTTAAGAAGAGTACCTGGTTTTTTTCATCCTTGGAATATGTTTACAGGAATTTGTTTTCTGTAAACAGCAGCATACCAACTCATAAGAGGGAAGAAAAAGAAAGTAAAACTAAACTATCTGGCCCTATTTGTATGAACTCTTTGATCTGTTAGCATGTTCTGCAGAAACTCTAACCCAATGAATCCTGGAAATACAGGGGAATACTTTTAAGAGCAAACATCTCTGGCCACTCATTGTAGGAAGACTTTCTTTCTTCCTGCTATCAAAAACAAAGTCTCTGCCTCAATTTGGGCTGCAAATTGGGCTGCTTTGCAGGACCTTATAAAAAGAAACAGAAACAAAGAATTAGCAATTTATCAGAATAATACCTTAGACAATGATGTACTGATGCCATCGTATTTTTGCCATCAACTGTGTGGAGAGACAAATAGAAACAATAGTGTTTTTAAAAAATCAAAAGGCTACACTAAAATTGTTTTGAGCCTGACAAAAATATTCCCTTCTTCCTTGACCCAGTGTTTTGGAATGCTAAATCGTATGTGTGTGTATGTGTGTGTGTGTGTGAGAGAGAGAGAGAGAGAGAGAGATTTCATTCTCATCTTATACTATCAAGACCACCATTCCACTAAATATGTGATTCTTTTTGCCTCTCATCATAATTCCTCTGACTTGACAAAATTATGTATGTAATCAGTTTGCCTACAGATTTCTGTAACTCCTGTTCATTTTTATAGCCTCATATATCAACATTACTAATTTCTTATTAGAGGAAATTTAAAATAATAAATGTAAGAAAAGGGGGGAGGAAATTTCGTAAGAGGGTTTTAAACAATAACAACAAAAACCCAACCCAATACCTGAGAAAGCACACGTTAATCAGTGGCAAAAAGAATGAATTATATATTGAGTGGGAAGAAATTACATTAATATTTCTATTCCTGTTACTAGAAATCTTGAAAATGAAGCAATTATTTCCATATGGTTTCATAGAGGTCATCAGAAACTAAGTGTGGCATTAAATTGAAATTGAAGAATTTATAACAAAAAGATGTTTTTAAATGCAATCTAAATTTCCTCCATACATCTTGTGCAAAATGTTACTTTCCAAGGATTATAAATGCAATTCTTCAGTTTGTTTTCACAGAGATGGTAACAATAGGGTGAAGAGTGTCACATTATCATAGGCTGCTGAAACAGGTTAAACTTTTAACACCTAGTTTGCACTTCAGCAATCTGAGTGTTTATGTGTAAGCCCAAGAATAACCTGCAAATGAAACCATTCCAGAGTGATTGTTATAAATCTTTACAAATAAATCCAAATTTATACAAGTATATATGCATTACACATATAAAAATGGGCATTCAAAAAAATTCACCCCTTCCCATTCTTTTCACACAGCTGAACTGCAGTCATGACCTAGAATATGGCTTATATTATGGGCAGGCCGATTTGATGATTGTTTCAAAGAGTCAGAACCAGATGTATTTGCTATTGAGAGCAGTGGTGAGATTGCTGATCCATCTGAAGGAAGAGCTGTAGCTATTTCCGGGAATAAAGAAGTCAAATTAAAATTGGACAAGTGTGATGAATTGGCCACATGCACTGGAGGCATATCTGTCAAAAGGGGAAAGCTTGGCTGAGCAAAACCAACTGGTCTGGGAGGTGACAAAATAGAACCAAATCGATTGTTTAAACCTCCACCATTTGGCTTCTCTGTACTTGGATTAGAAAACATTTGGTTAGAAAAATAAGGAATTGAAATATCATTAGACAGGGAGGGATGTGCAGGAGAATATGGTGGATAGAAAGACGGCAATGTATTTTGAGGATCAACTGGAATCAGGGCTGCTGTTCGGGTAGCGTTGGGTTGAGTTACTGGTGGAATAAATGAAGTGTTGGCATTTACTGGGGGATTCATTCCACTTTCTGGAATAAAAGGAAATCCAAAATTTTGAGACAAAGTGTGCTGTTCAGCAGCTGTACTGTCATGAGAGACATGTGGCCCTTCAGGCATGAATCGTACAATGCTGCCCCTTTTTTCAAGGGTAGGCTGCTGTCGTCCAAGGATCATTCCTCCACCAGTGGATAAAGGGAGTTGGGGAAGAGAAGGTTCAAACACATTCCCATGTCTCTGATTTGCAGAACGATTCCTTTCAGACTGGCGAATTTTAGAGCCACTGTTATCCTGTAAAGGATGTCTTGATCGATCAGTGGCTGAAGAATTAGTTTGACGAACAGATGGAGGAACCTGGTCAGCATTCCCACGAGAGACTGGTGCATAGTGAAGAGGACGTGCGGCTCCATGTACATTGCTAGAAGCTGAGGCATTTATGTGACCTTTTGTTCCATGGCTCTCTGTTATTCTCATGGAATTAGATTTCTGGATTGAAATATTGGGACTTGAGTTACGGCCCTGTATATCTCCAGAAGAACTTGAGAAGGGAATAGTTAAAGCATTGTTCCTACCATTAATAGTACCAAGAGACATATCACAACTTTCTCTGTTCTGATCATCCCCTTCCCTCCGAATATGAATACTTTCTCTTGCTGGTGCACAATTATAATCAACATTTGAGGAACTGGCACACTGTGGATTTCTCTGATGCTCTGAAATTGGTCTTTGGTTTCCATTAGCTTGATCTCCAAGATGAGGAATAAGTAAACTTTGCATGAATCCTTGGTGGCATGTATTCTCATTGTCTCTTCGGGAAGGGAGAGGATTTCCTGTTGAAATACTTTGAACTGGTTGATAAGACAACCTCTTTTGTCTGTCTATTGATGGTCCAGCATTTTGGGCAAGTCGAAAACTCTGTGTCTGCAGACCCCTGAGAGAGTTACTTATTTCATTACTTCTTGAAGATTGCACATCAAAATTACCTGTAGGCTGTTGATTAATGGCATTCACCTTGAATGTCTGACACTCAGAAAGCCTCTGAATGTCTGGTCCAAGTGGATGATCTACAGATACACGACTTTGTGTATTATGAATTACTAATTCTTTATTCCTAGATACATCAGCATAGTTTCTCATTTCAAGATGATCTGAAACTTTGAAGCTCTGCATGGATACTCCTAGCCTGTGTTCCGAATTAGATGAAGATTTCCCAATAAGTGCCTCTGCAGAGTAACTACTAACTCTATTTCTTTCTTGCCTATGAGGGAGACAGGGAACATCTGGTCTAGAGACAGTACTAGGTTGAGACACTATCTGCTGCTCCAAAGCCCTAGAGGTCAACATTCTATGCATCTGACTATGTCCCGAGACATGTTCAGAAGGAACTCCAGAACCTGGTTGTCTGCTGCCCACATCTGATGACTGCTGATGCAGAATGTCCTGACTTGGATGGCTCCGTGGGTGGCTATGAGTTCTACTCAAAGCAGAATTCTCACAATTCTTCTCAGGCTGGGAAGAAGGGTAGTGCTGCTGCAATTGTTGAATCTGGGAGTGATGGGGGTGTGGCTGGCTACTCTTTGACCGTGATTGGTCATTTCCATGATGCTTCTGCTGTAAAGTAAGTGTGGTGGGCTGAGTGGCTTGAATGAGACTTCTCTTTTTCTGCAGCTGTGCCTCTTGATGCAATATTCTTTGCTGATGGGCAATATGGGTTTGAGAGTGTACAGAACTTTCTGCAGGAGAAATATAATGCTGAAGTTGATACAATTGATGCCTTTCTCTTAGCTGTCCACCCTGCTGTTGCTGTGGTTTTATATATGGATGATTAGCCTGAAGATGAGCCATACCCTGAGAGAGAGCATGTTGGATAGGCTGCAGATGTTGTCCTGCTTGATCAAGGATAGGTGGATGAGAATTACATTGAACTTCAGCTTGCCTCAAAGTAGGTGACACAAAATTGCTGGCTTGAAATAACCTGCTGTGGCCATTGGTATGTCCTTGACTACTCACTGATACTGCAAGATTAGATGAGTTGAGGGGAATCTGATTCACACGGATTTGATTTTGACTGTCAATATCATCAGCTGTTTGATTCAACAGAGCCATGTCTTCAAGCTGTAGAGGTGCTGTCTGGCAATGTTTCTGCCTCTTTGATGTAGAAAGCATGTGATCATCTTGAACAGAACGCTTGGCTGATTCTTTGCGGCTTTGTCTTTGCTGCTTTAAATGTGGTTCACATATCTGTGGACCTTGCATCGTGGTAGTCTGAAGAGCAGATAACTGTTCTGAAGGATACTCTGCCATCAACCTTGGAGAATGTCCTGGAGACTGAGTCATATATGAATTAGCAGGGACAGATGGAGTCTCAGATACAGAAACAGTTGTTTGATCTGAAGATGATGATACACCTGAGCAGCTTACTGGAGGATGTATGATGCATGTTGGATGTATTAGATTATTCACACTCAAGCTGGAGGTGCTTGAGGGTTGTGGAGTTGGAATCTGCAAAGCTGTATCAGCCATTTCCAGTCTAACAGAACAACTTTTCTCTGCAGACAACTCAATGTTTATTTGCATTGAATTCTGGGTACTGAAATTGTTTGGCCCCATTTCCATTTGATTAGTGTTTTTAACTGGATGGGCTTTGAATGGTTGGTCTCTTCCTAGAGATGCTACTTTACTATCCTTGGAAATAGAGGTTCCTGACACTGTTCCTGTATTTTTTGCAAGAGTCTCCTGGTCAAAAATTGCTCTTGCAGCCAGTGCTACAATATCTGTTTGCTCTGAAAATGTGCAGGTGCTATGTGCGTTCACCAAAGTGCTGTTGGAAACATTTTCCCTACATGTATCTGGCAACATGGATGCAACAGAAAAGCCACAACTGCTACCTGAACTAGTCGACATGGGGGAGTCTACTTGCCTATTAGCAGTGATAGCTTCCTGGTCGGACGTGCAAGAATTAGATCGTGTGAGGTTTTCTTCTTCAGCATTTATCAGCAAGAGTTCTTCTTGTTTCCTTTCCAAATGATCATTTGAACCAATATTTGATTTTGTGCTTTGGGTACAAAAACTGGGGTGCTCTACTTGGACTGAAAAGGATTTTTGTACATCTCCTACTTTATTAAACTCTGAGAACATTTTGGTTAGACCTTGTTCTTCCAATAAATCTGAGGCCTGCATTACGATGGAACAATTTTGTTCCATCCTGCAGATCTCTGAGACCTCTGTTCTGGGAACATTCTCTGTATTCGTTTCTCTATTTGTCTGAGAAATTTGAGAAATTGTCACTGGAGAATCTGAAGAAGAGGGTAGTAAAGGATTGGTGGATATACATTTGGATAGTTCTGATAACTTAGAATTTGCTGTTGAGTTGGTTTGAGATTTACATATCTGAAGAGGTGGAGAAGCATGGTCTGTGGAAATCGCAGGAACTACCTCAAATTGACCCAATAACGATGATTCAAGGGACAATGATCTAGGTACTCCAGCTGCATTCAGATCAGGTGTCAGAGTAGATTCCATGTTCTGCTCAGCTCTCAGTCTATCTTTGGGATGAGGATCAGAAGCATGTATATCATTTGGTGATATTGTACAATTTGCCTGTGGTACAGCTAAGCACTGCAAAACAACAGGCATATTTTCAAGCAATATGTCACTTCCTGAATGTTCAGATGCAGTTGTCACATTTCTATCAATTTTTTTGCATTCTTTGTCAGGATCTACTTGACATGCAAGGTTGTTGCTGGCTACTGAAGTTTTCTTAGTACCTGAATTTTTATTAGACCATTTTGAACCCAAACCAGCAGCTTTGGGAGGAGAAATGTCTAGTGAAGATGAATTACAGGTTAATCTAGAACTCTCAGCAGCTGAAGAGGAAGGTGTTGTCACTGTTAGCAAACCAGGAGATATTGGTGTGGTTTGGCTACTAACGATTTTGGGGTTGGTAGACGGATTGCCAGACACTTGTTGACAGCTTTGGCCAGCCATCTGTGATATGCTTTGATTGAGGTTAGCTAAAGCACCAAATGCATTGAGGGCAATGTTGGTATTTGGATCTTCACTGGTGGTAGGCTGAATAATTTGCATAGGGGCTTGATCTGAATCTCCAGAACAGGATTTCATAGGCTTTAATGCAAACAACTGTCCATTTAAAGAAATGGTCTGTGGAAGCTTTTGGTTAGACATTGAAACAGAAAATGTTTGTGTCAGGCAAGAAGATGCTGAAGAAGAGGGCCTTGGTAAAATATGAACAAGATGTTTCCCACCAAACATATGAGGGCCAGAGGCACTTTGTATAAGATTGCCAGCATTTGTTCCATTCACAGGCATTTTAACAACTGATGGTGTTGAGAAAAAAGAGAGGGGATTTGGATTAGCAGTTTGTATTATTACAATCTGTTGGCTAACGGTCTGATTTGGGAGTTCAGCTCTCAGCACTGGAGGACAGGAATTAGCATTAGGAGGCTGGAGAATTACAATGTTCTGATTAATAGGTGATGTATTGATAGGAGAGGTCATTGGCTGAGATACTTGAATCACTTGCATGGCTGGATTCACGGGAAGGAGACTGCTTGCCATTTGCGCTCTAGTTTGTGTCTTACTAATTAGTGGCTGAATAGGTAAAGATGGATGGGAAGGCAAGGTAACAACCAATTGGTCAACTGGGTGTTCTTCTGGAATTAGAGGGTTATTTAAACCAGCACCATTGGCCAGAATCCTGTTTGGAGTGGAAGCTATAATACTAGCACCATTAATTGGCTCATTTAAAAGGGCTGTCATTATGTTGGATGGAGTATGATTTAGAGGCTGAACAGTGCTTCCAGCTAGCTGCAATGTAGTCCAAGTGGTTTGGGTATTTCCAGCTGAAGTGATTCTCATAAGATTACCAATGCTTTTTGACTCTGGAATGCCAACATCTGAAGAACTGGGGAAAGGCCATTTCTCTACAGTAGTAGCAGGCACTATATTCAATTCTGTTACAGCCTTTGGGGCTTCTCCTTCTGGAGTTCTACCATCTAGGCTTTTGAAGACCTTTTCTGTGGATGCCTTTCCACCAATAGATGCAACACAGGCTGGGTCAGCTGCAGAAGTTACACAGCTTCCTAGAGAGCCACTTATTGAACCCACTTCTGTTGGTATATTTGCTTGTTGACAATGAAGCACATCTATACTAACACTGGAAGAAAGGCTGGGGCTTAGTACACTTGTTTTCTCAATCAGCTTTAAACTCCCTTGTTTATTTTTAGATCTGGAGATGTCATTCTCATCTTGTGATGAAATCTGTTTTCCACTCTGCAGTCTTACTAGCTGCGAGGTATTCACAGAACTGGGAGCACTAGTACAGATAGACGTGCCTTGCTTGTTCTCAGAGGTAGATTGCTCAAGAGTTTTTTTGTCTGTATTTGGTAGGCCTGATACTAATGATGAAACTGAAGTTTGAATACCTGATTTGATTGCTGTTGAATAAATACTAGAAATGGTTGCAGGAGTGTTGCAAGTCCTCTGGACAGGAACAACATTAGCTGTCTGTTTCTGTAAATTATGTCCTATATTAAAAGTTATTCCTTGGACAGATGCCCCCTGGTTACTTCCACCAAATTGGCTGCCATTGGAATATACAACAATATTTTTTTGCAGTTGATCATTGGGGATAACAACAGAAATATTTGTATTTTTCAGATTTTCTTTCTTCTTTTGTATCTGATCATTCGGAATTACAATAGAAACGTTTGAATTTTTAAGATTTCCTTTCCAATGGATGGTAGGATCATCATAAAGGCAAATGTCATTAGCTTTCAACAATGCTATGTAGCGCCCATTTTCTTTCTGGAGTTCATCCAATTGCTTCCGGAGTTTTTTTATTTCTTCAGCTGCAGAGAAAATTGTAAGAAGTTAAGTGCTAATTAGAAAAAAGCTGAGAAAAATTTACTTGATTAAGTGGTTGATGTCACTTGGCTGAGCCTGTCCCTGCTATTATTCAAACTGCTATGTGAAGTTGGGGTTGTATTCGTTCTCCTGTCTAATCCAGTGCCTCATTCCTGATTAATGTGTGAAAAAGTGCGGGTGTAGAGGCCTTCTTAAAAAGGAACAATTTCTGTTATTTTTATTATCACTATTCAAATTCATATTGGACTTTTATATTGAAGAAAATGGTTATGTAAATGCTAGAGGATAATCAATGGCAATATGCAGTAAAATCTCATAAATCCTAAAGAATAGGATCAGAAGATTCTAATAACAGAAATTACTTATCCTATTCTTGGCATTTGGGTGAAAATATAGAACTAATACACTGGGATAAATTTTAAAAATAATTAAATTGCTGTTAATCTCAGTTATTAATTACACATTAGACTTAGATTTGCTTTCCTATTTTTAACTACAGGTAGTCCTTAACTTACAACCACAATTGAGCCCAAAATTTCTGTTGCTAAGTGAGAAATTTGTTAAGTGCCCCATTTTATGACTTGCCTTGCCACATTTGTTAAGTGAATCATTGCACTTCTTAAATTAGTAACACAGTTGTTAAGTGAATCTTGTTTCCCCATTGACTTTGCTTTTCAGAGTGTCGCAAAGGGGGATAACATCACTCTGGGACACTGCAACCGTCATAAATGTGAGTCAGTTGTCAAGCATCCAACCGTAAATCACATGGCTAGGGAGATGATGCAACGGTCATAAATCACTTTTCAATACCATTGTAACTGTGAACGGTCACTAAATGAACTACTGTAAGTCGAGGACTTCCTGTATGATTTTTTTCATATAAAACCTTTTTTCAAGAAAGCAACAATCCTAGCTCATACCAAGGCAGATGTATTAAGAAGTAAAATAAGCAAATATTTTAATTAAAATATTAGTAGTAATCTATTAGTATTAGATTATTAGATCAAAGAAAATAATAACTTGAACCATAAAGATTTGGAAAATCAGTGCTGAATTTGCTGGAAAGTTTTAATAATAGTTACAAACCAAAGGAGGAGCAGCAAGAAATGAACCTTTATTTTAAAACCTGTATGCAATAAAAACAAGTATGCCAATTTTATATAATGTTGAGAATAGTAAAAGCTACATTTGCTAACTACTTTTATTAAATATAAACATAGATAGTAACAGTGGAATATTTCAGAATATTTATCAGTGCTATATTACCACCTTGTAGCAACAGAGCCTCCTTCCTGAAGTGGAAATACTTTGAAATAATTCAGTCACAGAAAGACAGTGCAGTACTTCATTATGTTTGGTGGTGCTTAATAAGGCCTTCTGCAGCAGCCCCAGATAAATAAGGAAAGACTATAACATGCTACATTCATAGAATAATCTATTCACCTTGTTCATTGTTTCCTCCATTCAACAGGAGTTCATCATTTTGCTTTTTCATTTCTGTTATATATTTGTATGCTTGATCCAGAATCATGTTCTTACTCTGTAAAGGATACAGATTTTGAATTGATTTATAATGTCCAGAGGAAAAAGTAACAGAACATTAAAGCTAATAAAGCTAACACTACCATCAACCCATGCTAATATAAGGTACTACCGTGTTTCCCCCAAAATAAGACAGGGTCTTATTTTCTTTTGAACCCTGAAATAAGGGCTTGGCCACCACCATGGAGCAGGAGCAGGCGCTTGAGGTCTATGGTTGGTGCCGCAGGCGGCGAAAGGGGCGGGGGGCGCAGGAGTTTGCAGGGATGTGGCTGCCTTGAGAGGGTTGGGGGGGTGAGGGACCTGTGTGTGTGTGTGTGTGTGAAAGAGAGGGGGGGACTTATTTTGGGGGGAGGGTGCATATTTAGGCCTACTCCAAAAATCAGGCTTGGCCTTGTTTTCGGGACATGTCCTATTTTCGGGGAAACACGGTAGATAATGAAAACTTTCACAAAACAAAAACATTTCCAGAAAATTTTCCATAGCTCTTTTGCTTAGAAAGAACTGCCTATCACAATGGTAGTCACTATACAAGCTATCTGTAATAAGGTATTTAATTGCATTTCACAATTAAAACTTGAGTATATTCCAATTTATTAATCCCAAGTCTTGATTATTTGAATAGAGGTATTAGAAGAATCAACTCTAAAGTCTATATATAGCTGGTATTAACATAAGCTCCTACTTGCCTGTTTCAGTGCAGGGGAACATGGAATTAGCTCACCAATTCGGTTTATACCAGCATTGATTTTCTTCTTTCGATGCCTCTCCACTATAAAAAACAGAACCCATTGTATGTACATTTATAATTACAGGTTGCTTAGAAATAATAACACTTTTCTGTTTTGATAGTGTTTGGCATTGCATACTTAAAAGATTCACCTGGATTCCACCAATATTAAAGTTCCTTCCAACTGGGAAGCATGGTCAACTGAAGATGGGTCTATGAGCGTGGAGCTGATGTAGTGGAAAAAGAAACTGGTGAATGAATCAATTCCCTGAATTCCTCTTCAGAATAAGGAGACGCCCTAGGATCTATCATAATACTTCATACATATGGTCCCTGCAATGAGACTGTAAATCAGGTGTCTCTGGTGGGTTTTAGAGCTCTGGATGCTGGAAGAATCATTTTGTCCAAGCTCCAGTTCAGAGCCTTCAAAAGACACTGGGTTTGCCTACTTCTGTACTTAATCACTTTTCCTGGAAATGACTTGTAAACTGCTTTTTGAATATTAAGAATTTTCAGAAGGACAAATTTTATTACGCTGGGTGATTTTCCTCAGTAAAAAAAGTTTCATGTAAATCTAAGAGCTTAAAGAATAAAATCAGAAATAAGCAGCAAAGGGGTGATTAGAAAGTTGATTTCAGAGAGTGTTTAAGTGAGCTAAGAGGCCAGATTGACCATAAAAATTTGTTTAAAATCCTATAAAAATATATGAAGATTTTGATTTTAAACCTTTCCCTTGGAAAATGTGAATTAGAGAGGAAACATTTAAGGAAACCTGGTTACTAGAGGTAATCAGAAAGAACTAAAAATTTATAACTAAGGTGCAGACACACTAATATACAATGGCAGAAAGTATTTTAACTCTGGAAGAACTCAAGGATAATTGGCAATAATGTACTCAGAATTTTCTATTTTCTTTTAAAATTGTTTGTGAATCTATAAACAGAATTCAAAAGAAGAGATAGAAAAGGATAGAACTGAGAATGACGCTGTTTTGAACACAAATTTAAAATCGATAGGATTTATTAATGATATGTTACACAAGATTCACAATGAAACTCATTGATGTTTCAATAGCTAAAAGGGACTCACAAATAATAATTCAGAAAAGTGATATATATGTATGGATTTTAACCAGGGGTGAAATGCTCCCAGTTCGGACTGGATCGGCCAATCTGGTAGTGATGATGGCCGGTAGTTCGGAGAACCGGTAGCGATGGCAGCTGGAGGCTCCGCCCACCCACCTTAACCTCTGCAGCCCACCGGCCCCTCTTGCCCTTTTCTTTCTGGGTGCAGCGCTTCTGCTTGTTGGGCCACTTCCCCGCAGCACTTCTGCTGGTACCACCACGCAAGCCTCCCATGAGGAAAAAGAGGGAAAAAGCAAAGCGGCTGGCTGCAGAGCTGCCAGCTTCAGGAAGTGGCCTAACAGGCAGAAGCGACACGCCCAGAAAGAGACTCCAGCCTTGCCCCGCCCTCTCGCCACCCGCTCTCCTTTCGCTTTGGGTCGGGGGCTGGGGCCCAGAGACGCGCCATTCACTGAAGCCCCGGAGCTGCCGTCTGCTCACCGCCTTCCTCAACCAGGTCGGGGAATGCACTATTCTCCGACTCCAGCCTTGCTGCGGAGCCGCCGCCTGCTCGTCCTTTGCCACGCGGCATTTCCTATTCCTTACCTTTTTCCCACGGCTGGCTGCCAGGGAAGGCAAGCATCCGAAAGTTACTGGATTTGCTCTCCTTCTTGAATGTGCCATCATCGCCACCCTGGTCCATGTGCCAGCTGCGCAAGTGCACACCATTTATTTCATTCATTCATCAATGGCAGGTTGGGTGTGCGCTTGCGCTGCCGGCACGTGGACCAGGGCGACGATGGTGGTGGCACATTCAAAAAGGAGACCAGCTCCGGTAACTTTCGGGTGCTTGCCTTCCCTGGCAGCCAGCCACGGGAGAAAGGTAAGGAGTAGGACATACCGCGTGGTGAAGGGCGAGTGGGCGGCGGCTCCGCGGCAAGGCTGGAGTTGGGGAATGGTGCATTCCCCGACCCGGTTGAGGCAGACGGTGAGCAAGTGGCAGCTCCGGGGCATCAGTGAATGGCACGTCCCTGGGCCCCAGCCCCCGACCCAAAGCGAAGGGAGAGCGGGTGGTGAGCAGGCGGCATAATAGAAATTTAAAATATTTTCCTACCGGGTTATGTGGGCGTGGTTTGGTGGTGGTGGGTCTTGTGACTGAGTGGGTGTGGCTGTGAGTGACAATGAGTTGGCTGCGCCCACTTAGTCACAGGACACCCCACCACCACCAAGCCACGCCCACAGAACCGGTAGGGAAAAAATTTAGATTTCATCCCTGATTTTAACTCAGAAGAGTGAGTCACATACCCACACACATTTTGGTCTTCTTGCATTTTTCTTAGTTTGTATTAGTTTGTCTTTGTATTTTTAAACTTCCATAAAAATTATTACTAAAAATGAAAAATATTAAATTCTTACCTGCATTATGAGTCTCTCGGTTTTTCTTCCTGTTTAAAAAAACATGAACTATTTATTGCTATTTAAAGTATTTTATTAAATCCATAAACATTTGTAAAACAATGTTCTTCTGTTCTGACAACTCCCCACCCCCAAATATACAGTGAATATGTAACATATAACTAATTAGCCTGTTTATTTTTTAACACAAAAAAATATATATTCCCTAAAATGTATGCATACATAAAACAGGCACAAAATGAGGCTTTAAAATGGGTTCTCTTGTGGAAATTCAAGCTATGAACAAACATTCCAATATGGATCACAATTATGTCACCAGTAGTGTAAACAAATATCATAGGTATAAGGAATAGGGGAAACATTATAAATGCATATGTAATGGATATATTGTTTTGTGTATCAGAGTAGGGGATTATGTTATATAAATTTAAAATATAATTTTATATTTTCCTATAAATTTCTGACATAAAAACAAGTTTAAAGAACATTGTTCCTGCCAATGTTCCATATTTCCCTACTTCAATGACATTTATTCTTAAATCTGGATAGAATAGAAATCATGTACTGGACTTTGGAAAAGCTTGGCATTGTCATGGCAGGAATGCAGAAATGTACTGGTTGGTAACTGGCAACCTTGCGAGATATGAGCCATGGTGGTGCAGTGGTTAAAGTGCAGTACTGCAGGCCACTTCTGCTGACTGCTGGGTGCCTGCAAATTTGGCAGTTCAGATCTCACCAGGCTCAACATTGACTCAGCCTTCTATCTTCCAAGGTGGGTAAAATGAGGACCCAAATTGTTGGGGACAATAGGCTGACTCTGTAAACCGCTTAGAGAAGACTGTAAAGCGGTATATAAGTCTAAGTGCTATTTCTATTGCTATTTGGCATTTCATTACTGCATTTCCTTTAGTACATTTTTCTTAAAGAAGGGTGTCATGTGAAAAACTCTCTTTTATCCTGATAGATGCTACATCAAATAATTTATTTTTCAATTACTGTTCCTTCAAATCTATTAAAATGACTGTATGTACATGTACACAAACACAAACACATGATTGATTAACTGATCTAGGTTTCTTTCCTTCTCCAATCCTAAAGGACTCTGGGTTGCTTACATTTCGAAAGCACAAAACAATTTATAGCTACATCTGCAATTACAAAAACATCTGCATTTGAAGAACAAGCAAGCAGCAAAGAAGAACTCAGGTGGAGGCTCGCTACTAGCAGTTTTTAAAAAATACAATTGTTTTCCTAAAATTTAGCAAAATGAACGCTAATCTGATTTTATGCTTGTTTCAAAGGAGATGCTTTTCTATTCAGTTTTCTAAGAAATTCAAGAAACTTCATATAAAAAGAAAATGCAATAGCTGTTCATATCACAGAGACATACTTCTCATATTGGCATGGAGAGCTATATGCAGTATATTTTTGCACAACACCCCCCCCCATATTTTGCACTAAATTCCTGCTAAACCTAGTATAAATTCTAGTACTACTGATATGTATGCATGCTACGCTAAACCAAGTTGGACAGTAGCCACTACTGTTAAGCTATTTCCAGATAAATAACCCTTCAGACAATGCAGCAAAGCATAGTCTGTTATAACCTGTTTCCCCCAAAATAAGACATCCCCTGATAATAAGCCCAATCGGGCTTTTGAGCACATGGCAATAAGGCCAAGCGCTTATTTCAGGGTTCAAAAAAATATAAGACAGGGTCTTATTTTCAGGGAAACACGGTAGTTCACCACTATTTATAATGTTGACTGATAGCTCACCTACTTTTGCAGTATCTGGCTACCTCGGTACTTTTTCATTTTTGTTAAAAATAAATAGAATATTTATTCTTCGGAGAAGGGCGGCATAGAAATCAAATTAAAAAAAAAAAAAAAAAATTGGAGCCCTCCTCAGGCCCACTTCTTTCATGCCTATTTTACCCTTTTCAACTGTACAGGCTGTTAAAAAAAAGCAGAAGCCTCCAGTCAGAACACCCTCTTTTTTGTGGTTATTCTAGTCTTCAATCTCTTTTTCCAGAGGCTGGAACAGAGAATTAATCAAAGCACAGGGTCAATGCAATCTCACCCAAATCAGTATCATTTATTTCTCTGTAGCAAGGATAGGATTATATCATATACTTATTTGCAATTTGGAAACATACCGGTGCTGCTTCTTAAGAGGAGCTTTCTCTGTCATCTCGGGCATAGTTTGAGACAAAAGAATCTAGGAAAACAGAAAAACTCATCACAATCTTTGAAGCTACTATATCAATTCTCATTACAGTTGAAAACGCATGTGTTTCCAGCAATCTTTCACTACAATTTTGAAATAATTTTACATTAGTACAATCAACCTATTAACGAACTGTCAAAGGTGTTAATATACCTTTGCATTAAACACTGAAGGAGAAGCAACAATGCAAAGTTTCTTTATTTAGCTACCCATATATTATTTCTACTTACCACCAAACTATTTGATTTACTAGCTTGTAAGCATTCTATGGTTTCTACTGCATCCAAAAATACTTCAAATCTTAGACTAATAAAATTGTCTGAAATATATCCAAGCCTTATTTATATTTTACTTTAATATCTTCATAAATGACCTAGCCGGGGGATGGGACGGGACTCATCAAGTTTGCAGATGATATAAAGCTGGGAGGAACTGCTAATGCGTCAGAAGATATCCTCAGAAGGATCTTGACAGACTTGCGCACTGGGTCCTATCCAACAAGATGCAGTTCAGTGGCAAAAAAAGTAAGGTCCCGCACTTTGGGAGGGAAAAAAATACGCACAGGTATATAAGCAGCATCTGACTCAACAGTTGTGCATATGAGAGGGACCTAGGTGTCCTGGTAACTACCACTTCAGTATGAACCAGCAGTGTGCTGCAACTGCCAAAAAAGCCAAAGCAGACCTGGGCTACATCAACAGAGGGATTTTATTAAGTGACAGTACCACTTTATACCACATTGGTGAGGCCACATTTTGGATACTGCATCCAGTTCTGGTCACAATAGAAAAAAGATGTTGAGGCTCAAAGAGTTCAGAGAAGAACTTTCCCTTCCAACCCTATGATTCTATGTATCAGCTACAAAGGACAATTCATTAGAAGGCTGACTAAAAAGCCCTATTTCTGAATCATGAATGTCTAAAGTAATAGCAACATTCAATATTATATTTAGTGTTAGTAAAATGTTGTAGTAAGTTTAATGAGTCTTTTTATTAGTAAATAATAATATTTATTATTAATAAAACCTGTATTACCTAATATTAATCTACATAGGAGTGGCATATTGGTTGGAAGTCTGTCACTGATTCTTGTTTAACATTTTCTCAAATACAACAGTGTTGGGTATATCTACAAGTGGTGGCTACATAAGGAATAGAAGAAAAAAGCATTTTTCTTTCTCTGCCTAAAAGAAACTAAACTAAACTAAACTAAGCATGTTTAAAATGTAAATCTATAGAGCAGCACAGGAAAAAAAATAAGGAGAATGGAATAAACAAGTGGAACACTTCAGCTCACAAAAGTGGACAAGGATTTGTGGAATCGAATACAAGAGCAATAGTAAATTATTCCAGAAAGTAACTTTCCCTAAAGAGAACTATCACATGAGGAAACACGCTCAGTGGAAGAGATTTACAAGATATTCTTTACCATGCAATTAATAAATCACTTTTAGGCTACTGCAGGAAAACAAGGACAGGTGATAGGTATAAAGCAGCAAGAATACAAAGCTGGAAGAGGAGAGCATGACTACTTTCTGAAAGAAGACAAAGGACGTAATTATGGTCCTTGTGATAAATGTAAATGTATGCATAACAGATACAAGTACTTTCCAAGTTTCATGAAGTTCACCAAGAGTTATTTTTCCTGATTATCCATATGGAGAAGAATACAATACTATCAATAGCAATTATCACTCTATTTATCTCTGGCTCTTTGAAGCTCTAAGAAAAAAAAACTCAATCTCTTAATCTTTTATCAGAAATGATCAAATCAGTCACACTTTCAGATTTTTTCATTTGCTCCATGTACATGTACACATGAATTAGATTTATGTTTAAAGCATAAATATATGCACAGAACTGTATTCTTCGGGAATCCTGAACACTTTTTCTCAAAATCCAAATCTACTTTTTTCATTACCACCATTCATTGGAGCTTAACATATAACTATTACCAACCTATACATTCTTACTTTCATATACATCTAAAACAATGTAGCTGAAATAATTCCTATTTTAGGACATATATTTTAGCCTATTCACGCATAATTAAGCTGATACCTTTATTTTTATGCATGCATTCATCAAATAGCTGTCATGGTGGGTTCTGCCTTGCCCCTTCCTGGGACCTTTCAGGATGCTTTTTTCATCTTTGATTTTTTTTCCAAAGCCATACAAGAGGGACTGAGGAGCAGAAACAATCCCTTGTGAAAATATCCTGAGAGAGAAGCAAGTAGAAGGAAAAGAATATACAGTAGTGCCAGCAGCGCACAAGGAAACAACAAAAGGACCAAATGAAAGGAAAATAATAATAATAAGGCGGGGTGGGGAGAGAAACTTACTACTGAAAACAAGAGTGACAGTTAAACGGAATCTAAGACAGAGTCAAAGAGCATTTTTTTAAAGAGAGAACTGCAGTTATCATTTCACCATCTCTTGGAAATATGAAGTCAAAATGACTTTTTTTAAGATGGTATTTTAGTTAGCTGTTAGGTAATTAATCTGTGGCTTGTTGTCATATGTTACTCCAGGCTCATAATTTGTAAAAGAGGAACTTTTCATTAGAGGACAAAAGAGTGCTGCTTCTGCTACCACTGGGAAGAATAATGGCAGAAAATTGGCATTGTGGCAAAGGTGAGGCTTGACTGCAACTAAGGTTCATGCATGACATGCTGAAGAAACAGGGCTACCAGACTGAACAAGAACTTTTGAAGTATATTCACTGAGTGACAGTCGGGGGGGGGGAGCTTCTTATTGAACTCACTGCTCTTTTAGGGAAGCTCCCAAGAGAGAGATTTTTATTGGGTAGTGTCTGTTCTTCTCTGTCCTTTTTACATCTCGAGATATTTACATGTCCACCTTGCTCAGAGGATAAAGTATCTGCAGGTTCTCTGTATAATTTTGCAGGTTTCTTGGTGGAGAAAGTCCTAGAGCTATATGCCAGTTGGAGAGAATCCAACATGGTGTTGAGACTGGATCTTGTGCTATGAATCAAGGATACTTTTCAGCTCATTATGCTCAAGACAGTGGATAGGATTCGCTATAAGATGAGTTTGCCAAATGCAACGTGATCCAGGAAGGAACTAGGCAGGAAGGAATTTACTGGATATGGGGAATTGACAATGCTTGTTTGTAATGCCACTTCTTTTACGAGTCATTTGTGTACTATCTCTTGAAAAAGCTCTTTTTGAATATAGCCAAACTTCCTTGCTGAGGGGAGGGGAGTAACAGCTTCAAAGAATGATAGTGATAAAAGATACGGATTATCTAGATTCCATGGGATGGAAATGGCATTAGTCACAATGGTGGATGACCATCTAAACCTTGTTGGGGCACACTATATCCTTCCTAGTCCTTTTAAAGTTCTCTTGATCATAGCATCATATTGGACTGTCAGCAGGAGTTAGAGGTTGGAAGTATTGTTCTTCAATGGCTTTTTTCTCGAGTGGATGGTTCTAATATATAATCAAGGTGGAACAGTGTTTAAGGGTGTAATTTCACCGATGTGGGATATCATAGGGCATACTGCTCTCTTTCTCATATAATTTTTTCATTATATTTTTCATTTTTAATATTCTGTAAGATACGAAGAAAGAAGAATACAATAGAACAGCCCAGAATAATATAGTCAATGTTCAATCACAGGTTACACATAACACTCAATTTATCAATAAAACAGTTATTATTAGCATTTGTGTAATCTTTCCAGAGCTGATATGTTTTATCAGCTCTGGACTCATTTCTCTAAAAAGTCAGTATTCAATTTTATAACTTTTTTCATAAGAGAAAAAATAATTGCAGATTATTTAATGATAGGTTATCTAGAAATGTCCAGTTTAGAGCAATTATTTCTGCTCCATCTTATGATTTTGATTGATGCGATTAAGTTGTTGTCAACCCTTAGCAACCATGCAGACATATTTTCTCCATGGCAATCTGTCCTTAACCTGGTCTTTCAGTTCTTCCAACAGTCTCCATCATATACGAAACAACATGTTTCTTTCTTAATCTTTCCTCCTTCTCAGGACCAGGTAATCTTTTCCCGAAGTGCTAACTGATCTCCCTTATAGAACATGATAAAGGCATCTACAAGGTCTATTCTTACTATTTACTTTATTTACTGCTCAGTCAGACATTTAACAGCAATAGAAAAAGTAAACACTGAAACACTGTAAAATGCTGAAAAAAATATTCTATATACTGAAGATTACCTTCACAGAGATATACAGCCCTTAGACAAAAGGGGCTAAAGCATTTTTAAAGTCTAGAATGTCCAGATAACATTTGGAAATGGTTCAGACAGATGACTCCTGAAGTCACTGAACTATAAAAGGAAAAAACAACACAGACTTGTAAGATTCTGTTTTATACCAAATCTCAATAAAAGTAGTTTTAGCTATCCTGTCAAGTTGACTCTTAGTCTGATTTATCTAGTGGGGCCAACAGTATATCTCAAATCTTCTCTGAAACAGTAATCAAAAAACAAAATGATTAGACATTGTTATGGACAATAATTTTTATGACATTAAACTAATCTTCGGTTTCAACCATAAACTGTGCCTAAGAACCCAAAAGAATAGGTGATCCTGCAAATAATTTTAGGCTGTCATATAATGCTTTGTACACTAATATACACTAAGAGCCTTGATGGCGCAGCAGACTAGAGTGCTGTTAAATAGCACCAGCTGCCTGCAATTACTGCAAGTTCAAATCTCACCAGGCTCAAGGTTGACTCAGCCTTGACTATCCTTTCGAGGTAGGTAAAATGAGGACCTGGTTTGTGGGACTTTGTATAAAAAAGAACACCGCTTTGGGGGGGGGGGGCGAAAGCCCTACTAAGCAGGTATATACAAAAGTATGAAGGCTATTGCTTAACACATTGTAAGCCGCCCTGAGTCTCCGGAGAAGGGCGGCATATAAATCGAATCAATAAATAAAATAAATAAATAATATGAGCATCCTTGCATCTAGGCTGAAAAGCAACCAGTAAAAAAATACTGTTTTAATATGACAGCATTGTAACACCTACAATATAGCATTCAGGACCAGCTACAAGCTCCAACTTCTTGCAAATCTTTAGATTCCAAATGGAATAATTGATATTGAGAGTAGATACTTATCCAATAATCCATATAAGGCATTGGATTATCACATTAACTGTTTAACCAAGAATTTAGACTCTTTTGGAGAGAGATGTTTGCAAAAACTGAATGGTACCTTATCAATCTGAACTTTAACCAAGGATAACCTAATTCTATTTGTAGAAGATGAACAGAAGCACATATGGAAAGCCTCAATAACCTTTTACAGTACTGAATATGTGTGTTTTCCAAAGATCTTATGCAATAGGCATTCCTCCTTTTTGCTTAAATCATTTGTGGGAGAACAATTTTAATGCTTGGTGTCAGCAATTGCTCTCCTTTTGTAGGACAAGAAAAGTCATGATAGTCCCAATTATTTTAATTGTTAACATTTTACATTTTACTATAGTCTACATACACTTTACAAAGAATTTTATTGAGTATTACTCTAAATATTTAAGTGGTTTAACCTTTTTTATGGTGGCTTCTCCAATAGACTATTGAAATATTAGGTCATTTTCCCAAAACCATAACTTTGAATTTTATATTTATTTATTTATTTATTTTATTCAATTTGTATACCGCCCTTCTCCTAGTGGACTCAGGGCGGTGAACAGCCAGAACTAAAACACATACCAATACAAAATTTAAAATTATTAAAAGAATTACGTACTTTGGCCCAAATTTAAAACAATTCGAATTAAAACCCATTGACAGATTAAAAGCTAAAAAGCTAAAAAACTAAAAAAAAAAAAAAGGGGGGGGGTGTTTCATGCTAGCCCTGCTTGATGGAAAAGAAAAGTTTTCAGGGCACAGCGAAAGACCCGGAGATCCGATATCCTTCTTATCTCCGGGGGCAAATCGTTCCAGAGGGCAGGAGCTGCCACAGAGAAGGCCCTCCCCCTGGGGGTCGCCAGCCGACATTGCCTGGCTGACGGCACCCTGAGGAGTCCCTCTCTGTGGGAGCGTACTGGTCGGTGGGAGGCTATCGGCGGCAGAAGGCGGTCCCGCAAATACCCAGGTCCTATGCCATGGAGCGCTTTAAAGGTGGTAACCAACACCTTGAAGCGCACCCGGAAGACCACTGGAAGCCAATGCAGCTCACGCAGGAGAGGTGTCACATGGGAGTGCCCTCTCGCTCCCATAATCCCCCACGCGGCCGCATTCTGCACCAGTTGGAGCCTCCAGGTACTCCTCAAGGGGAGCCCCATGTAGAGAGCATTGCAGTAGTCCAGGCGGGAATGCATATGCTTAACCTCTAGATTAAGGTGACCAGACGTCCCGCTTTTGGTGGGACAGTCCCGATTTTTAGCAATTTGTCCCGCGTCCCGCGGTGTTTTAAAAAAGTCCTGATTTTTCATTCTGCCTCCTGAATCCCAGCTGATGGCTAGAGGGAAAAAAACTGTTTAAACTCTTGCCGCGGGGCTTCAAAGGGCAGCTCTACAGCTGTTCTGTGTTAAAACAAATGAGTAGACCCATGCCTGCAAAAATAGAAAAAACAGCCCCCTACAGCTTCCGCATAGATTAATTAGCACGTTGATTAGCTCGGCTTCTCCACTCTCAGCTGATTTGCTCTCAGCTGTTTTGCGCAGGGCTCTTGCTGCTTGCTAAATTGCTCGAGCAGATTTTTTTTTCTCCTTGTGCAAACCAAGCTCAAAACGAAACTGAAAGTAAAACAGGCTGTTGGCTTTGCTGTTTTCTCCAACCTTGGAAAATTAGGCAGCAGATTTCTTTTCTTTTTCCTCACCAAAAAAGGTAGGTGTAAACAATGGGAAATTTAGGGCAAAAGAGGAGAGTTCAAGATTTTAAAACACAAAAGAAAAAAAGCTCTATTTAACTAGGGAATTGTAATAATTGAGATAGTATTAATTGTATATTGTGTTGAAAGCAGAAATGGTTAAGTTGTGGTTTGGAGGAATATATGGGGGAAATTATTTGGTTTACTATTATTGGTAAATATAATCAATTGATTTGTAAGAAATTGGATTGCATGGAAATAATTGGAATATTCATGTTCATATTGATTAATATACAAAAAAGATAGTTATATAACTAATTGATTTATATTAAAATGCTGAATTTGTATTAAACAACTGTATTACATAATTACATAATTAACCAATGTGAGGATGGATATAAAAATAGATGACAATGGGAAGGGGTATAATATAGAATAGAAGGGAAAAATTGAATTTGATTAAGATTAGAGATGAGGATGAAGGGTAATATTGTTTTTTTTAAAAAATAGATGAGGAATAA